CCAGAGGGTAACCACATGTATTAGGGGTACCTATAGGCTTTTGAGGCTTTTGACTCAGAGCCATTTCACGATTTTTAGCAGGGCACCAGCCTGTACCTGGAAGCCTCAACTTAGGTGGTGCTGAGTAAGCAGGGAAATGGATGGAAATGGTGGAATGAACCGATCCAGAAGTAACAATCATCCCATTCCCCTCATTCCCCACACTTATATCATGTTATATCCCGTATGCCAGTTTTTTTTCTGGCTAAGTCACAAAAATGCCAGTGATATACGACATTATACAACCACAGTCGTAGGAGTTATATTTTTTTCCATTGATTAACTTATGGCTGATCAGGGCCATAACTGTAGAAATGGTTAAGGCGGTTTGCCTACTTGGCGATGCAGGCCAGGGTGTACTTTTATGGCTATAACTTTCACCATGGTGAAATAATATCCATAAGCAAGGATATGGGGCCCCTATAACTATGGTGAAATCTATACACAACCCCTCTGAAAAATATGAAAGTCAGTTGGGATGATGACATTCCCAAACTGAATGGAAAGTCAGAATCCATTCATGTTCCAAACCACCAACCAGACAACACATAAAAATTGTGATGACTTCGGGATGGTTTACGACATGGGGTATACCACACGACTTTGAGATCTCGAGCTTTCGATCTTCCAGAGTGACGTACTGAGACGACCCAGTTTGCTAACGCTTCGTAAATATTATCTTGGTGTTAAGAAAACCGTTCTATCCCAAATGCGAACCATGGTGCTGGAATATGCACACCAACATTTACCCAACATAAATCACCCAGTTTTGTAGGTAAATATACTATACATGGAGCATATGGATATACCCACCAAGAAAGGGATATAATCCAGTTGCTAATGTTATAACGAGTCCATCCAAGACCAAACGAAGGTGTTATGATTCCAAAGGAGCCGAACACAGCTCGTCCACTGCCCAAGTTGCCTGCTGGATCTCACTCTGAGACTTGCTGACGCAGTAACCGTTTCCTCGGCAGGAATAGCATACAGTGCCTACAGTCATTCCCCATTTCTCCAGATCCAAGATTTCTCCATGAAATCTAGCATTTGGAAATTGTATCCCTACTATAGTAATCCAATATTTCAATAATATTTCCATCCAGCCAGATTCATGATGATTTCTCTGGGCTGCGACTCAAGAGTACTAAGAGTATATAACTCCAAATAGTGTCGGGTATATGCTAGATATGGAGGTTTCCTAAAATGGGAGTACCCCCAAATCATCCAAATTAGATCCTTTTGCTAGTCATGGTTTTGGAGTACTTCACTACCCTGAAGAGTTCGACCACTTTGGTGACGTCGCAGTGGTGTTTTTTCTTTGTTGCATTTCACCCTTATATAAATATATCGTTGTTTGCACCCATTATTAGAGCGCTAAATAAGAACCGTGGTATCATATATATCTGATGGTTCAAATGCATTCAGATGCATTAAACCTCAATATATGAATATTGAACTATCATTCAAATGGATGTTTACCATCATGGTATCCATATATCATTCAAATGCATGAAACCTCAATGTTTGGACATGTTTGGACCATCTCGAAACATGGACACTTTCAGGAATCAAACCTGGCAGTGACAGAAATTCCACAGTGTCTCCTCCATTCAGAACGATTTTTCCCCCAACACATGCTGTGTTGGTCCGGGAAATGTTCAATTGCTTGGGGGTGCAGTTAAGGTGAAAACAGGGCCATGGTTATAAACCCTAGGATATAGCTATAGCCCCTCATTTACTATGGTTCTATATTACAATTTCTTGAAATAGTGGATCCACTTAAAAAAATGTTTTCAATACTAAAACGTTTTTTTTTGACCTGGATAATTTGGGATACTCCTTTTAAAGGGAAATCTCCATATCCACTTATCCATTTAGGTATAACCTGGAACTGCACTTCCAAGTACCTTCAAGTTTTTGGGGTTTCACCATGCCTCACCCTCGATCTCTAAGCTGGCAGATACGCACCCTGCATTTAGTACAACTAAAACACATATTGGAAAAGGAAACTATTTTCCGTATTAAAAATAACACTGCTGTTCAAATAAAAACACCATGTTCTCCCTTACACAAAAAAAAACAGCATTCTGGCATATTAGTAAATTCCCAGTGTTCATGATTTGGGTAATTCCAATAGTCTTCGCAAAGACTGGCTTTCCATTGGGGGAATAAACAATGACAATGACCCAAAACAAACCCAGGATAATTGATCCAATTACCCATTTAAAATAGCTACCCAAAATGATTCATAGAATTATCCCTTGGTCATCCAAATCATGCATTCATGGTTACTTAAATCCTCATTCGTAAGTACAAAATGGCCACCAGTTTTCATTTTTTGTAAAACAGGTCCGATGATGGTAAACACATGTCTGTAAACACATGCAACTTAAATCCTGGCTAGCCAAGTTTGAAAAACCGACGTTAACTCGGGGGACCTCTGCCAAGTACAATTTGTGAAATACGCATCAGCCATCCAAGATCTGCCCATTTGCATTATATCCCATTGCTTGGATCAATGACTAGAAATTGTATTCCAAAATACACATTTGGGGGGTTCCTAAAAAGAGGGGTACCCCAACATATTCCATTTGATTTTCGGATTTTCCATGTTTTGTTAACCATCCAACTATTGGGATCCCCCATTGATGGAAAGCCCCATTTGTATATCTGCACATCCCATCTTGATAAATGTCAATCATTCACTGGCCTGCAACAAAAATCCTTTGGGGATGATTCCCCTCATCCTGGTGCCATCCTTCATAGTTACAAAAACAAAAACGGTAAAATTCATGTGGATTTGTATCCCACTTGGAGGGTTGTCCCAGACAGTGACTGGTTAGTAAGCCTGGCCAATAACTCCCCTAACTGGGTCATCAATGTATGACTGGATCATGACCCCGCAAACACTAACCAGTCACGAGTAATATGGTGATACTTCAAGTCTCGCACAAAAATATGGTGAGGATTGGATGATGAGTCACCAATTAAATCATGGCCTTTACTGGTTGTAAGTCATTTGTAAGCACATTTACGTGATATGTTTGTTTTTTCCTACGTACCGGTGTTATCATTCCAATTAATATTTCCTAATATCTATGTATATATAATATTTCCTGAATATATATGTGATATTTCCTATAATATCTTATTTATTTTATAATCCTTATGTTATCCTTATATAAATGACTGTTAAGGGCCAAACCACTGCAGATGTTGGATATTTCCAAACGGAATCCCCAACGGATTTCACCAATCGCGTTGGGCCAAGTTTCAAGCGTTCCTTCTCCGGGTTGAAAGGCATCGGAGGCCTGGTCGTTTTTTTTTTTCCGGTCGGCCAACAACAAAAACATGGCATTTGATATTTCCTTAATATTACATAAGGGTTATGGGAACCATAACTGTGAATTTTGATATCATTGGATATTTGCCCATGAAAATGAAAAAAAACGGCAATCAACCGCACCGTGGGGTCAGCCAGTGATTCGATTTCAGTGGGTTCAATGGCTGTGGTACCCGGTACCCTCTTTATTGACTATATTGTAGGGACATACCCGTTTGACGGCTCAACCTTGGCGTGGCATACCATGTAAACGAAAACATGTATATGTGTGCAGATGTAAAACCTAAATGTAGATGACACCTACATGGTTATATATATGTTTGTAAATGAACATGTATGTGCATATGTTTTTGCAGATGTATACGTATACATGAACTCACAAATATAATTTTATGTACGCATATAGTTATACGTAAACAAAAATATGTACATTCATGAACATGTGTATGCATCTCCATATGTATATGTATATGCGAATGTAATTGGAATATGTACAAGCATGAATGTATCAATATACATATACATATGTATAAAAAGGTATACGCGCATGCGTCAGTGTGTATGCATACAAGTGCATGTGCATCTGTGTATGTACAACATGGATGGATGGATGGATGGATGGATGGATGGGTGGGTGGATGGACGGATATTGTATATATGAAAATAAATATATATGTGGTGCCATATGTTTTAAAAGTGTAAATGTCCTGTAAAAAGAACACATGTATCTATGAAAATTATCTATATCTATATATATATATATAGCATAGATGTTTCATGATGAGACCAACGCACCAGCATTCTCAAAATTAAGCAAACCACCACCACATTGATACCCATGAATCTTTACTTCCAGGATGGAGACGAGACCTATAGCCTATATGACCTATAAGTCACCACAGGTCAACACATTGGAAACAAAACAATGATTAGGCTATTCCTCCATCCAGTTAGACTGGATTATGACTGTCAGGAAAGGGCAAATACTAAAAATGTCATGACCCAAGCTCCACATGTTCCAAAATTGGGGGTACACCAAATTGCCCATTTCTAATGGGGGTGTAACCACCATTCCCCACCTGCCAGGTGAGGATGTCTCTAGATTTTAACAAAGGTACAGCTCCTCCGCCTTCTTCCTCTTCTCCTCGTTTTCCTCCTTCCTCCTCGTCCACCTTCTCCGCCTCTTGCTTCTGCCAGCTCCCGATGCTGTGGGGCTGCACTGTCAGATAGTGTGCCAGAAAGAATGTCAGAATGACATGTCGGGGTGGGGATCACTCGAAGTAAAGCATTTTTTGTTGAGCGCATTTTCACAAACTCCCACATTCTGATTCTATTCGCCCCAATCCTGGGACACCCCGTGTTTTAGTAGTTTTGAAGCAGCACTTTGGTTCCCAATTCCAACCTCAATGCTCTCTTCATTCTCTCCTTTTCCTCAGGGTGCGGACACGGTACCAACCCGGAACAATTTTCGGAGCCGGAACTACATAAATTGTTATGAAATGAGGGCGGTATCCAAATCGGGGATGGAACGCTGATGCAGAAATCCCTGCAGGACAGTTCGGTGATTTGAGGTTGTGATAGGAATCCATGCCACCATCCCACGCTAAAGCCTCACCTATCAGCGAAGTCCATGGCTGCCATTCTTTATGCTGCTGCCCGGCAGAACCTATGCGCTTGCTGCTTCAAGCCTGCATCCACACATCGATCTAGTCCTGGCACTGGATTTTTCAATGGAGCGCCCCGGACACCCCTGGAAAGTCATAGCAATGCAGAATGTGCAGCAGCTGTAGCCACGAGATATTTCCGCCGATGGTCTCTTCGTCTTCGCACGAGTAGCAAGCTGAAATGTACTTGAACAACACACAAGTTGATAGCTAATTGTTCCTGTTTTGCACCCTAATCGCTGTGTTAGTGTTTAACACAAATATATCAATAAATATGTATGTATATATAAATATACACACATATAGACATATATATATATATATATATATATATATTCACGATTACCACTTGGGAAACCATTGTCAGGTCCTCGATCGATTATGGTATGAACTTTGGAAGTGGATTGTTGTAGAAAGCCGAGCAGGCTCATGTTCAAAGGAAGCACCCGCCATGTGGTGCCGCCCTAAATATATAAGTTGGATGTGAACTTACTCACGTACGCAAATAAAATAATACTATATATATATATATATGCACAATATGATTTATAGAAAAACACAGTAACACATATTATATATATATAGAGAAACTGAAATGAATACATATATTATAAATCATAGTAAAAAGAACAAAACTAATGAAAATGATAAGACACATAATGACAATAATAATATGTATATATATATACCACACATCCTAGCCATTGGAGTTCTAAGACTAAATTCAGCTAACCATGGGCGCCGGAACAAATTGCATAGTCATATTGGTTCAACTGTCTGCCGTGCTTGGTTCTCAGCAAGCGGATCGCTATTTGTCCACGATTACACATTGATAAAATCACACTACAGTTATGGCCATTTATCAGCTATAAGTACTAAGAAAACCCCATTTATAGAATGTATAATCCCATAGAAATAACCACCTATGACTGGTAAATGGCCATAACTGTATATATTGAAACACAGACAGGGATGGATTCTATGAACGATGATAGAATGGGTCGCGGTTTTTTGTTTGTCCCGTGTGGATTTTATAAAGTAAAGACTTAAAAATGTTTTTGAATTTGAGAAGGATTTAAACCACTAGTTTCTGTGCATGCTTAGTACATCTTAGTACCAAAGATATACTCTCTTGATAGGACAATTTGGAAAAGCTTCCACAGCTGGATTAAAAAAATATATATGAACTGAGACTGTGAAAATTGAAAACTTGGAATATCTTGGAATACTGGAGGGTAAACCTTCAACGATACGGATCCAATTCTCCGGGAGAAGTCTTCAATCTAAACCTGGCTGGTGCTTGAGCCAGTGTCATCCCACCATGACCAAAGTCATTCTGGGTCAGATCTTGTGGGACAGAAATCTTAAGAAAAAAAAACGAACTTCTTTGAATAAAAAAAAGGCAAACATTAAAAAACAACAACACAACATAAATTGCACAAATACATGAACAAACGAACAAACAAACAAACAAACAAACAAACAAGCAACCAACATTTACATGCATTGTACCCCATAAGTAGCTTATACCGCATCTATGTACATGAAGGATAAACATCATATGCAAATAAAGCGGTTATTCCGGGATGCCAAGAAACATGATGTCTTTTTGGTTGGGTTCCCAACGTTCGCCCATTAAAAATCATGTCTGAGTCAACCTGTGTTGCTGGATGCCGCCAAAAAAGAGATGTTGGATCTACATGTTCGTAAAACTCTCTTGAGCCCCGAGTATACATACATCACTCGACCCCCCACAATAAACGTAATTCTCCCTTGCATATCTAGGGCCAACTGCGCCTATAATCCAGTAGGAAAAGCGTGATATATAAGTCAAGCTGAGATCCATTGCTTTTGAGGTGGCTAAATATGTTTTTCGGTTCGTGTCTCATTCTTTTCTATTCAGCCTCACCATTTTTGTGCCGATCTGTGATTTGTTGAACCTGATTGATTTTAGGGAAACCATGGTTGTTGGCACGTCCCTCCATTTCTATCGGATAAATCTTCAGTTTGGTTGAAACCACAACAAAGGTTGGATAAGCTCAATGGGAATTTCAGGATGCTAAAATGGAGGTACTGTACCAAATAAGGTCATACTGTGTGGGAAAATTCCCTTACACAGGCCTCAAAAATAGGCCTTATATATGGTAAGTACCATCAATTTAGGATCCTGGAATTCCCATTGATAAGCCTTCAGTTTCGTAGTACTTAGGCTACGGCCTCACGGTGGTTGACGCCTTACCTTTATGACCTTGAGGTGACACCAAATGCGACCCGTGATTCCAAAACTGATTGGTAAAAAGGACAAGTGTACAAAGTGGGGCCCCCAAGATAGCTAAGTTGGTGCCAATAACTACAATAACTATCAATAACTAGGTTTATAACTAGGGGGTTCACATTGTAAGAACATCCGCTTTTATCCCCAATATGAAGACTTTAGCAACAAAGGGTCCTTGAAACCAATTCAAAGAATCGACCTTTTGGATACCCAGCAACTTGATCATACATTTTATACGACTGGTCACCTTGGATGGGTCCAGACATTCTTAAACCGATGGATACAACAACCCTTAAATGTGAAAACTAAACTATGGTTTCATGATCCCCCTGTTGCTAAGAACGTTTGAAGATGCCTGGCATTTCCATATATGTATTTGCCAAACACTGGACTCTCTTGTTCACAACCCACATCTTTAAAATATAAACATATATGCAAGATACATACAAAAATACAAATCCCGGGATGCACATCCTTATTGTTGACCTGTGAACTCTTATTGTTGCTGCCCTAAAGTCAAGAAACTCACTATGTACCAAGAGATTTCCCTGATAGACTCGAAAAAGAGCTGGAACCGTACCTAGAAGTCCATTGTTATGAATTATAATCTCCTCACGGCCGCTACCCTCTGGTAATTTAACATAGCTATTGAAAATTGCCATTTATAGTCGATTTACCCATCAAAAATAGTGATTTTCCATAGCTATGTTAAATTACCAGAGGGTACATTCCATCTATGCACCACTTTTTCCCTTCAACCCAAATCTGGGAAAGGGCGTCTCGAGTAAAAAAAAACGCTGAAAATCCTTATCCTGAAAACACCTCTGTTTATGCCTGTTTCATTGTCACCACCTGGGGCACTCGAGATAGGCAAGTTGCTTTGGTTTACTATGGTTTGTTTTAGATAGACCTGCAATTTTAGATAGCTATATGAAAACATGATCTATATATATATATAAATTGACTTAACAAATACAGAAACTTACCCTCCAGCAATCAAGCATGCCTTGCTGGACAATTCCCATTTATTTCGATGATTTTCCCAGCGACCAAAACCTGCCACAGGGGATTTCCCATTGCCACGCAAAAACTCGGTCTATTGCGGCGCTCGTTCTATTGATACCCTGAGATGTTTACCATCGTTTTCGGTGACTATCCACTATGCCACTATGCTCCCATGTGCGTTTCCGCTAGAAACTTCCCTGCTATACCCCGCTTTTTTTGTTTTTTTCTCTACCCTGCAATGTGGTACCCCCCAGTATAAGTTGGTCTGTGCTCCCCATTATAGACGGTGATATATCTACCATATACATCCATATACCCAATAGTTTTTGAAACTATTTCAATCAACTGAGCCAAACGAATGGGGCAACACTTTGCATAATATGTTTATCCATTTATCCCATTATATGTTCATTATGTCCCTATTATCACCATTAAATTACCATTACGCACTTACAGTATATCCACATGTTTTCTGGTTCAACTCCCCATGAGATCCATTTCAATTTGGACTCCGCAATTCAAACCCCATTATCAACCACTATAACCGAATACTTTCCCATTCAACCCATCAAATCCCATCAAATCCTTATATTTCCGAAGATTCCATACACTTCCGTATGAAATCAACTGATGTCCTGATTCTTGGTTCAGTTTCCAGCAAATGTCGTACTGCTACGGCCCTCAACAGTTATGGCCATGGGATGAAATGATTCCTGCAACTAAGGTTGTATTTATATAAAATCTATACCACTAGAAAAATAAGGTCATAATTGAGCAAGTTCCAGCTGTAAAAAAGGGCTATAACTGTGGTAATTTAACAGGTTGCTGTAGAACATCATTCTTCACATCACCAAAGCTACTGTAAAGTGTTTTTCGAACTAAATGGGCCATGCTTGGTGGCTCATCCCACTTGGTAAGTGGGTGCTATATCCCAGTTATGTTTGTGGGGTAAGTAGGGCGAATCCACTAAACCAACTGGGTAAACTAACCCACATACGATTCGTGGGATGAGCGAAAAAGTATATATGATATATGATATATATATATATGATATATATATATATGTATATATTCAAATGATATCGATATTCATGATTCATGATTATCATTGTGGGTGTTTTCTATAATCCTATTTCTTACAATTTTATCCAATCCTTTTTCGCACTATCGTTCAAGCAATCACCCCATGGGGACTCCATCCTTCAAGCATCCGGGTCATAAACCTTCGGCCGCGGCTGCCGCAGCGTTGGAATCTCCTTGCCCTCCGCATCCACCGTGGGGCGTTGAAAGCGCTGCGGCTTTGGTGGCGCCACATAGTCGGGGTGGACCGACTCGTGCAGATACAGTACTTGGCGCGACGCGGCGCCATGGGGGGAGTCCCTGCAGTTATAGAGTTGCCCTCCGGTAATTTGTTACACTTCGCTAGTGAAAATGGTGATTTAGTTCTTGGATTTAGCCATCAAAAATGGTGATTTTCCATAGTGATGTAAACGTTTCCCAGGGGGTATAGTATGGGATGTGATTATGTTGTTGATATTGATAACTAGGGTAATAAATGTTCATTATATTTACAGATGGTTTATGATACTTACAGCTGGTTTAATGGATTTTGATTTTTAAATATTATCTATATTATATATATATGATATTTACAACTGTGGTACGAATGGCAATTATCAATGTATTTGAACTGCAAAAATGACCGGATGCTGATGCTGCACTGACCGGATCTTGACGAGATCTGAATGAACATTGATAGTACATATTGATGGTGCATATTAAGATTACTGGGATAGTACAACTCCCAATACCATGGGTGCGCGGCGCCAGCGACAACTTACCCTCCGGTAATTTTTCACATGGCAAATGACAATCACTAAATGGAGATTTATAGATTGACCACACATCAATAAATGGGATATGTTCCAGCATCCGCGACGTTTCATGACACCGGAGGGATCCGCTGTATGACAAATCTCCGTCAAAGGATCCATCCTTTTATGAGAACATTGGGATTTTAACCAGAAATACTTGGGGAACATATGGATATAATGAAAGTTTAATAGGATATACTTTAATGGGATATATATAATCAACTTGATATGATAGTTGGGTTTGTCTGACAAGGAGAGGACCACATAAAATGATATAAAATGGGTACTTGAATAGGGACAGTGTAAATAAATGACTGGGATCTTGGCACAACCAGCCAACAGCACTGGTGTAGCCCAAAGGGTTGGAGATTTCTTCTCGGCGAACTTTGACATCGTTGACATCGTGTCACTCAAAATGAGGACACCACCCTAGCGAACTGAACGAATATAGGGCCCCTTGAAAAAAAAAGCATTCAATACAATACAATCTATATAATTTTAACAAGTTGCACAATTTTGAAAATATCCCCAATATACTGTAATGTATATATATATATATATGTACATTCAACACATACAATAGGGTTAAAAAAAAAACATGTTGAAGATGATTCCCCTCATCATCTATGGTGAGGTTGTGAGGTCGTGCCTCTGTGTCTTTTCTTGTTTAACATGTAACAAAATAGACATTGACCGTTTCAGTCGATGACGTACCTATGAAGCATGGCAATTTCCACAGCAATTTCTTAAAGTACCTCAAATACATAGCTGTTTTATAACAGAAAGTATATCTGATATCATAGATTGTATATCTTAAAGTATATCATATATCTATAGGTTATATCAGCAATAATTGTAGATTTATTAACTAATCTGATATATCTACAATAATCCAGAAAGTAAACCGCTCGTAAACCGCTCGTAGCAACTTAGCGTAAACGGTTAGATATGGTTAGTTATCCCATGGTATCATATGATTGTATCATACTGTATCTTTATTAGTTCCCATTAAATTCACATTATATTCCCATTATATCCCAATAATTGTTCATTAAAACCCATCAAATCTGAATCAAATGCCATACCCTGTTGTAATTTGTTACACAGCTATTGAACATGGCACATTCAGTTCATTCATTTACCGAACTTAAAGATGGTGATTTTCCAGCTATGTAAACGCTTACCGGGTAACCATGAGCAAGGCACAATCTGTGTTTCGTGGCAAGATCTGATCATGGCGACTGGGCCAACCATCAAAGCCCACGCGGACCTCTGTCTCGTAAGCCTGGACTCATCCAGGTTGACTCTGAACATGGGATCGTATACCAACAAAAGCATGCCATGGAATATCATGAAATACAGCATTACTAAGTGACAATCCCCGTGGAAAAATAAAACATACCATGAAAATCAAACGTCAATGCGTTCCCAAAGAAACATCCTACTGAAATCGTGATTTTCAGCGCTTTTCGAAGCAACTCTCTATCTTTTTGCCGGCCTTTTTTTTACAGTGCTACATCGTAAATATACCAATATGCATGCAATACATGGAATAGAGTATTACTAAGTGACAATCCCCATGGGAAAAAAAAACATATGGAATCTTCCAAGATCAGGATGATCAATGGGATATATGGGGGATATATCGTGAAAGTACTAAGTGATACTTGGGAGAATGGTAACCAGGGAAAATTCATTGTGCTACTATGATGGATTTAATGGGATAAAAAAAAGTGGGATTCAATTTTTTTTTGGGTGGGAGAGCGCGGTTTAATATGATTTGACCAACAGACATTGTGATGTAGGGGGGTATCCAATGGTGTACAACTAACCAGCTACAATCAATCCCTTCGCCCATAGTAAACACCACCGTTTGAACCATCGTGACCGTGGATGCATTGGGACGACAAGGCGTTGCATCAACAAGCGGCAAGCACTTTGAGGGTCTTTATAGGTGTTTTTCGCGTGGCTGATACCATCTGGTTATGACATTCACAGTTTGCCATGGAAAGATCCACCCATTTTTAATAGGTAAACCATCTGTAAATGTTAGCCATGGGAAATCACCATTTTTAATAGGTAAACCATCTATAAATGGGCCATTTTCCATGGCTATGTTAAATAACCAGAGAGTACAACTTCCAACATGATCCAGTGTAAAAAACACCGCTCGGGAAGGGAATGGCGGGAAATGTGGGAATGGGCGCGAAACGGGCGGGAATTGGCACGAATCGGGCGGGAAACCCCGTACAACGTTCAATTTGAAGAATATTGCTGATTCAAACTCGTAAAACTGTTGACTGCGTGGTATCACATCACAGCATGGGATATCAAGCAACCTTGGCCAAAACCCCTTCAGGCGAAAAAAATGCCTCGTGCAAAATGCCTTTGCAGAAATTTCTGCCCAGGCAGAAAATATGGAAAGAGGAAGTTCTAGCTACAACATGTGTTGAAAGGCCCCGGAACAGAGCCACACGACCATACAAGATCGGAACAGAGCCATGAAAAGTCTACTTCAGTGTGCATGCCAGCAAGTAGCAGGAAAATGAACATAATACGCGCTCACCTAAACAGTTTACACTACTGGAGCCTGAACATGTTTATGTGCATGTATATACTGTGTATATATATATAAATACATAGAGTTACAATGTATACATATATATATAAAACAACTATGTATTAGTATTTATATATATATATACATACACACATATTCGTTACTGGGTCAGAACTAACAAAAAAACAGTCCCCAAACCAGCCCCCAAACGATACTATCGGTTGCCGCCCTGTCTACCCATCCAACTGTAGATATATTCACCCTGAAACCATCCTGTAGGCCTATTGAAAGAAACCTAGTTGCCCAAGGTTTTGGGGTTTCAACCCTGTACCCTCTGGTAAACATACAAAAAGCTATTGAAAATGGCCAAAGACATAGTGGATTTTCCCATTAAAAATGGTGATTTTCCATAGCTATGTTAAATTACCAGAGGGTATTGTTAATGATTGAAATCACAACAATCATTTTAATTAATTACATGTCAGTGGTACCAGCAGCAAATACACACATAAATATCACCTATATCAAGTATGATCAAGTCTGTAATCTATATAATTATCTCAATTACATCAATTACTTATCACCCAATGTTTGATGCTTAAGGCGCCTTTTTTGATAGTGAATTGCTCTTTGTAATATTATCCCACCGTGGTATTCGTGGCGCCTCTCTCACCGTGGCTGCCCACCAGCGTTCTTCGAACAAAAATCGCAGCCGGGTGCTCACTTCCTGGAGGAGAACGAAGCAGGCACAGCGGCGCCATGGGATTATCCCATGGTTTTTTTGGTTTTGACTCAAGAAAAAGACAACTATATAAAATCATATAAATGTGTAAAGATTGGATTCCAAGAGAACTTTATCAATAGATTGATATCAATAGATCGGTTTCTATGCTGTTTTTGTTTAATTTTAGATGGGAGAAATATAGAAACATATAGAAACATGAATGTCAAGTCTGCGTCAAGCGGTGCATGTAGCACCGGAAGTTTCATGTCTACCTCCAGTGTAATCTTAATGCAACATAGATCATAGATGTGCAGTGATGTTTCATCTTTTAATTATGTTTTTATTTATAATTTTCTCGAACAATCAATTTTCCCATCTGCCGAAACTCAAGCAACATACAAAGTTCATGCAAATTCAACAAATCAAACGAGATCAGCTATACAAACAAGGTGACAACGGTGACATACCCACCGTTAGACCGAGGAAATTTCTAAGGGTGGACCTCTATCGTGGAACAAAACAACAATGTTTGATGAGTATCTTGGCTGGTTTTATGCCCAGCCTGGCGAAATCCCATAAGCATCCATAAGCCACATACGTGTTGAAAGCTGGTTAAACAATGTTGAATATATTATTTGTTTATTAAAATATCAATTTATCTTGCTTAAACCTCCAACCACATTCTGTCCATTCTGTCCATTCTGTCCATTCTGTCCATTGGTTCCAAGTATGTCCCAAATATCATATGGCCAATATTGATGTTCCTGCTACAGTAACGCCCACTACTTAATTACTTGTCCAGAATGTTACCATAATGTTTCCTTATATATATATATATATTTATATTTATATTTATACATATATATATATACACAGTTATATACATTCCATCTCTTAGGACCATCGGTAGTCATTAGGAGCCATTATTATCCATTAGTCACTAATATGAAGCATTACCCGTTGGGACTTTAACGCAACATAGCAGCAACAAATGCCACTTGATTTCCACAACTCAACTACTTAAACAAAAAAGCTAACCACCGGATGACAACAATGTTTTCTTAATCATAGATTAGCCAATACAATTAACCATTGGTTAAGCAATTTTAGCACCACTTAACCATGAGTTTACCATTCTCAACGGTTGCAAAAACTACACACCAGCTATGATTTGCTGGATGATACTCTTAAATTGGAGTCAGGATAGGTTCAACCCAACATTATTAGAGATGTTGACAATACTGGGTAACCATTAGATAACTTAGATTGCCTGTACTTATGATATATGTTGAGATTGTCAAAGTAATATCAATTAATCACTAATAACTAAATAAGAAGTGCATACTGTAATGTCAACCCCGGATTAATAAACCATGGTTTATTAATTAGGGGGGGGTACTCCTCTAATAGACATAATCCAATACTTAAATGGTACCCCCCCAATTCAAGAGCTTAAGGGTTTATTAATCCAGGGTTGACATTATCTAACATTACCTAACCATTTTTAATTGGATCAACCTACAAAAAACTGGACAGTTGTGTTGCCCATCCGGAAAAGATCATGATTTCCCCGGATGTTTTACCCTCTGGTAAACGTTTACATAACTATGGAAATCACCGTTTTATAGCTGGGTAAATCAACTGTTTCTATGGCCATTTTCAAGTTCGCAAACTGTAAACGTTTACCAGAGGCTATACCATCATATATCCCATTGAATCCCATTAAATCCTATTAAATCCCATTAAATGCTCCATTTCTTATGTGGACTTTTTTCCCACGTCGTACATTGCCTCGGGTGGCTTCCAGGTCAAGATGGATCTTCCGTGGCTCGAATGGATCTCATCTTAGCCACGAATGGTTAACCTTTACTATGGCCATCTGATAATGTGTTATGGATACATTACCCTCTGGTAAATTAACATAGACCCTGGCAGATAGGGGTTGGAAGATTAGTTTCCATTAAAACTAGGCTATTTTCAGGGTCTATGTTAATTTACCACAGGGTATGTTATTATCAGATGGCCATGATAATGGTTAATAATAATATATTATCAGATTATGATGTTATTATGTTATGTTCAAATTTAAGATAATAACATTATCTCATCTTCTCACATTTTTCGATGGGTAAAGATGTTAATGGTTATGTTCAAATTAGCATGGTTAAAATATTTCATGGTGACCTGATTGGTGGCTGACCTACCCCTCTGAAAAAAATATGAGTTCGTCAGTTGGGATTATGAAATTCCCAACTGAATGGGAAAAAACAAATACATGTTCCAAGCCACCAACCAGAATGGTGATGTTCAAATTAGCATGGTTAAAATATATCATAGTGACTTAACCATGTAATTAAGATATTTTTTACATATCATGTAATGTTCAAGATGTCTTTCCTCTCTGGAGGAGCCATGGTTTCTCGTTGTACTCCCACTGCGTTTGACATGCAAATGTGTTCTTCATATTGATTTGTTAACCAACTATATCAATATTATTCCCACTATATATCATCATACTCAAGTATAGTACCGTTTTAATTACATGGCTAAGTCACCATGTTCAACATGATGTTTGACTATCCGATCGATGTATATATATTTATATATACATAATATGTACAGAGAGATTACCTAAACATTCAATTAGAGCAAACCCCAAAAAAATGCCGAAACATGTTGATGGTAGTTCGAGGATGTTTCCATATGTTCCCTGTATCTCCCACGTTTCCTTAACTTTTTGGAATCTTTTTTTGGATTTGCTTAAGGACCCCCCCAAAGAATGTGCCCTGTAGATTCTCCAAGTAGTGCTTTTCGTAATCAAACATGGCAACGGATAATTTTCATTTACAGATCAATGATGATCCTATTTAAAACCAATTTAAACTAGGTCTGTGACATTTTGCAACATTTGATTACCGGAAGGTAGCCATTTTTTAGCAATGATAATTTCTACCATAAACCATAGTGACATTGAAGTTATGTTCAGCAACTTTGCTATCTATATAGGGCGACCCACTTTAAACTGATTCGAGTTGTACTAACGACAAAACTATGCAGTAGCCCCCCAAGGTTTACCTCACGTTGCTACCACCAAGTTATACTTCTAAACACTAATCACAAAGTTATACGAACTACCCTTAACAATTATAAATGGGGTTATAGCTCGTGCAACTGATGTTAAATATCACTTAAGTGAAGTTGTTTGAGCCAGTTATAACGTAATTACCGTTAAGGGTTATCAGGTTATCACTGTAACATGGGTAAAACAAGTAATAAGTTTATAGCATCTATCAAAATGGAGATGATTGCTTATGGTATGTTTTACCCGCATTATTATTAGTGTAATCTTAGATTGCCATAGATACTCAAAAAAGATAATTTAGACACTGAGATAATCTTAATCCAAATATGTATGTATGTATGTATGCATGCATGCATGCATGAATGTATGTATGTATGTATGTATGTATGTACGTACGTACGTACGTACGTATGTATGTATGTATGTATGTATGTATGTGTGGATGTATGTGTGGATGTATGTATGTATGTATGTATGTATGGATGGATGGATGGATGGATGTATGTATCAATGAATGCATGCATGCATGCATGGATGCATGGATGCATGGGTGCATGGATGCATGGATACATGGATGCATGGATGCATGGATGGATGCATGTATGTATGTATGTATGTAAGCAATCGTATACATATTATATGGATACTATATCATAGATATCTGATAGGTACTGAGTATTTATTTAATTATATATATATTATATCCAGAACACTATCCACTAAAATTGGTATCTAGGTATCTTAGGTATCTTAATCTATCATCTATCTATATTTAGAGAAGTATCCACCCTTTTGAACCACTAAGCCATCGAAGGTCAAGGCGCCAGCTCATGTGCTTCCGGCCGTCGTGTGGGTGGCGGATTCCAGGTGGGAAGCAACGGTCTCAGCCTTGGTGGTCCAAACCTGGATTTCTCCCAGGCTTCTGGACAATTGATAAAAATATGGGAAAATGAGCGAAATCCTGAAGACATCATGGAAAATATGGGAAATTAGGGGAAGTGATTGAAGAATATGGTAACAATATGGAAAACACATCGGAAAAAAATGGGAAACTATGGAAAATCATGGGGGTTTGATGTGGAAGAAAATGGGAACATGTGGGAAATCATTGTGGAAAAATAAACACACCAGAGAAAATATGTGAAATTATCGATGTTCAATCCGAAAATAATTGATAATCATCGAACTTAATTACGCATTTAGTAAACTGTATATTCTCTCATTTATATGGAAAAATATGGACACATGATGATTACACTGTGGATTTGGGGATGCTCAATGTTCACAAGATCCCAGCTCACAGCGTTAGCCTTGGCCCAGTGACTGGTCGGTGGGTTTCAAATTCACGTCCAATGGACCAAACCTGCACAGCAGAATGTTGCGGAACAGGACCTGATTCGTCAGTTGGACATGCACCAAACTTAAGGTTTTATGATGCATAGAGACAGCCCATACATATAGGAATATGGCATGTATACATGTATGTATGTATGTATGTATCTATCTATCTATCTATTTATGTATCTATGTATCTATGCATCTATGCATCTATGTATCTATGCTTATGATTACATGTATATATATCTACATAGTACAATGGGGTGGTGGCGTAAAGCAGTTTGTTCCAGAAAAAAAAGGGCCACTGCCCCGTGGGATCATTCGTGATTCTAGCAGCGTGCCGCTTCTTGTTTGGTCTTTAAAACTATGACTTATCGAAATACTCTGAAACCCAGCATCTCATCTTTCAGAATCTTTCAGAATTTCATGTTTGAAACTGTTGCTCAAACCTGCAGAAAATTTCCTAACGCACATCTACATGGAATGGGTGCTGATGCTAGTGATGAGTCGTGTGGTTCAGTTCCATGGGAATCCATGGTGTACCGAACGGCGCTTGGAACTCGAAAGAAACATATGATCTCTGATTAGCCTCTGGTAAACGTTAACAATAGCTAACTTGAAAGATCCACCATTTTTTTAATGGGAAAATCAACTATGTCTTTGGCGATGTTCCATAGTTATGTTAAATTACCAGAGGGTAACATGTTCCCATTTTTTTGCTGATTCCAGACTTGTTGGTTCTTCCTACTTAGTACGTGCAGTAAATGATACATCCCGTTTAGAATTCGTGAAATTGGGGCCTATGTCCTTTTTACATCATCGGGCTCCATATATGTCCATAGTCCATCCTATAAAAGTACCTCTCATTGGACATGTCCATAGAAAAGCCCACAGTTATGGCCCTTTACCAGTTGTATGCACTTATAACCTCATTTATGGAATGTATGACCTCATAGAAATAACCAGTTATAACTCGTTTGAATGGCCATAACTGCAGTCAACAGTACAACTTTATTACAAACGCTGATGAGCATTGAGCACGGCTCAGGACGGAAAACCATAGGCTGATAGGCAAAGAATGTTGGGATACCCCACAGTTATGGCCTTTGACAGTTAGAAAACTGGCTTGTAATATCTTAAAATCTTATAGTAAAACCTTAGTTACAGGGATGATAATCCCTTTTCTAAGTGTTGAGGGCCATAATTGCAACATGACTCATATTACCCGCTAAAATAATTCAATCTGAATTTGTGCCACCTGCAGGACAATGGACAATTGCAACTGTGAATCAAAACCCTGTGATATGACATGCATCATTTGTCAGTATTAACGGTTTTGACCATGAGATTATAAATCCGGTAGCTATGGTGAAATATATCGTTATAAGCCAACGATAACTGTTAATTGCTAAAACTGCATATAAATTACGAAAACTTGCTACAACCAAAACATTGAGAACAATCATCCGGTTTCCATGTGATCTGTACACCTAATACACACACGCTCAGTGTGGAATTACTCACATTTATACATACCAACAATCACCCACATCTAAGCCAGCATCCGAATTCATAAGTATATATAGGTATATGAGGTATGGGGTATATTCTCAGAATATCTCAGAATTGATCTTATAGAGTTTGTGGTGGGTTATTACATGTTATTACCAGGTCACCATTTGTTCACCAATTAATATTGGGACAATCCTGACATTCATCAACCAACATTAATGGCTTAACAGTGGCCAATATTATTTTCATAGAGGCCATGAACCAATTCTTAGTTGATTAACCAAACATCAACCAACCATTAAAAAACAAAGCAGGTATATGAAGTTATATCCCACATAATTCCCTATATTACTTGATGGTTCAAACCACAACAAATGGGTGTTTCCTTTTTCTACCCCTAAATCATCATTTTTTTCTTGGGATTTTCCCGTATAAACCATCTATTTTGGGGTACCCCCCATTTATCTGGGTAAATTATAATATTTAACTGACCTGAATAGTGCGGCCATTTGGGGATGATTCCCCTTACTAACTATGATTTCCAGTGAGGGAGAACAGTGAGGTCATTATAATTTACCCAGATTTATGGAAACCCTGAAATCATCAACCATTTGATGCCTTTGTGGCCCTGAGCTGGAGCTCGACGAGGTCGACACCGAGGGGGTAGCTGGGGTAGGGAGCGACCCTGCAACGGAAGACGTGTACATCTGATCCTTCCCCATGGGAAAACCATGGGAAAATGCTGAATTCACCCGAAAAAATGTGGATTTGATGGGATTTATAGCTGATTATAGCCCATTCAGAACGCACAAAACCTCATTTAAGTGCTATAACTCGGCTTAGTTGCAGGAGCTATAGTTCCGCTTAGAATTGTTGGCCAGAACTGTAAGTGGTTTGCAACTGGGGTATCTCCTGAAACACTCCAGATTTCTGGAGAAAAAAGGGTGTATAACCTACTTGGAGAATATGGACATATCTGGTTTTAAGCCAGCAACAAAGACGTGGATGCTGAAACTGATTGAAACCTGCAGAAAAAGAAGTACTTTTCCTACAAGAATCTTGCAAACTTCCAGAACCCATAAAATTTGCCAATGTTGGATTTTGATATTGCTGCAACCTGGCCAATTCATCCAATGCAGAACAACTTGACATGTTTAATCAGGTGTCCTTTCATTGATTCCATACTAGGAAGTGCAGTTCCAGTATGTTCCAGTTATAACTTGGTCAGTATATATATATAATTATATATATATATAATGTGTATATATCTATATGTCTGTGTATACATATTAAGAGTTGCAGTGATCATATGCAGCTCAGCGGTTGCGAAAAAACATGCCATGCCTCAACAGCGTTTAAACCTCACTGGGCATCCCAATTGTAAATAACGGTCACGTTGAAGTGCCGTGCCATACTGTAGAACCCACGAACCCTTTGTGAACACTAGGGCCAACATGTCCAGCAATCCCCATAATTAAAGTCCCTTTACTTGTTTTCACACTAATAACACCAAGTGCGCCCTGAATTACAACCTGGGGCCCCCCAGTTATGTTTACTGCTTTATAAATTCCATTGACATCCATTAAGTATATAGTTATAACATCATAAGTACCAGCAATCATAGTTATTGGAGATAGTTGTACCAACTTAGCACAAATTTGTTCAAAATATCCCATTAAATCCACATGTCTCCTGGATAAATCACCATTTTCCCATGGGTTTTCCCATGGTTTTCCCATGGCTTGAAGTCAACCGGGGTACGTTTCACCCGTTTTCCGATCCAGACCTCCTGGGGGCGCAGGGGGCGGTGGCGCCACAGGCGATCCCGTTGATCCCTTCGCTGCGCAGGGAGGTGGCGGCGGTGTGGGCCGCTTGTGGAGAAAAGGCCTGGGGCGACGGAGCGACATCGGGCAAAGGTTGGTTATCATCATTATTGGGATTATACCATATATATATATTGGGATTATACCATATATATATACCATATATTATCACATATATATATATCTGATTATATTGGTTGTATATGGTTTTATATATATAGGATACTCTGTATGGGATCATCATTATTGACAATCATCTATAAATGGGAGACGGGGTGGGTGAAATCGGCCCGCTTAGCGGGTTTTCGGTGATGGTAACATGTTTGAAATTAGCCAAAATATGGGATCATCTGATCATCAATCATCTATAGGTGAATCATCAAAAATCAGCCAGAAGATTGGGATCATCATTATTAATCATCAGATGTGAAATCTATAAATTAAACAATTTGCGATTGAACAGATGGTGAGCCCAAGAGATTTGTTGGTTTACTGATCTTGACTGTCCTGGCTAGCTGGAATCCGCGAACTAAATTGAGGTTTTAATGGCAACAAGTTCTATGTATGGTGGATTTATTGCAATGTTTCAGTACCGGAGGGTATATACGCGTAAAAACTCGTAGACCAATGGCTTTGTTGTTGCTTTACAACCCCCCATGGAATACAGCCATAGGTATAAGCATAGATCATCACATATATATATATATATCTACCATTAACCATGTCAGAAACCTACTTATAAATTATAAAACAACTTAAGTATTAGACTATGGAGCACAACCTCATACGACCTTGCATGGAAACACGACTATGGTGAATTATCAAAAAATAGCTAGAATACATGGAATAAATGATAATCATTACTAGGCTTTGTAAATCATGATACATAGTTTATTTTCCACTGCAAAGCTAAATTGCCAAAGGGTCATATTAGAATAAACCTGGGGAATTAATTGACACATATGGTGGTTGAGCCGTCATCGGGATACAAAAAAATGGATCAGATTGCGATGTCAGGGCCTGCCATATATATATATATATATCTACAATGTGAGGTCCCCGAACGATAGGTAAATTGGTGCAAATAACTCCGATAACTATGGCTTATAACATATATAACATCTTATAACTATATGAAGTTTATAAAGCAACTTATAACTGGGGGGCCACATTGTATACTTGATGGGGTTACAAAATGTTACAAAGTAACTTGTAACTGGTAGGGCACTACCTCTTGTGAATTTAGCGGGAATCATGCTGAATACACCCCCCGAATTCAAGATGGGTGTGTCTGAAAACCGAAGAATTACCCCGAATTGGGGCCATTTTAATATGAACAATGGATCCTTTTATTTTGGTGGTCATTACATGTAATTACGTGTAATTATTTACTATATAATTTGTCTGACAAACCCAGATGGAAACCAACACTGGCAACATCCGAGAGGAGAGTCTTCTTCCAAACCTCATGTTTGGGATACCATCTTAAATTTCTAGGGTGTGTAGATGTTCCCACAGGATAAATTGATTTTTTCAAGGCCAATACCACCCGAATCACACTGTCATGATAGGATTGGATGCTCAGGGCAGTGGGATTCGTCGTGAACGTTCAAAATGGTACATCTACAGGGATAGACCGTATATGTATCCCAATATGACAGAGTCTCCTCTACTTCTATCAGAGATGAATTGATCAGACATCCCCACAATGTGGGGCCCCCTAGTTAGTTGGTTTGTAACCCCCATGAATACTATAGTTCTATCTACTATATCCCATATAATCCATATAGTTGCTTAGCTATCGTAAACGGGGGGCCCACATTGCAGGAGTGGTTCACAGCCCCAGATCCCCATGGAATTTTAGAGGTTTCGAGCTGCGACTTGGGTGGTAGGCTGCTGAAGCACCGCGCCGGCAACGCATGGCACGAGCGGTGCAGCATGGCTCGAGGGAGCCACACACGACCAGGGCAGTGGGGCCACACGCTGCAGCGTGGAAAAAGGGCAGGAAATCGGGGAAGTTCATGGAAGTTACTGGAATTTAATGTAATGTCATGGGAGGTCATGGAATGTCATGGAATGTTATGGAATAATTATTGAAGTATAATGATTCTGTAGATCTGGAAGATAAACAAAGAAACATAAATAAATAAATATATATATAACTTGATCCAGTCGATTATACCAGTAGTACCGCACAAGGCGGTGGCGGAAGTTTCAGAATAGGAAACCTATAGGAGACGTTGGTTGTTGTGAATCACGGATGGCAGAGCGAATCCACTGATTGACCGAAAGGTGGTCGGAGTTGTGTTTGCTGGAATGGTTGCAATGGTTGCAGTGGTCACCTCACCCACAACTGCTGGATGTAGTGTGATGTACTGCAACTGTAGTTGTAGCTGTAGCGTAGTGGAGTTGTAGTTGTGGTGTAGTGTAATTAGTGTAGTGTAGTTGCAGTCATATAGTTGTAGCTGTAGTTGTTTTGTAGTTGTAGTTGTAGTTGTTGTAGTTGTAGTTGTAGTTGTTGTTGTAGTTGTAGCTGTAGTTGTTGTGTAGTTGTAGTTGTTGTGTAGTGTAGTTGTAGTTGTTGTTGTTGTAGTTGTTGTTGTTGTTGTTGCTGTTGTTGTTGTTGTAGCTGTAGTTGTTGTAGCTGTAGTTGTTGTAGTTGTAGTTGTAGTTCTAGTTGTTGTCTAGTTGTGTAGTTGTAGTTGTAGTTGTAGTTGTAGTTGTAGTAGTAGTAGTAGTTGTTGTTGTTGTTGTTGTTGCTGTTGTAGTTGCTGTTGCTGTTGTCGTCGAAGTTAGGGTAGTTAAGTTAGTGAAGTTAGTTAAGTTAGTCTAGTTAGTTAAGTTAATCAGTGTCTACTTTTTCGACATCTTCACGTCAAAAAAGGCTCAAAACCCTGGGTTTTTTACACTTTTGACTTCGAAATGTGCGTCGCGCCACAACGGTGTGCACTTTTTCGACACTTTTTCGACATCTGAACCTCCAAAAGTGGTCCGAGACCGTCAGTTTTTAACACTTTTGACTTGGAAATGTGCTTCGCGCCACAACGGCGTGCACTTTTTCGACATCGGAACTTCCAAAAGTGGTCCGACATTGGTGTGTTTTGTACATTTTGACTTCCAAATGTGCTTCGCGCCACAACGGCGTGCACTTTTTCGACATCGGAACTTCCAAAAGTGGTCCGACATTGGTGTGTTTTGCACGTTTTGACTTCAAAATGTGCTTCGCGCCACAACGGCGTGCACTTTTTCGACATCTCAACTTCCAAAAGTGGTCCGCTCCTCTAGTGTTTTGTCCATTTTGACTTGGAAATGTGCTTCGCGCCACAACGGCGTGCACTTTTTCATATCTCATCTGGCCAGTTGGCTCCGCACCCGCCGCTTTAGCGAGCCTACTTTTCGACCCTCCGGAGCCACAAATCATTGCAAAAACACAGTGAATCGCGACTTTCCTATCTTTTCGCGCATCTGCATCTTCTTTCTTCTGATCTTGTCTCTTCTGACTCGTCTCACACCTCTGCTTTTCAACTGTCCATATTGTCGGAAGTTTCACTTCTAAACTTCCTTCGACAATATACGTATATATATATAATATATTATACATATATTTATCATATAATTAATTATTCAATGGGAACAACAATATGCCGCACCATGATGAACCAGTGGATTTCAAGGTACCAGTCGTTTGTCCAATCGGAGATACCCGGCCTGGTAAACGTAGAAACAGTTTGCGAACTGGAAGCCATGGTCCATAGAAATAGATGGTTTACCGAACTTAAAAATGGGTGGATCTTTCCATGGCTATGTTAGTCATAACCAGAGGGTAACCCTATGATATACACTACTCTGCCTGGATGACCTTGGATGACCTTGGCCTGACAGGTCTGGTTGCAATGACCATGGTTTATAAATCCGTGGTTGACATTATTCCCATTAAATGACCATGAATGGCCGGTAAAAATAGGTTTGGGCCGGCAGCATTTACCTGTTGTTAAGGGGGTAAACCTTCAAACCCCTCTTTTTTCATCAACCAACCAATGGGAAAGCCGGACATCGAACTGTTGAGATCAGTCCCAACGAATTGACCGACCCATCGAACACCCATCCTCAGAGCTGGAGCTGGATCGCTGTGCCAAAGCATGGACTTCTTCCTGGTGCCGGACACGACGTGACATGTCGACGACAATGTAATAATAGTTATGTCTACTATAGTAATAGTGGTTTAAATTCAACATGTAGCAATTAACATATATAATGGGCGAGATGTCATGGTTGAAAAAAACTAACCATTCATGTTCATCACCCCTCAGAAACCATGGCTTAGTAGGCGATCTGGGATGGGATTATCAAATTGTTGCCATTCTTTTGATATGCACATGTCGAAATCAGCTGAACAAAAAACAAGGAACCATATTTCGACAACACCTAACATGACATAAATTCACTTATAGTATATATATATATGTATATATTGATAGAGAAGACAATATACAGATTTAGCAATACACAACCTATATCAAAAAAACGTCACTCATCGCGCAAACAGCATACTGGAAGATACCCAGCGACCCAGCGCGCCAAACTCAGATGGTTTTGTCAGCAGATTGTACAAGGTGGTGCCCCATAGTGGCCCCTACGTTGCTTCAACGTTTATAACTCCACAACTGTTGGAATTATGGTTTATGGTGATCATAACTATAGGTAATGGGTGTTATCATCCAACAAACATAACTGGGGGTCACCACCTTGTAGCCCCAACCAAAACCCACAACGGTTTTCGTTCGGAAAATGGTGGATGTTCCATATCTATTTAAGAATCTATGGCAATTTTTTACCGAAGATTTGGAGGTTGCTGTATAGCCTATAGTAAATCCAATGTAAATCCTGTTTGCTGATCACATTCCCACTTGCTCCATCATTCCTTCAATGATCTACATGTAAGTCATAGCATTGGTAGAAACCCCAGCTGATCCAATTGATCCGGATTCGTCATGATTCAACCAGCGTGTTGCCCCAATCATCGGGGCCCCGGGGCCTGATGAATCCCATGATAAAATTATCCAGATTGATGCTGGTTGGTGGTTGACCTACCCCTCCGAAAAATATGAATTAGTCAGTTGGGATTATGAAATTCCCAATATATGAAAGCATAAAAAATGTATAAACATGTTCCAAACCACCAACCAGGATGCTTCTCCCAATAAATCAGCAACTCCCATAGTTCTGCTCTGAAAAAAAAACATATCATATGGTAAACCCAACAAGAAGCCCCAAGTCATCACCAATTTCAGTTGCATAACCATCCCCAGTCATGAGTCATGGTAGGTTTATGGCAGCCAGGGTTCCCACATAACTCCCATGGATTGGGTCCTCCAAGTCACGCAGGCGATTGGCCACACCTGGCAGCAGCAGGATCTATGACACAATATGTCTATAGCTGGGGATTGGGGACTGCCCCGTTTTTGTAATTAAGTAGATGTTTCATGATTATATGTTGTGAGATTCCAGCACACCGGTTAAAAACAAAAAACAACTACAGTTGTAAATGGGATTATACATTCTATCAATGAGGTTATAAGTAGCGCTTATAATTGGTAAAGGGCGAAAAAACTAACAAACAAATTTTGGATAAGAACGGGATTGGCAGTTCATGGATTCTTGTTATCGTTGATTTGGTCGCTTCACCCCGAACAAAAAAATCAACCGTCTCGACGGGTTTAGCAGCTTCACAAACAGGTGGATGTGGACGGACATGAAGGATTGAATCAACCCTTGCTGGTTTTGTTGGCTTTCAAAAATACAGATGCGGCTCCTAAAACCAAAACTTGGGTGTCAATGTTTAACCACCAGAAGCCAAGAATGTAACGTGCCCAAATGTAGCCATAAAGAACAGGAATCTGATGTAGGGAAACCAGTGGATACCGAAAACAAAACCGCGGCGGACGTTTTGGATACCGCTTCAGTGACAGCCACTGATCATTTGCTTATAGAGCATGTGCAATAAACCAAAAGAACATGTAGGTAGACACAGTTATAGCCCCAAGAACAGTTGTAACTGGTTTATATGTTCATTTAACTAATTTAAAACCTTATTTGCAGGAGTTATAACCCCACCTATAAGTGGTAAGGGCCGCAACTGCAATGGACTATTCAGGGCCTTCAACGTTGGTACGGATTTCATAGGGTGTAATCACCATTACCACATCCATATCAACTTCCTGTGAACAAACAGTTCGATGTGGAAAACCCATGAAAACCCACCATTTGTAGATCATGTTCCGTTTCCCCATGGGTTATCCGCATCTTCTTGTATGCTTACACTAGGGATATGTCTCATTCATATCCCATATAATCCATATAGCGATTTTTCCACCAAAAATACTCAAACATACTGCTTCTCTCATATCTATCCATATAATTCCATAATTTATTTCCAACGCATACCCCTGGGTAAATGATAATAATTCACTAATCTGAAAAGTGCGTCCCTTTGGGGATGATTCCCCTTACTCACCATGATTCTAGTGAGGGAGAACAGTGAAGTCATTATAACTTACCCAGGGCTTATTCATTATAATTATTTGAACGATATTCCCATTTCTTCTAAATTATACCATCAATATACCATCCATTATACCATTCTTAAATATCATGTTATACCATCAAAATACCATCCATTATGCCATTCTTAAACATGATGTATACCATCAATATTTATATATATATATATAGATAGATGTACATTATTATATACCATCAATACACCATTATCCAATACTGGTCGGCGGTTTTTGACAATATTGAAAATATTGGTCAATGGGAAGGATGACATGCCATATATTATGGAAATTAAAAATGTTTGAAACCACCAACCAGATCTGATTATATACCCCTAATTACAAAAAAGATAGGTGATTCTTGGTAGATAGCCTGAGATATCCTCAAAATATTAGTTTTTTTAACGGTGTTCTGCATGTCTGCCCAAGAACAAAAATGAATATATTCCTTATTCCATAGATCGAAGACATGAACCGTCCCAATGGGCTCCCGTGCTGTGCACCGACTTGGCAAGGGAATGTTCTTTCTTTGCAAGCACCGCCATCTCACCCTGATGTGGGATGCACAAATATTAAATTGATGAAAAAACATACATAAATACATGTATGTAACTTATGTAACTTATGTATGTATGTATGTATGTACGTATGTACGTATGTACGTATGCACGTATGTACGTATGTACGTATGTATGCATGTATGAGTGAAAATTATGTATGTATGTATGTATGCATGTATGTATGTATTGAAATCAAATGTATGTATGTCTGTATGTATGTATGCATGCATGTATGTAAGTATGTGTGTATGTATGTATGTATGTAGGTATGTATGTATGTATGTCTGTCTGTATGTATGCATGCATGCATGCATGTATGTGTGTAAGTATGTGTGTATGTATGTATGTATGTACGTATGTATGTATGTATGTAAACTATGTATGCATGTAAACTATGTATGTATGTATGTATGTATGTAAGTAAAAGTGTATGTACGTGTGTATGCATGTATGGGTGAAAATTATGTATGTATGTATGTATGTATGCATGCATGCATGCATGCATGCATGTATGTATGTAAAAGTGAATGTAAAAGTGTATGTTAAAGTCTATGTTAAAGTGTATGTTAAGATGTATGTCAAGATGCAAAATCATGTATGTGTGTATGCATGTATTTATGTAAATTATGTATGTAAATTATTTATGTATGTATGTATATATGCATGTATGTATGCGTGTATGTATGTATGTATGTATGCATGTATGTATGTATGTATGTATGTATGTAACTTATGTTTGTACATTACGCATGCATGTATGTGTGTATGTATGGAAACAATTATTTGGGTATGTTGATGTACGTGAACAATTATGTATGTATGTATGTATGTATGCATGTATGTATGTGTGTATGTATGTATGTATGTATGTAAAAATGTATGTATGTATGTATGTCAACTAGGTATTTATGGATGTAACATTTTGTATGCATGTATGTATGTAAAATTACGTATGTATGTCAAATTATGTATGTATTCACAGATGTGTGTATGTAAGTATTGCAATATTATGTTTGTATGTATGCATGTATGTATGTATGCATGCACGTATGTATGTTTGTATGTATGTATGCATGCATGTATTATAACCAGTGATGGCCTATTTGTGTGTGTGGCCACCCTGGGTATATAGGAACTATATGGGAAAATATAGGAACTATATGGGAACATATTGGAACTATATGGGAAAATATTGGAACTATACACAAATATGTTGGAACTAAAAGAAAGAAATGCAGGAACTTGAAAAGACTGGGTTGTGCTGAAAGAATTGCACTTAGGTTCAGCCTTTTAAGTTGGCACAAACACTTACAGAGATGTGGGCATTCATACCACAAACCCCAGGATCAATGATGATGTTGGAACCAAAAACACAGAATTATAAATAGCCGGCTTATGTTCTAAAATCTATCTAGGTAGCTGTTTCAAAAGATATGATATAACGTATGTATATACTTGTATACACATATACTGATGTATTGTATTCATATAAAATACATATGCAACAATTATATGTATGTATGTATGTATATATCTATATATATACATATTCTGATGCAAAATCAAAACATATATAGATATAGATACTGATATATTTAGGCTAAAACAACGCAAGAATCCAGTTTTGCGGGAACGGTCGCGACGGTTCCCGACTGTAATCTTGAATGCAGCGTGGAACGGTTGCGACGGTTCCTACACTATATCTTTTTTGCAGTTTCCAGGAACGGTTCCGAACGGTCGCAGACGGTTCCGGACTATATCCGTTCTTTAAGGGCTATAGCATGGAACGGTCGCGACGGTTTCCGACTGTAATCTTGAATATGGAATGGAACGGTCGCGACGGTTTCTGCCTTGTAGCACGGAACGGTCCTGACCCCTAAATCATATGTTTGTTTCTCGTTTTATCTATGATCCAAATATTTTTTCAAAACATATTAGTTTCAAATTTTCAGCTAAAAGCTACAAGTTGTAAGTTTTTCGTGTACGACGTGCTTTAAAAGTTGTTGTGATATAATAGTAATTACCATAATTCAGTGGTATAGCCGAAATAGTATAGCCCACAACAACCTACCCAAAATTCCTTTAAGAATATGGGTGGGATGGAAATCATCAGCAACATGAACAAATCTGCAAGTTGGTTCCTGCCAGTGATGAAAGAAATGCATCATCGATGTTCTTGGTGTAGCTGTGGGGGGTCACCCGGAAAAAACAGCACAGGGAAGGAGGGCCCCGTGACTTAAATCAACGTGCCCCTCGATTCCAAAAACCAGGCAAATTCCATATCTGGTTTTCCATGCCCAAACGGCTTCTGTATCCCTGGATCTCTTCAAAGCTCTTCCGGCTCAAGCTGTATCCCGTAAAGCCACATATCAACCATACCCCTCCAATGCCCAAAAATGGAACCGTAGAAACCGTAGAAACCGTCGCGACCGTTCCTGGGGTCTGAAAATTGCAAAAAATTGGCTAGGAACTATACGGAAAATCTCAGGAACTATATGGAAAATCTCAGGAACTATATGGAAAATCTCAGGAACTATATGGAAAAACTTCAGGAACTGTATGGAGAATCTCACGGGCTATATTGGAATACACTAACTGCCTGGCAAATATCAATCTTCAAATTCGCATGCCCTCTGAACATCTTCAACTACACCCCACTTTGATCTAAACATCACTTTCCAACATATGGGGTACGCCAGTTCTGTGGTTGGGGGTGAGCAAAAACAGCCCCATGCCGACTCTGAAAGCTAGAAACTCTAAACTTCCAACTTTGGCCTTCCGATCTGACCTGTTGTTTCCTTTACTTACTTGAATTTTGATCCACATCACCACATCACCACATCACCACATCACCACACCACCACCACCATCATCATCATCAGCAGCAGCAACATCAGCAACATCAGCATCATCAGCATCATAAGCATCACCATCATCATCATCATCATCGTCCTCATTCTCACCCTCATCCTCATCCTCATCCTCTCCTCATGGTCATCATCGTCATCCTTGCTCATGGCTCTTCCTTCCTCACATGTCACATAGATCACAGGTCGTAACAAACCGTGCAGCAATCATGTCAGTCGCGAACGGTCAAAAGTTAATAACAGAGGCATCTTCACGATACAGGCAGGCGGGTACAGTCCAGTTCAATTTTGGATGAAATGTTGCTTGTCATTGTGCGTTGTATGTCGTCAATGCTTTCCGTACCCCATTCTGCCAGCGAGGCCGTGTCGTATCACAATTTGTGTGATTTGTTAGGTTATTTCATCCAACTTATTATGTAAAATTCAGCGTTTGCAGTTGGTTTGATACGTGGTTTTTTGAAAAGGAAAATTAGTTCCGATTCAGATTTCAAATTTATGACTTGTCAAAGGTGTCAGGTTATCAAATTGAAAAACCGTTTAGTACGATAGTAAAAGTAATAACATTTTTTCAAAGAAAATATTGCTACAATCATTATAGTATATCTATCAGTTTTTGAGTAATATAGTAGAGTGTACAACCGCGCATGCTCGGCCATTCAGAAGCGCAAAAGCCAGGAACATGTATCTAGCCATGTGGCGGTATGCAATATTCAGATGTAGGAAAGCATTCCCAAGTATCATGCACATATCATGTGCAGCTTCCGATGCATAAGTTAAGTCTCAGTCACAGTCACAGCTCATAGTTGCCCCCAAATCCAAAATAGTTCCTGAAGAACTCAATATGGTTTCTGAAGAATTCAATATAGTTTTCAAGATCCCATTTGGATACGTCACAACCCCCTGGTTAAATAGGCCAACCCTGGTTATAATGCATGTATGTATGTATGTATGCATGCATGCATGCATGTATGATTATGTATGAATACGTATGAATATGTATGAATATGTATAATTATGTATGTATGTCTGTATGTAAGTATTTTGAAACAAATCTGCAATACGTACTATACATATACTGAGTGTGCAAAAGATACTCACCGCAGTGTCATTCAAATGACGCTTTCCACGCTGCAAAAAGGTGACCGTTGACACAACAAGTTGCTGTGACGTCATCGGCCATTCTCGAGACATTCCATGTAAAGCAGCCTCCAACAAGTACCTATCTGGGGAATAATTCTGGGTAACATACAGTATTTCACTACACTAACCTGAATTAAGGCCATTTGGGGATGATTCCCCTTATTAACCTTGGTTTCCAGTGAGGGAGAACAGTGAGGTCGTTATAATTTACCCAGAAAAATGGTTGGCTGCATGTTGGCTGACTTTCCATGGATCTTTCCGAATGAACCGCTGCCCAAGAATCAGAACTGATCACAGCAAGAAACCCAGGACGCGTGACAGTAAAAAGATCATCTCCGCAGTAATATGGCTGCAAGCTGGGCCCATCACCAGCCGAACATCACCTGCAGTTGAGCGATAGCCCCTGCGCTCCTCGGCACCGTGCCGCATCATCACCAGCTCCTCGCGGAGGACCTTCCGCGGATGCGAAGCCTCAGAGGTCTTGAAGCTGAACGGATGATCTTGCCACGGCCCGGCCGCTGTGACCAGACGTTCAATTTACGCCGCCCAAGGGCCCTGAAATTCCTCCTGAAACCGAAAAGCAGAAGAGCCAGAAGACATCGACAGACTGTCTGGGACTCATCCTGGGCAAAACTTCATATAACGCCTTCAAGGCCACAGTCGCCATAGACATCATCTGGAAGGGGTTAGGATGTTTTTTCGGAAACTCTACAGTGAAACCATTGATTTACCAGCCAAACAGTTTGGGGATTTCCATGGGAAAAAGTGTCCCTTCTGGAAAATCTACATCCGAAAAGAATCAAACAAAGCAGCATTCTCATATCTTGCAGGTTTACGACCCATATTTAAACCTTTTATCCAAATTTGGAGCAAGATATGCCCTTAAACCTGGAGGTCAAATCAAAATTGGATGGCGTTCTGATGCAACTCGAGCTTGGAGCATGACAAAAAAAACAAAAATCCGGCTGGAGCCCGCATTCCAATCGTTTACAGCTTCATCACAGGCAAAGTGCTGCCACATGTGTCTAAGAATTTTATACAACTCTCAAAAATTAGGTGAATAACCGCCCATCTCATCTTTGGACCCATGGTTTTTACCCATGGTTAATGCCCCGCCAGCTCCAAAGTGGTGCCTGTGTGTTCGTTGGTTTATGTTCACCGGTATCTACCGTCATTCATCATCAACCCAAATCGTTTAGCTACAACAGAAAAGCAATCAAATCAATCAAATCTATCAATATATCCAAAATAAACAGATGATATCCGCTGTTCTTGGTGACATCCCCCTTTGCTATGCTGAAATCCCCATTGTTCATGGTGAAATCCACATTTTTCATGGTGGAACTCCTCATTTTTCCGGTGAAATCACTCTCTCCAAAGCCTCGAGTTTTTTCTCGAGAGACTCCGTCATCTTTTTGAAGGCCTCGTCGACGACGAGATGATGCGATTCCCATTGACTGTTGGAATGGCATGGGTTGCAATTTTTCCAGCTGTTAGAACTATTCAAAACAATCGATCACACTAATTTATGTGAGATACACTATAATCTAAAACTAAAGCTCATGTTGTTCAGTCGATTGCCAATACTGATGTATATATATATATATGTATATTAATATTGATATATATATATATATACATATATATATTATACAATAAAATAAATTACAAATGACATATATTATACTATATTATATTGAATATATGAAACCAATTATGATGTATATTTCTAGTATATTAAATATATTATATTATATATACATATGTTATTGTGAAGGTCAAATGTTGAGATTGGCAGCCGCTGGTTTCAAGTCTGGGAGCCTTGGACAGTTTCACCGTTTCACCCACGGATCATCTGCAAGGTGCCTCCGAATTATGTCAGTTGGCTTGTAAAGCCCATGAATACTATATTGGTTGGTGGTTTCAACCCCTCTGAAAAATATGAAAGTCAGTTGGGATTATTATTCCCAATATACGGAAAAATAAAAATGATCCAAACCACCAACCAGTATAGTACTATAGTTCTAGTGTTATATCATGTTCTATCCATCTATACCCCATATAGTCTAGTCATGTCAAGTCACCATTCACTTTAGAAGTATCATGTTGTATACATCTATAAAGAAAAAGTGAGATGCTTAGAAATAGTACTACAGTCTAGTCTAGTCTAGTCCTTAGAAATATCATGTTATATCCATCTATAATCATCTATATCCCAAGAATAGTTCTTGGACTTAAACTTGCGCCTTAAGCGAGAAATCGTCGGGGGCAAAGCTTGCAATCCTGAAATCATTGCCTGAAGTACATCTGTGAAATTGGTGAATTGTGAAATATAAATGTGCCATAGTAACAGTTCTAGTCGTGATGAGTTCGCCACTTACAAACAAAATCGCCCTGTTCAAAGTTATAAGTGTCTCGAAACTGACTCATTAAGTGCTGTTTTTTCATGTTTTTCACCTTAGTTGCAGGAGTTAGAACCCCATGGCCATAGCTGTTAGTTGGACGGTCATGAACTGGGAACACCAATCAGCCAGCCAGTTTTTGATTGGATCTTGTGCCAATAGAATTAGCATTGCCCATGCTGGTCTTGTAACCCAATTTAGATCCGGACAATCAACAAACATCCACTATAGACCAGTTTCTCTTTGAAACCCAGGACTTTCCGTATTCTTTTGATGTATGTTTACCCCAGGGCAACTTTCAACCTCCGTTCTCAAACGGATACAAAAAGAGACAACATAACCAATTCCCCGCCCTTGTGGGAATCATTTACATATAAATATATATATATATGATTAAAAATACAATTATGTATATGTATATAATTATATAAATTATATATAGAATTATATATATATATAATTAAATTAATATATATATATATACATACAATGGTATAATATAATATCATATGACATCATATTGTTGGAGCAATGCGAGTTTTTGATGGGACGGTCATCTCCGAATTGACAGAACTCTCCCAGATGCCACGCCTGGAACTTGTCAGACATGAAGCTTTCCAAGGTCGTTGGCAATTCGGTGAAGATCAGCTGCCTCTAAAATGATATATTTATAGAATCTAATATAGTAATCATATGTTTTTTTGACATAGCCATGGAAAATCCCTTATAAATGGAGGTTTTAATGGGAAAAACATCTATGAATGGGCCATCTATACCATGGCTATGTTAAATAACCAGAGGGTAATCATATCTATGTATAGTAATCAATTTTCAATACTATAGATGGTCAATCATACCAAATCCTACCTGGTTGGTGGTTGACCTACCCCTCTGAACAATATGAACGTCAGTTGGGATGATGACATTCCCATATATTATGGAAACAAACATGTTCCAAACCACCATTTTCCCATTTTCGGTCAGCGTGCAAGCTCGGTAACTGGAGCGTAGCACTGTTTGCTAGATCCACCTGCATCGCAAAGCTCTAAATTGTCATCTCCAGGCATTGCGAGGGAGCAGGTAGGCGGAGAAGGGCGGCAGCATTCCGTGTGCACGGTTGAACCAGATTAGCAGCAAGCCAGTTGTCAACCGTATGGAGCGCAAAGGGTGCCCACGGAAGCGAGGCACATTGAACAAATGCCTGGACCATCGAAGAATGTGGCCTGCATTGCTCCATTGCGATGTGCGCTGAGGCTTCCCTCCACACCGATTTCAAGAGTTGCCTGAACCATTTCACCTGCTGTTTGAACGAAAAACCAGATGTAGTGAGATGGGGCCGCATGCTGATGTCGACCCACTGATTTTGGACTCGCAATGGACCTGGCAGTCCCCAGCACATCTGAAAGTCCAGATACAACTGTGCAAACGACACCCAACGCAAATCATCTGCTGTAGTGTCACGAATCCGTTCTGTAAACCATCTCACCACTCTTGAAACATGGGTCGTCCCAAACAACCGAGATGAATCGGGCAGCGCATGACCAAACCAACGTCCAAGAGAAAAATTCATCTCAAACTGTCTGGTGCTCCGCTGCGGCACCTCTGCACCTTGGTCTGCTTCCTCTTCCGACAAAACATGGCGGCGGCCAATTGCAACGTGAAGAGCTTGAACCTGATTGACAAGCTTCTGAGCTGCCTGAGTCGCCTGCACATGTTGTTCCCAAAGCTTCCAAAACTGTTCCGGCCTCGCTTGATTTGCAAGGCGGGCAGCCTTATCCACATAACCATTGTGAAAGAATTGCCACATCTCATCTGCCGTCCGGGCACTTTGCAGAGTGCGGTGGGCGGCAACCTTACGGATTTGAACCCGATCCACCCCAATGTCATCCAATGAAGCAGCAATCCAAATCCACAAGTCGCTGTTGGGCCGATTGACACCAAGGCGAAAACGCCCATTGCACATCAGCTTCACCTTGTTAACCACCCCCGAGCAATCCGACCAAACACGAACAGCAATGCCGGTTCGAGCCGCCCAATGCAAGACATACGCAACAGCAGCAAGTTCAGCACGGAACGCAGTTTGGCACACCCCAGACAACGCAGAAGCATGGAGGACGACAGCCATCTCGGGAGTCCATGACGGCTGAAAGGGAGCAGCCAACACAACGGCCCAAGAAGCAACACGATAAGACACATGTGCTTGCCAAAGACAGGAACCATCCGTGAACACATCATTCCAAACTCCACGGCGAAAGGAGCTAGACGGTGGGACCGCGTCAGCGGGGAGTCCAGCCAGTGTGGCAATCCAAGCTTGCCAAGTGGGAGGCAACAGAGCCCACCCACGCAAAGACAGGGCAGGGGGCAGGGAAGTCCAAACATTGGCCGCATCGGCCGCAAGAGAGGCACGAAGATCTGCATGCTGAATGCACTCCCAATAGCGGTGTTGCAGAGTATCACGCCCCCCACACCATCTGCAAACATCTGATTGATCAGCCCATTTGGCTTTGTAGGCCTCAGTGAAAAGTCCACCAGTCAATCCAAACCGCAGCAGAGCCTGGTCGTCCGGAGCCAAAGCAGCAAGGGCACGCCGGGTAGCAGGTACATCGACCTGCCAAAGTCGATGAAATTCAGAACGATGTTGAACCTTCGAAGCAACCACTTGATACCACGCCCAGGTGAGCCTCATTTCAACCTCAGCAAAATTGCCCTGATGAACCGAGAAGCAGCCAAACGCATCATGGACTAAACCAAGTCGATCAACATGGAGTCCCACATGCTGGAGACGACCCAACAACACTGATGCCACCGAATTGGGGGGTAAGTCCATGTCCCCATGGGCCACACTAGCGACTGAGGCAGTCCAGAAGTCAAGGTCACAACTGAGACGGGCAGCCCGACACGTCCAAAGCAAAGCAACCAACTGGGGATCAGCACGCACCTCAACCAGACCAAGGAGCAAGTGAGAGTTCACACCAGGCTTGTTGCAAGTCAAGGCATTAGTGGCACGACGGCGAAGTTCAGTCCAAACATGATCACCAATTGGCGCACTGGCAATGGCATGGAGCCCTCGCGGCCAGGCAACCGCCCGCAACATGTGCACTTTTGCAGAATGTCTGGCTCTGCAACTGCGCAGTTTCGGCCAGAAGTCTTCCAATGCCTCAAGCCTCTGCGTCACCGTTTTGTTGGTGAACTGTCGGGACACCCCGAAATGGCCTCCGAGCTCACGGGCTTGGTGAACCACAGGAACATTGCGGTCTCTCAGGGCTTTCCGTGTCTGGGCATCGGTGGACCAAGCAACAGTCTTGCGACGATCCACAGTCAAATCCAACATGGAGGCAAATTCCACAACCAAGTCCGATTGCCGCACGGCATAGTCAACGTCCCAAGTGAACACATGCCAATCATCAACATAGGACAGAGACCGGCAGGGCACCCCTTGGTAGGAAGTCCAGACGTGGAAAAGGTGGTCAACCAACAGCAGCCCATAGACGCTAAGTCCACACCCTTCGGCCAATCCAGTTGAAGTCAGAAAGCCACTGGAGAACGACTCACGGACCTTAAAGTGCCGTTTCATGGAGGCAAGTCCACCAGCCCATGCAGTTGTAACTTCGGAAGGGGTTCCTGCAAGAACGGCAAGGCACAACGCAGGAAACCTGGGAATACAGTTGAAGCATTTCTCCAAGTCAGCCGATAGCCCGCAAATGGGTTGGCCAGTGCTGTATGCCATTTCAATCTGGAGAAGCAAGAAGTTCCAAAGGTCAGAGGCTTGACGTCCCTTCCTGTTACCATAAACTCCTTCGTCAACCCAGGTTTCAGCCCATTGCAAGAGGTGTCTCGACTGGAGGCTGGACCAAGCACGATAGGGCAAACCAAAGACAGTTATGGGCCTATAGTCTCCAACTCCCGAAGCACCTGCGCATTTGGCGAGAGAGTGGACTTTGCCTGCCAACAATTGGCAAGGCCACATGCCATCGGATTCCGCTCGGCAAAACACATTGACCAAACTTTGCAGCGTTTGGTCATCGGCAAGGAGCAAGTCTTGCCTGCTGACTCCGTCAAGCCCAGTCGCTGCAGTCTTTTTCTTCCGGGACACTTCAGCACGCAACAAGTCCACGTCAACCCGGAGGTGAGGTATGGGTGAAGGCCGGAGAACACGAGAGGCAAAACCCACAAGCTGATCCCATTGACGGAAGGAAGTTGCATCATGACGGCACCAGCGTTGCTTCCATTGGGTATGAAAGGCATCAAAAATAGCCGCCAGGTCACCGACGGGCTCAGATTGGACAACTCTGTCAGTGGCCTGGATGCCATCGATGTCAGTAAGCCACACCTTATCAGCTTCAGCATGTATGACATCCTTTGGAGATCCCCCGACCCACAAGGCAAATCCAGGACGCACATCAACTGACTCAGTAAGGATGACAGCCGACTCCTGAGCATCAACTTCTTCAACAACCCCACTGACTTGATGAAGCAACGTTTCAACAGGCTCTGCAGATGGGCGAGAAACTTCCCTGAAAATCAGGTTCCGATCAGCAGCATGCTGTGCAGACCTGTGAGCAGCGCGCATGTGAACCAACCGACGCTCAAACAACCGCACTTCAGCGAAGACAGCATCAAAGATCTGATGGGCAACACTGGAGGCAGGACAAAACTGGGGAATGCTGCAAGGATCATTGGGGCACACATACCAACGTTCAGGCCACCAACGGGAAAAGGAAGGGACAAACCCAGGTGACTTCAACACAGCAGACCACAACGCAATGCCATGAGTAGTGTCCGAGGTTTTCCCAGCCTCGTGATTCACAACCCACCTCAAGTAGTTCTGCAGACGCCGCAACTGCTTGAACCGCTGGGCATGCACCGATGAAAATCCATAAAAGGTGGGCTGGACATCTTGGTAGCGCCCTCGTTTGATAGGGGCATGCCTGCCAACCACACGGCGGGGTTTGGTTTGTTGACCTCGACCACCCATGGCCGGGACCCACTGGTCCTGCAAAGCTTCCTGGGCACTTTGCTCACGCTGTTGCCACAACACTGCATACTGAGTCGACGGGTCAGTCGGATAGGAAAACTCCACTGCAAATCCAGACGGAGGGACTTGGGACCAGGGCACAGGTTGAGGACACGGCCACACAAAGCGCTCAGCATGACAAGTATCCCCACGGAACCGTGCAACCATGACAGCGTGATCGGCAAAGGTTTCAAAATCCAAGGACAGTCCCACAAAGGCAAGCACCAACTCAGGGGACAACCAGAGGTGATCCTTTCTAGTGGCCCCTTTACATGTCTTCTGGATCGGGGCACCAGTACGCTGTAGCACAAGGTCTTGGACTTCCACCCAACCAGCAGCACGAAGTTTGGCAACTACTTCCAATTCACGTGGCTCAAAATTCCAATCGCCAGCGAAGAACCGAGGACCTGGCAAGGAGTGCAAATGGTCAAACAGAAAATCCAACAGCAACTCAGTTTTCCCCTTGGCGTCAACATGGGTCTTGCCTTGTGGGTACCCATACACAACAGCACCTGTGACCCACCCTGCAGGGCTGAAAAAGGCAGCACACTGAACACGGCTGGTCTCGTACGCATCAACTGGCCATGGAACTGCCAAGGTGCGGCAAGGAAAGCATGAAGCGAACGCAACTCCAGCATAACTACCTGCATCGCTACTGGCGGCCCTCTGCGGGAGTGGGGCGCCAGTGACAACTTTTGTAAAACGGGAACGCATAGCCCGGAGGCTGCCAGAAAAAGCATTGGTGGACCTTTTGGACAAGTGAGTCTCACTGATGGCGACGACCGAGGCATCTATGCTGCTAACCAACTGAAACTTACCTTGCAATCCGGAAGGATTGCAAATCCCAATGCTCCAAGTTGCATCAGCGGCTGGACCAGGGACAGTAGCTTCGCCAACCCTAAAAGTCCCAAAGAACAACATCATCAGGAAAAGCGCCCTGAACATTCGGAAGAACCATGGGAACACCCCACAACCGGGCAACTTTGCAGGGTTCCCGGACCTTCATTCGGTCCGGCTCTTCTTGCACAAAATCGTCTCTATGCGAGACATTTGCTCCGTGAGCATTGTCTGCATCTGCTTGCTTTGGAGGTCCATGGAGACCAGCATCTGTTGTTGCAGGGACTGTACCTGTGCCGACTGCTGAGCATGGTTGTCGGTAACGACGGCTTCAAGCTTGGCATGACGTCCCGCCAATTGCTGGACCTGCTGCTCCAACTGCTGAAGACGTTGGTCCTGCTCGTCCACTTCCATGCATTCCGACTGGGCCGGCAGCTTGGCCAGAATGCTGCGTTCAACTCTGGCCTCAAGTTCTTGCAAGGCATTGGCTGTGGGAGCCGGGGACACAACTGGCGGCACTGTGGCGATGGCCTTCTTCCATGGGTCATGGGTGAGCCACGGGTCATCACTGCCAGCAGGTACAGAGCACAGGCGGACAGTGGCTTCTTGGCCGACAACAGGTGCAGGGGCCTCAGCAGGTGCTTGACGCGGATCATGCCTGGTCAAAACCACCTGACCATGCTGCATTGACAGGACATTGTTGGGGGGTTCACAAATGGCCTGGACCGACCAAACCAACCCACCGACAACACTTTGCAAAGGCTGCAAGGGTCTGCATTCCCACCCAACAGCACGCAGAGCTTTGGCAATGCTCTTTCTGTCACAACCATACGGCCAAGGGCCCGTGTGGTAGGTCAGTCGGGACCCTGGAGCCAAGTAAACTGCTTCTGGTTTGACACTGGCAAAAACTTCGGCAAAGTGCTGAGCCATGACGCGAAGTCCAAAGCGTCGGCCTGACCTGGCAATGCCGATGCAGTGGGCCTCACACTTGGCTTTATGAGCGATTGCTGCAAAGTCCAGGTTCGGAAGCCAAATGACCTGAAAATCATTGTGAGGCTGCATGGCATCTTCAGTTTTGGGCTCGATGAAAACTCCATTGCGGCCACTCAGAGACAAAACTGTTGTTTCCAGGCTTTTCACATATCGAATGAGGACCGCAAAGTAAGAAGCTTTGTCCCACTTCGTCGGACGCCCATTGTCACCGAAGAACTGTCTGCGAAAGACATCCAGCAGGGCATCATGCTGATCCGACTGTTGGGGGTGCCAGGCAGGACATTGGCATCCTTCCGTTCTGCAAGTTTGAAGGCATGGGATGCACGCAAGGACATGCTTCACTGGCTTGCTGGCAAAGTCTTCCCAGCTCTGCTCCCACTGATCATAGTGGACAGTAACCCGGGCACATGCAACATCAACGGACATGATGGACGGCACATTCTTGGCACGGAATTTGTACACAGTTTTGCGGCCAAGCTGAACCAAGACTCCAGACAACAACATGGGTTCGTTATTGTAAGTGCAAAGTGCAGCAAACCTCAGAGACGACCACTGCAAGGATGTGGACAAGTCAGCAGGAGGGTTAATGATCAGCAGGGCAAGTCCACCATGTGACAACACCTGTCCATCATCAAGAAAGGGAGCAGCGTCCGCGTAGGTGGCCAAGGCAATTCCAACAGACAGAGGTCCCAAAGTCGAGAAGGGGGTCTGTGACAATGGCTCGTCAGCATCAATGCAAAAGGCCCCATGATCAATAACCAACTTGGATGGGTCCAGCTCAGCTGGCCTGGCAGGGGGGAGGCGTTTGGTGCCACCTGCATTCTTCTTAGGCATGCTGGTTTGGCTCTGGCGGGCTGCAACATGTTGAGCCTGTTCATCGGGCAACACCAGCTGGATCACTGGCTGGTGCAGGTTGGCCAAGTGCTTCAATGACTTCCATGGTGCAACTCCTGTGACAGCAGCTTGGACTTCAGTCTTGCCTAAGCTCTGGAGGATCATCTTGGCACGTGAATTGCACTGGGCATGTGGCACACCATGCAATTGCAACAGGTTGGCGACAAGACCGGTCACATCAGGGACACCCAACCCCCAGCACCAAGGCTTTGGCACTTCAGTCAAAAGTCCAATGGCAGCACCAAAGCTTGTGCGCAACTCAGCATGAATACGCACCAAATCTTCATCATGGACAGGCAAGGGCTTGTTCAGCAACAATTGGCCAAGGAAGCACACAGCCGCAGTACCGCAGTGATCACGTCCAAAGGAACGCCTGTTGCATGCAAGAGCAAACATAGGACGCTGCCACGCTTGACTGATCAAGCCATGCAACGGACACAACGGTTCAACCACTCCATCATCATGCTCCCACATTGTGACCCTTACCTCAGAGAGGCCACACGTCCACATGACAGGGATCCAATGGTCGTCAAGGAGCACCACTGTGACAATGCACGTCACCTGCGGCAATTCATCCATCCAAGCACGTACCTGATCAACGGTACCATGACGGAGCCACCCAGAAGCAAGCAGGGGATCTAAAAACCGCAGATCAGAACGACCTGACAACTGCACACAAGACATCACATGAAGGGTCAGTTCATCATCACCCATGGCAACTCCCTGGTTGTGGAGAATCTGCAAGCGAGAGGAGCTCGAAGTTGAGGCCTGACGCATGGCAACACACTGTTCTCTGGTCACCACAATCGGAGGAACCAGTGCAGCCAACTGAGGACCGGTCAAAGCAAGAAGACCAGAAAGGGCATCAACCGGAAGCCGGACATCAACCGTGCAGTGACGCTTCAAGCCATGAAAATCAGACACGACATCAAGTCCACGGCTAGGGCTGGAGAGAGACACATCCAAGACAGGTCGGTGAGGGACAATCGGCAAATCCTGCTCAAGCTGAATGGGATCAATTCCAGTAGCATCAGGTTCAGACATCGGCTCACTGGACGGGGATGAACAGACCTGTATGGTGCGACCACTAACCGTCTCATGACCTTGCAAGACAGACGAAGACTGAGCATCAATCCACTTTCCATCCTCCGGTCCTTGAAGAGCATCATCCGCTTGACGCAGCTGAGAAACAGTGGCATCGGCAGAAACCTGCACTGTGACCTGAGTACAGTCGGCATACACCAGCGTGACTTCATGCACCTCAGGATCCACAATTGTCGGGGCAACAGGCGGGACACTGCGAAAGAGAGTCTTGGCAACGTCATACAGCTTCTGCTTGAACTGCTGGAGACGACAGACAGGAGAAACAGAGTCCGCAGGAAGACCACATCTTTCCAGCAACTGCGCACGAATGCATGCCCCTACCCACAAAGATTGAAGTGGAGACGCAAGTTGTCCAACACCACACAGACAAAGCCGCAAGTCAGGTCTGTCCGCTGAGTTCCAAACATCGGGAGGTGGCAGACCGTTCAAAAGGGCAAGCTCAGTCGGATGCAAATGTCTGTACTGTGGTTCACCTGACTCAGACAAGATCTGGACCACCACAGCATAAATGCCTTTACTTCGAACCAGGGCTTCACTGAAAGGCTCTTGACGACAGGTGCATGGACACGGATCAGCTTGGCTTCCCCAACTGTGCAAACTGGTAGGAAGCTTTTGGTCAGGTTGCAGGACATACTTCCGCATGTGAGAACCATCCAGTGTGAATTGCCTGACTTCATGGGGTTTCAACTGCAACTCCTCAACAACATCGTCTGGCCAAGTAGGAATCACAGGCATCAAATCACGAACCACCAGACCAGCAAACTTTGGCCAATCAGGGATCGACACCTTACCCAATGAAGGATGGGTCGCAACCAACCACCACCTGAACCGACGGGCAGTCCATATGTCCTCAAGTCGAAGTGTGACCTCAGTGATGTGGTATCCAAGCTCAGATTCCAAAGCGGCAAAGAGCGACCGTGCATACCTATTGGTTCGGACAGGCGGTACACACTCCAAAATCAAGAGTGGGCATTGGAACAAGTGACAAGCTCTGAGCGTGGACGGCAGGGTGTTGGACCTCTCATCCTGACTACCACCTTGTGAACCCCCAACTGAGTAGGGCTGACAGCTAATTCCAGCAACCAAACAAAAGGGGGGATCCACCAACGAAGCCACTTGCTTGAGACATGCCAAGTCACCAATGTCACCAAGCACAACAGGGACAGTAGGATGCACAGTTTCATGCAAGGACGCAAGAGGAGCACGCCACTCAACACTGCACGCCAGGTCAAACCCCGCAGCAGCCAGACCGACCCCCGTGGCACCCAACCCAGCACAAAATTCCACAGAACGGAAGACCTCACATGCCGGCTTAAGTCCATGTGCAACCACTTCACTGGCATCAGTCAACAGCAGATCCACATAGGGGGGAGTGAAGTCAACCAAGGCTCCAAGCACTGTAAGGCGACGACATCCACGCACCTGAGCATTGATCTCTCCAAAGATCCTGACTGGCCTGTGATCAGGTAAGGAGATTCCCATCACCAAATCATCAGTGAAAACCGTCCCATCGATGACTACAGAAACTGAAGTGCCCTTTGCAACAGAATTCCAGTCAGGGACAAACATGTTGTGGGATCGAACAGGGCTATCCCAATCCCCCATTGCAAACAGAACGACCCAAAATTGGCAAGCGCCGGTCTACCTCTGTACTGGCAGGTTTAACCACCAACCAGAAAAGCTAGGCCTTCGGTTGGACTAAAATGGATGATCTAAAGAAAATCAAATGGCTGGGATTTTACTTACTGGACGCACTTTCCGATGCCTTATTACAGTGGCCATACACTGCCCCTCCCCCGTTTTCAGACACACCCGTATGGATATGTTGCGACTGCATGATAAGGTTTTTTTCAGGCATAATTACAAATTAGTTGACACGGCCCGCCAAGAATAAGGCCATTCCAAGTAGAACAAAACAAAATCTTGGCTAGTCTTCGATACTGATTCCCAAAAAAAACTCAATACTGACCAGAGAAGTAAAACAAACTTACATCAACATGCCTTACAATCAGTAAGCAAATACTTACTACATATATCCCAATCAACATGACCACCGAGCCTCAAATCCCCATACTTTACTGGTCAAAAAGAAAGGTTTGATTGCCATCTTTACGCATATTCGATTGAAAAATCGATCCAACTTATGGGAAAGGATTCTATAGCCATTTATGATATTCAATATTCTATACATTTCTATACAGTACGTATTCAGCATTTAACTTTCCACGTATTATCACTAATATTCGTCAATTACATCAAATCAATTGCTACAACCACATCGTTGTTCATCCCACAGTGATCCGGCAGCGCGGGCAGCGCCTGAAGAGTAAAGACAAGGCCCTGGTGCTCAACTCATCGTTCAAGCGGTTTTCCAAGAGCTCCGTCTGGTGCTGGTGTTTCTCCTCAAAAAAAAGTATCAAAACACACAGACAGTTATGGCCCAACTAACAGTTAAGTTATGTTTATGGCTTTTTAATGATATATAACTCTTAGCCTTAGGAGTTATAATTCCATTTATAACTGTTAGGGGCCATAACTGCAGGAACAACTCCCATGGCCTTTGACTAACTATGACCATGGGGCACTGGAACTATAACCAGAAGCTAGCAACCAAAATGTGTGTGTGTGTATTATGTGTATATATAATCGTATGTATATATATATATATATATATTTATTCTATACGTATGAATTGCTCATAACATAGGAATGCATCAGCAACTATGATATATCAGTTCATGGTTTTGTTTGTGTTTGGGGTTGCACATGAGGGGCCCCATGACATCACAGAAACACAAATGTTCAGTTCAAGCCCTACACCACTTGGCTGCATGGGCCATACCATTTGTGAAGTACCATACAATGTGGGGCCCCCTAGCTGTAAGTTGGTTTGTAAACCCCATGAATACTATAGTTCTATCTACTATATCCCATAATTATTGGAGTTATTCGCCCCAACTTAGCTATCTATGGGCCCCACATTGTACCCCAAAGTCAACCAGAGTTTTGTCCCAGACCTTCTGATGGACCGGAAACCGGAGAAAATGGCGCTTGAACATCTCATGGGCTGAGAAAATCAGCAGAAAAACATGGCAATCTTGGGCTATCCTGCTCTCCGCCGATTTTTGGGCGCGCTACTAAGAAATATTCGCCAGCATGAAATATATCAGATCATATCAGCAGTCATCAGCAAGCAATGTTGTATGAATCATTACACTGCCAGTACTCATCAGAATAGATGATGGGATTCAATGTTTGTGGAGATGTCAACAAATCGGCCCCCCACCCCAGTTGCCCAGTTGAACTTTGGTTCATCAACCCATCTAAGTGTAGACATAGCCAGAATCCCTGGACCCTACTTGGTGGCTCACCCCAGTGGATTATAGCCCAGTTAAAAATCAATTACCATCTGGTTATTTAACATAGCCATGGGAAATGGCCCATAGAAATAGATAATTTACCTATTAAACATGGGTGGATCTTTCCATGGCAAACCGTTAGTCATAACCAGAGGGTAACCCTATTTATCCCATTGAATTCACCAGGATTTTCTTCGCCTCCGATTCGTGGGAGCCGAGACACCAAGCGCTTCAGAAATGCTTCTGCGCGCTCAAGCTCCTTGCGACGTAGTCTTCAGCGAAACGTGTCAAGCTCCAATCGTCAAAGCACCAAAAGAACCAGTGGACAAATAGAGTTATGGCCATTTACCAGTTATAAGTGGTTATAAATGGGATTATACATTCTATAAATGGGGTTAGAAGTACTTATAACTGATAAATGGCCATAACTGTAGAATTAGAAATGACCAAGTGAGCACCAGAGCATCACATATATGAATGGTTGGTGAACCGATGTGCCTTCTAAATCTTAAAAAAATAACGAAGGTAGAACGCAAGGTGGCCATAGACTCCGTTGAAATTTGGTGTGTTCTTTGCTGACCATCATCCAATGGCATGGAACATTAACAAGCTATAAATCTATAACATCTTCCTGGTGCTTCGTAGGGAATGGGGGGAATGATCCATAACAAGTATCAACAATCATCCCATTCTCAATGGATTGGTTTAAGGGAAAATTTGCAGGAAACCATGGGTTTCCCCATGAAGATCATGGGGCTTTCCTGTAAATTTTCCCTTAAACCAATCCATTGACATTCCAGTGAGCTTGCGATGAGGTCACTATGATTTACCCAGATAATTGAGAAACACTGACAACGACAGTGACTAGTTGGTGGTTGAGCCCTACCCCTCTGAAAAATGATGGAGTTAAAGTCAGTTGGGATTCTGACATTCCCAATATATAAAGGAAAATAATCCAAATGTTCCAAACCACCAACCAGTATAGTACTATAGTTATAGTCTGCTATATCATGTTATATCCATCTATTTCCCATATAGTCTAGTCATGTTCCAAACCACCAACGGCAATGAGACCACCACGGTCCAACGACTCCGCCGTCCTTCCGTCGACCTTCCGGTGTAACAAGGACCCTGATTTTTAACCCTGGACCTTGAGGGGGACCCCGATGGACCACTGCGACTCATCTGTTTTTGGCAGTTAGCCTCTGGTTATGACTAACATAGCCATGGAAATCCCTTATAAATGGAGGTTTATAGCTGGGAAACTCATCTATTTCTATGGGCCATTTTCTTCCATGGCTATGTAACAAATAACCAGAGGGTATATCACTTCCAATGGACATTACTTCAACCAACAACCAGTGGGAAGGATTATCCCATACCAAACCAGTAAAAAAAAATGGAGTTGAAGATTGGAAGTGATATGAAGTGATGGATAAAACTTCTATAACTGGTTGATGGTGCAATAACCATCTTGAAAAAAATGAGTTCGTCAGCTGGGAAGGATGATTATCCCATATATGAAATGGAAAATAATCAAAATGTTTGAAACCACCAACCAGACCTGATTATATAGCCCTAATGACAAAAAAAACGCTATCGATGAACTTGCCGGACAGGAAACTTGCCTGCATGTCTGTCCAACCAAAAAATATCAAGAACACACATTAACCAAGAAGTCGCCAATTTGGTATATGTCTAAGTATACCAAAAGAGGACTGTTTAGAGTAAGAAAAGACCAACGAATCTGTCGTTGCCAGGGATTTTGTGGACCCACTTAACCATGGGGCGAATTCTTGTTGCCATGACCAACCATATCAGGTCATAAGCGTTCTTGCTCCGACAGTGAACCAACCATATAAAACTTACTTCGTTGACCTAGAACCTTAAAACTCAGCTTGTCCACAGAATATCTGGTTGGTGGTTGACCTACCCCTCTGAAACATATTAATCAGTTGGGATGATTATTCCCACTATATGGAAAAATATAAAATGTTCCAAACCACCAATCAGAATATAGATGTTATCTTACCAAACATATTGGCACCATTGGCACTTTTAAGGATAAACTGATCCCAAAAATGTCGTGCTTCTTCATCTTACGAACCATTTCTAATTTTGTTTCAATATATAGGGGGGTCCATTTTCATGGTACCCCAATAGCTGGATAGTTTGTTTCCTGGAAACTCCCAACAAAAAATGGTTGATACATGATCATAACTTTGGGGTACTCTCTGGCAATTTAACAGTTCGCTATTGAAAATGGTCACTTATAGTTGATCTACCCCCAACAAATGTCGATTTTCGTCAGTTCTGATAACGTTTACCAGGCCGGATACCCCCATGACGTTGGGACACCTCCTTAGATCGAAGCCGCAAAAAAACAACACGGTGACCTACTTCCAACTCGCAGATCTGCGACTCCAAAGGTTGGATCTTGTCCAGCCTCGGCGGATCTGGATGGCCCCATGATTCTCTGCTTTTTTTAACCACTTCTACAAGGTCTATTGATAATTTGGAACAAATGATCTATAGAATATCTATAGTATTTATAAGTGTGGAGACCCCAAAATTAACCCCTGTGACTTAGGAAATCCCCATGTATAGATGGAATATTGAACTGGTTGGTGGTTGAGCCACCCCTCTGAAAAACATGAAAGTCAGTTGGGATGATGACATTCCCAATATATTATGGAAAATATAATTCATGTTCCAAACCACCAACCAAATAAGGTCTATTTAGTTGTGTTTTTATTAAAAAAAACAAGCAAACTGAATACAAGCTATGTTAAACGTGTAGTTAAAAACGTGATATTTAGTCATGGATTTTGCGGGAACATGTTAAAATAATTAAATGATCGACAACCGTCTCGCACTGGGTTGTTCTGGGATAACACTCTTATATTTCGGGATGATGATGCAGGATGGGGCCCCCAGTCGAGTTCGCGTTCAGTTGCCTTATAAGTGGCTGAATTCTATGGTTTCTGGTAGATATATACCTATAGTCAATGGGGGTTCGCATAATTTATAAACCAACTTTTAACTGGAGGGCCCCATCCTGTGTAGACATTTTCAAAATAAGGGATGCCCAAAGTTCCACACAATAACTATACTATGATGATGTTACAGTTGCTGCTTTTCTCTACAAGGAAACAAGCAAAGAACATGGATGAATAGGAATGAATCATTGTCGAGTACTCCAATTCTTACAGTTATAACTTAACCCTTAACAGTTACAACTGGTTTAGAACATTATTTAAGTGATATTTTTCACCTTAGTTCTGGGAGTCATAACCCCCATGGCCAAAATTGCTTTTGGGGCCACAACTGTAGATAAAATGTACTGCCGCTCCAGGAATATCCTCGTGATATCGTTGGCTTCAATGGATTAATCAAACCTGGTTTGCTGGAAAATCACCCTCGGTATACAATGCGGGGCCCCCAAACGATAGCCAAGTTACTTGCACATAACTCCAGTAACTTTGACTCATGATACTTATAACTTACAACCATAGTTAGTGGGGTTTATGAAGCAACTAATGCTGGGGGGCCTCACATTGTAGATAATGTTACCATGAAAACATCACTATAGAAAGTTTTCAATTGCCATGTTTGGTTACCAGAGGTACTTACTAGTAATTGCATGTCTTCAAAATGCAGGAAGTCCTCCCCAAAAGAAGTCGTTTCAGATTTCCAAATCCCACGACCGTACTTCAGGTATGATATGGTTTCCTCCAGATCTTCTCAACCAATTCTGGGAATGCTGTCTGTTGGCAACCCCACTTTCATAGGTCGTAGAAAGGCAGCGAAAACGCTGTGCTGTGAGATTCAATTCTCTAGGATTCGCTAGGGCTGAGGCTGAGATCTTCCATTCTTGCAAAGCACTGAATTCCATTGTTCCTCTGCTGTCAAACAACCACCGATTGGTGTTGTGGCGCAAATCCTCAGTATTCTTTTTGCTAACAGACAGGTATATAATTGGAGTTCTTACGAGACCTGTCATGTGGATGGAGAATCGATTGATTTCCTTGCGCAAATCATACAATCTTTTTCATCCTGCGTTACGTGTCGTGGCATATGATGAATTCGCTCTGCCACCCCACTGTAGGGCCCACGACACTGCGTCTTGAAGCAGTGTCAGTCTGTGTTGAAGGTTGACCCCAGCAGTGTTAACCACTCCTTCAGAATTCGTATTAATTAGCCAACTGGTGATAATCACTTGCGAATTCCCCCCAATGGGATCAACGCAAATATAATGTTTTCAAGTTCAGATGAAAATTTCGATGTTCGCCCACTAATAAATTTCCAGTTCTGTGTTCAACTCCAGTATAAAATAGAAGTCCGTTCGTCATAGCAAACGGGTTCCAATCACATCATTCAAGCACCACGAAATCAATGGCATGATCCCCAGTCAACATGTTGTTGCTCAAAACCCCAGTGGTGTTGTTGTTGTTGTTCAAAACGCTGTTCTTGCTGGTCTCTGCTCGCGGAGTTGTGCAAAATCCTTGGGGTGCTTTTTAGTGGATTACTGTGGGTAAAACAATAACAAACCATCCCCCAATTCACCATAAATAGGTGGTATAAACATGTATAAACCATTCACAAATGGATAGTTTACGGCATTGTTTTACCAACATAATATAATTTAATATATATATATAAATACAGGTTTCCTGACATAGGGGTACCCCTAAATCATCATTTTTTGTTGGTATTTTCCACTATAAACCATCCATTTTGGGGTACAGTGAAACCACTGTTTAAGAACCTAGTGCAATAAGAACTTCAGGGGCTGGATTGCTGGACTCAACCCTTTCTGTCAGCTAATTGAAATAAGAACCCTACCCTGGAATTCCAGCCGCTTGTTTTTTTCCCCCTTTAACGGGTATCAATATACCAAACATTGATTATTAGCAGCTATTTCCCAAAAGAACAACTATTTAGCGCGGAACTTCCATGCCGAGGAAAAAAATGGTTCAGCCAGGAAGATGCGAACCCTTACATAGTTACCAAGGCTGATGCCGACAGCTTCAGCTAGACACCAGCCAAACTCATTGTAGGTCATCTGACCTCGGAGGCTGCCCTTGGCTTGCGTTGGTTTGTCCTGCCTGTGCTGCCTTGTTTCGGGCGCCCAAGCCCTGAAAAAATCTTTCGGAGCCTTATTGTTTTTCTTCCCCGCGCCTCCTTTGCGGCCTGATACCACGCGAAAATAAACTTTCAAACCCTGGCATGGTGGAATATCTGGCCTATAGCTTTGCTTGAAATGTCTGCGCCTGGATTTTTTTTCAGTACCTAATTTGTTTTTCCTTCCTCCCGCCTCCTTTGCAACCTAATACCACGCCAAAATCAAGTGGCAAAACCCTCACCATAAGAACCTCTTAAGATTTAACCCATTAAGAACTTGAGGGTACCCTCGTTCATAATTCCCATATTTTCCGCCTGTAGCATTTAAGAATTCCAGGGTAGGCCGGAAAATTTTTAATCGGTTCTTATCTAACGGTTCCGCTGTACCCATCATTTATGGAACCCCCCTTGTTATGATGAACTCCTTACACCACTTGCAGCATAACACTGACCACAATTAGGACCTGATCAAGTCACTGAACCATCCCCGATCCCACCATGATAGGCTACAAATTATAATGTGCTTGCGACATCTTGCGACTATAGCCCCGAGAAGATGGAGAAATTCTATGAAATTCTACTCAATATATAGTGGTGGGTTCAAGCTGTTCTATCTTTTTGGAAACTATACCATAAACTACCATGAAGTAGGGTTAAGTTGGACCCATGAGTGGCTGTTCCTTGGCCCATTTTTTGTCTGAACATCATGAACTGGCGGCTGAATGGACACGGCGCCAGATCAGCTTCAGTCAAGACACATGTCCTGCTGTTCCATCGTCAGCCCTTGCACTGAGGAATCGTCCGACGATTCCTCACGATGATTTCATCACGGACATGTAGGTTACCCCCAAAGGCTACCCCAAAAAATCTAGAGGCGCGATAAATCCCGAAGGAAAGTTGATGAAAAAGACGAAGCAATATTTTTTTTGGGGGGGGCTCCCTTTGAGAATAACGACATGTTGATTTGCCTCAGTTATGAGGTAGCTTACCGGCCTTTCTTCAGGCAGAGATGGCGTGTACTCTGTGAGATAGTTTTGGCTATCGGCTATCGTTTTGGGTTGCACGTGAGTGGACTGCTGTGTGGAACGGATTTTTCAAAGATGAGAATTGTTGCAGCAGGGTGTGTACGACTATGTTGCAATGGATTTCATTGACGTTGGAACCATGAGATAACACGTCGACAGGGGGTGTGAAAATCTTGCACTCTGCGAGTACTGCGTTTGGTGGTGCGCCGTGTCATCGTTTTCTACATTGGGAATTTGTAACTGGATCCTCACACGCTTTGTCACCAAACTTTCCCAAGATGAAACTGAGACATTGGCGCATCTTGTCACTATCTTTTGCCGTAGCAACGGCCTTGGCAAAGCTGATGTTCTGATCCTTCCATGCTCCCATGGAAATGATCACCTTTCCCCACTGTTCCAGAGACGAAATTCCACACGGAAGCAAAATCTCCGTCAATTCCTCTGACAACGGCGAAGTTGGAGACACTGGCGGAAATGACCACTCACTCTGCTCATCTATCTGCCTCTTAGAGGCGTCTGTCACAGTTCCTCCTTTGTCCATTGCATCAGACGATTTTTCGGATACCTTTGACATTGCTTCTTGGCCCTGTTCTTGAGCCTTAGCCAATCCAGGTGTCTAGATCACCAAAAAGGATGAATTTGGCCTGTGAACTTTGCAAATGTCCGATCCATGGCAGGCCAAAACATGTCAAAAACTTGCATTTCCTTAAAATCGCCACATTCCCAGAAATAAACCATATTCCCTATAAATTATGTTTTTTGTTGGGAAAATAAAACATCATCTCCAGCAAGTAGAGGATAATGATGAAGTGTTCAGAATTAAATATTAAATGATATATATATATATATATATAAATAAATATTATTGCATATATCTTATCATATTTTATGTTGTATTAAATCATATTATATTATATTATATTAAATGATATTATATTAAAAATTGAAAATATTATATTATATTATTTTACATTACATAAAAGGATATTATATAATATCATTTTATATTATATTATGTTATTTTACAACAAATTCAATTATATTATATTATGTTATATTAAAGTAAAAATAAATCTATCAACTCATCTAATCAAGGGAAAACACAAATACATAGCAACGCCAGAAAATAAACCGAAAAGTGTGAAAACTGAACATATTTTCTGTAGATATCATCTATATAACCGCCTGGAAAGATGTTCATCTTTTCAGGGACAGCTATAGTATAATCTACACTTGACTCGTCCTGCGAATCGTGTTCCAGCAGCGCTCCTCGTTGACGTTGGTGTTCACATTGTCCCTGGCTCTGGCAGTGGAATAAACATGAATAAACATGAATAAACCTTGTCTAACCATCATGAAATGGGGTTCTGAATGGACTAGTCAGATTTTATAGGGATTTGGTGGAACTGAATGACAATTAAAAAGATTTAAATGTGTATTATGATTGCCAAAGGAAGTTTAGAAGTCAAACTTCGGACAGTATGGACAGATGGAAAAGCAGAGATGGGAAGAGTCAGAGAAGAGAAAGAGCAGAAGAGAGAAGATCAGAGAAGAGGAAGAGTGAGAAGAAAGAAGATGCAGGCGCACGAAAAGATAGCAAAGTCGCGAAACACTGTGTTTTTCCAATGATTTGTGGCTCCGGAGGGTCGAAGAGTAGGCTCGCTAAAACGGCGGGTGCGGAGCCATGTGGCCAGATGAGAGATGAAAAGTTGCACGCCGTGGTGGCGCGAGGCACATTTCCAAGTCAAAATGTACAAAGCACACCAGGGTCGGAGCACTTTTGGAAGTTGAGATGTCCAAAAAGTGCACACCGTTGCGGCGCGAAGCACATGTCCAAGTCAAAATGTACAAAGCACAGCACTTTTGGAAGTTGAGATGTCGAAAAAGTGCACGCAGTGTTGGCGCGAAACACATTCCCAAGTTAAAATGTACAAAGCACACCAGTGTCGGAGCACTTTTGGAAGTTGAGATGTCCAAAAAGTGCACACTGTTGTGGCACGAAGCACATTTCGAAGTCAAAACTTTCAAAAACTGAGGGGCTCGGGGCACTTTTGGACGTTCAGATGTCGTTTCGCGTGGCAGGCACAAGGGATTGTACACCTTGTCAAAAGTGAGCAAAAACGTGAAGGTTGTGAAGCATTTCCAAAAACGATGGCAAGCGTGGGACATTTGAAGAGGACCTGGAAAGATACATTTTCCGTGGCAGGCGCAATACAAGAGACATGTTCATCAGAGATGTTAGGAGGTCAGGGCCCTGATTTCCTGAGAGGGGTTGCATTTTGGAGCATCAGATCTTCAGTTTCGGGAAGATGATTTTGTGTGACAGGTGCAGCACTTTGTATGACCTGACGTCACTTTTTCGTGGCAGGCACAATACTTCAGAGACATGGGCTGGAAAAATCGCAAAACGCATTGGTATGAGGCCGTCAGCTCTGCATTCAACTCTCCATTCTAGAAGGATGTCTCGCAGAATTGCTTCGTTTTTGATGTTGCCAATTTCAAAAACTGAGGAAGTCTCGCAGAATTGCTTCGTTTTTGATATTGAAAAAAATGGATGAAGTCTCGCAGAATTGCTTCGGTTTCAAGCTTGCAGATTGCAGATAGACAGATAGATAGATAGATAGATAGATAGATAACTACAACTACCACTACACTATACTACTACTACTACAACTACGAATGCAAATAAACTACGCTACAACACAATACACTACAGTAATTTTTACTACACTACACTAATTGCATACAATGACGCTACACTACGCTAATTACACAACAACAACAACAACAACAACAACAACAACAACAACAACAACAACAACAACAACTACTACTACTACTACTACCCACAACCAGAGCTACAACAACAATGTCAGCTACACCACATTACATAACACTGCACCACCGCAGTACACTACAACTACATATAAACATGCAACTACAACTACACTACATTACACAACACTACTACACTACACTTATTACATTACATTACGTTACAACTACAACTGCAGCTGCAACTACAATTGCAGCTGCCACTACATTGCACTACACGAAACTACACTAACTACACTACACCACACTACAACTACAACTATACTACCTTAAAGGTACCACCTTACACTACACTAAACTACACTGCACTAAACCACACTACAGTACACAACTACAGTACACTACTACAGTACACTACAATACACTACACTAATTACACCACACCACAACCACAACTACAACTGCAATTACATTACACTTATTACACATTACAACTACAACTCCACTACAACACACTACAAGTACAACTACAACTGCACTACGCCGCACTACATCCAGCAGTTGTGGGTGAGGTGACCACTGCAAACATTGCAACCACTCCAAAAAACACAACTCCAACCACCTTTCCGTCCATCAGAGGATTTGCTCTGCCATCCGTGATTCACAACAACCAACCTCTCCTATATATAGGTTTCCTATCTCTGAAACTTCCGCCACCGCCTTGTGCGGTACTACTGGTAAATATATACATACATTATATAAGTTTAGGAGTTTTGGGTTTGATTTTTGACCGGGAAATTATCGCATAAACATTCTAAATGCATATAAATTGGATAATTTGGTTCTAGGGTTATCTCCATTTCTTGGTTTTACTATGTAGATAAATAAATAAATATATATATATACAGTTATATAATGTTATATAATGTAAAAAAAATGAATATGCAATGCAGGATAATACCAGGATTACCGCACAAGGCGGTGGCGGAAGTTTCAGAGATAGGACACCACAGGAGAGGTGAATTGTTGTGATGCATGGTATGGATGGCAGAGCGAATCCACTGATGGACCGAAAGGTGGATGGAGTTGTGTTTTTTGGAGTGGTTGCAATGGTTGCAATGGTCGCAGTGGTCACCTCACCCACAACTGCTGGATGTAGTGTGGTGTAGTACCGCTGTAGTTGTAGTTGTAGTGTAGTGGAAGTGTAGTTGTAGTGCAATGTAGTTAGTGTAGCGTCGTTGCAGTTGTAGTTGTGGTACTGTGTAATGTAGTGTAGTTCTAGTTGTGGTCTAGTGTAGTGTAGTGTAGTGCAGTGTAGCGTAGTGTAGTGTAGTGAGGTGTAGTGTAGGTCGGTGCGGTGTTAGGTCGGTGTAGTGTAGGTGTAGTGTAAGTGTAGTGTGGTGTGGTGTAGTGTAGTGTAGTGTAGTGTGGTGTGGTGTGGTGTGGTGTAGTGTAGTGTAGTGTAGTGTAGTGTAGTGTAGTGTAGTGTGTGTAGTGTAGTGTAGTGTGGTGTGGTGTGGTGTAGTGTAGTGTAGTGTAGTCTAATGCAGTTAGTCTAGTGTAGTGTAGTGTAGTGTAATATGTAGCGTAGTTGTAGTTGTACTTGTAGCTGTAGCTGTAGTAGTAATAGTAGCTGTAGTAGTAATAGTAGTGCTAGTTGTAGTTAAAGTTGTAGTGTAATTAGTGTAGTGTAATGTAGTTAGTGTAGGGTAGTGAAATTAGTTTAGTGTAGCGTGGTATATTTGCATTTGTAGTTGTAGTGGTAGTGTAGTTGTAGTTGCAGTTGTAGTTGTACTTGTAGTTGTCTGTCTATCTATATCTATCTATCTATCTATCGATCGATCGATCGATCGATTGATCGATCGATCCATATATCGATCTATCGATCTATCTATCCATCTATCTATCTGCAAGTTTGAAAAGGAAGCTATTCTGTGAGACATCCTCAATTGTTGAACTTGACAACATCAGAAGCGCAGCAATTCAGCGAGACTTCCTCAATTTTTCGAACTCGACAACGTCAAAAACGAAGCTATTCTGCAAGACTTCCTCAGTTTTTTCCAGTTGACAACATCAAAAATGAAGCAATTCTGCGAGACTTCCTTCAGAAATGGACTGACGGCCTCGTACCATTGCGTTTTGCGATTTTTCCACTGATCTAAAGTATTGCGCCTGCCACGAAAAATTGATGCCAGATCGTACGAAGTGCTGCACCTGTCACACAAAACCATCTTCCCGAAACTGAAGATCTGATGCTCCAAAATGCAACCCCTCTCAGGAAATCAGCGCCCTGACCTCCTAACATCCTGATGAACATGTCTCTTGTATTGCGCCTGCCACGGAAAATGCATCTTTCCAGGTCCTCTTCAAATGTCCCACGCTTGCCATCGTTTTGAAAATGCTTCACAACCTTCACGTTTTTGCTCACTTTTGACAAGGTGTACAATCCCTTGCGCCTGCCACGCGAAACGACATCTGAACGTCGAAAAGTGCCCCGAGCCCCTCAGTTTTTGAAAGTTTTGACTTCGAAATGTGCTTCGCGCCACAACGGTGTGCACTTTCTGGACATCTCAACTTCCAAAAGTGCTCACACTGGTGTGCTTTGTACATTTTAACTTGGAAATGTGCTTCGCGCCACCACGGTGTGCAACTTTTCATCTCTCATCTAGCCACATGGCTCCGCACCCGCCGTTTTAGCGAGCGTACTCTTCGACCCTCCGGAGCCACAAATCATTGGAAAAACACAGTGTTTCGCGACTTTGCTACCTTTTCGCGCGCCTGCATCTTCTTTCTTCTCACTCTTCCTCTTCTCTGATCATCTTTCTTCTGCTCTTCTCTTCTCTGACTCTTCACACCTCTGCTTTTCCATCTGTCCATATTGTCGGAAGTTTGACTTCTAAACTTCCTTCGACAATATCAACTGCCCCCCACCATGATTGGCCCGCCAAATGGATCGAGCCAGTACATAGGACCAGAGGTTTCTCACCACACGGGGAGCATCCGGCCTACCCGTTAACCCACCAAACATTGGTCTGGGATTAAACCATCCGATTTTAGGGGCTTTAATTTTTGACCCATTCCCATCTTCCACAAGTCCAAGATTGAATTTCAACAATACATTTATGGCCAGAAATACCATTTATGGAATGATAACCCAATCTAGAACCATGTAAAACTGACTGATAAAGAGGTTTAACCACATAAAGATTGTGTTTTGTCCCATATGTTTAAACATGTTTACCATTATTGTGGCTTAAATCACCATTATATCACGATTGATGTCGAAAGTAAGCAAAATTCTAGGTACCTTGGACATCGTTCGACCCAGATCTGGCTCCAACATAAGTTCCAGTCCTGTTTCCACCTTGGTGCCTCCCGGAGAAATTTGGTTTATGTTACCCTGACCAGTTCGACATACTTAAATCCACACCATAAAATCCTATATAAAATCATAATATATAATAGCTAAGTTGATATTTGTAACTATAGCTTTTTAACATGCTTTATGCTAGATGTCAAGGAACAACCAACGATGGCCCAGGCTTCTGCTCAGGACCCGGGTCAACTTAGCCTTTACCCACACGTCTATTGCATACGATAAAAATCAACATGTCATGTCTACAAGAAACATCATTTTCTTGTTTTTTCCATGACAACTTTATCATTGTTTTATGGGTATTTGATGGTATTTGGATCTATTCCGGAAACGTTCCGGAAACGACCAACAGCGAATGATCGGCTTTTTTTCGGCCCCCATCTTTCTGACGGCAAATGCAGTGGCCCTTCAGTTGTAAGTCAGCTATAAAGCCATGCAATAGTAGACTCCACAATGTGGTGCCCCCCAGTTATAAGCTGGTTTTTAAACCCCATTAACTATAGTTATATCTACCATAAACCATAGTTATTGGACTTACTAACCAACTTAGCTAACTATGGGGCACCACTTTGCAGTTTATAAGCATTTTTGATTGGGAAGGGGCTTTCCCAACCAGACTCCAAACCAGACTATGTGGAGATGGTGAGTGATGTCCCAATGCCAGGTACAGGTTTTGCTCCACACTTGCTGAAGGTTTTTGTGCAATGCTGCGTGTTCTTATGTATTTTTCTCGATCATTTTAAATGAAGAAAAGCATACATTGCTTTTGCGAACCGCAAGGCTCCGCAAGGCGGTTGCACTGTTGAGGGAAGTTTTTGGTGATATTGCTATGAATGTAAATGTATACAGTATACAGTATACAGTACTATTAGGTCACAGACTATGTAAGACAACTATTGTGTTCATTATTTCATGATCATCATTACTATCGTTGGACGTCAGCATCATAATTCTCATTATTAAGGTGAACACGATCATCATTTTATTAGCACACATCTTCCTAGCAGATTGCAGGCCCGGGGGATCGCCACGCTCTAGAGGAAGCTCGCTTCCACATTAAATTCCCACCCCCACTCCAACCCCACACCTAAACCCCTGACCCCACCCCCCCCAAAAAAAAACTTGGCGAATGATGGCAACATATGGCAACATCCTGGCGTCCGACATCTCGCCGTTTGGTCAACCGCAAGCCTGGCATTGGACTTCCGCCGGCTCATTTGCTGCAGCATCTCGCCTCAAGAGTTGAGGATTCAACCAACAAAGAATGGGGATTTAACCAACAAAAACGGGGCAAATTCACAATGGTTTAACCATATTTCATCACCAACAATGTGGATTGCGCCGGCCAAGTCGGTACCATCTGGTAATTTAACATAGCTAGAAATAGTTTAAAGAGTTGATATAACCAGCTATAAAATGGTGATTTTCCATAGTTAACTTATTGCTGCTTTCCATGATCACCCAAATAGGATACCACCAGGATGAATAACCCCTGGTTGAGTCATTAGGGACATACCATGCCCACAAACATTGTGATATTCTGGGGCGTTCAATGGACTTCAATGGACCAAAAAAAATAAGTCTATGGGGATTATCACCCAAATAGGATACACATAATTATATTCTGTATGAATATATATATAAATATGTATATATGTATGTCCACACACATATATATATATCTATGTATATGTATATATGTCCACTATATACATACATACATCCATACATACATACATACATACATACATACATCCATACATCCATACATCCAACATCCATATATCCATACACACATACATACATACATACATGCATGCATTGATTGCATTGCATTGCATTGCATTACATTACATTACATTACGTTACGTTACGTTACGTTACATTACATACATACATACATACATACTTACATTACATTACATTACATTACATTACATTACATTACATTACATTACATTACATTACATTACATTACATTACATTACATACATTACATACATTACATACATTACATACATTACATTCATTACATACATTACATACATTACATGCATTACATACATACATACATACAAACAGACAGACAGACAGACAAACAGACAGACAGACAGACAAACAGACATACATACATTACATACATACATACATCCATCCATCCATCCATCCATACATACGTACGTACGTACGTACGTACGTACGTACATACATTACATACATACATTACATACATATTTACATAGATACATACATACATTACATTACATTACGTTACGTTACGTTACATTACATTACATTAAATTACATTACATACATACATACACACATACATACATTACATATTTAGATTCCAAACCATGTACCATTTATATACCACATTGTACAACTGGTATAATTTCAACCGCGGATTAATGACCCTCGGTTGATCAATTGCGGTGGTAGCGCCAAATAGTCAATGCGGATGATATTCCTAGGAAGGGAAAAACCAGAACGTCTTCCCAGATTCCAAACCAGCAACCATTTATATCCATTTATCCATTTATCTGGGTAAATTATAATCATTCACTAACCTGAAATAAGACCATATTGAGATAATTCCCCTTACTAACCATGATTTCCAGTGAGGTCGCAGTGAGTTCGCTGTAATTTACCCAGATTTATCATGGTTGGTTGTTTAGTTCATGTTCACCTGCATGAAGAAACGGGTTTTCAGCGTGTGTGGAGATGAGCATCATCAGAACCACGCCGGACCAGGGCTGACGGATATCACTGGTCACAAGATGTCCATGTTTGTCCCAGGTTTCAGGTGTTTCCTCATCCTGGTGCAATTGAAGACAAGGTATATACATTTGATATATAATACATATCCATTTAAGAATAATACACAATCATATCACATAAATAGATTTATACATGGTATATACATCCAAACATGTCCAACATGTCAGAAATTAGAACCAAATATCATGAGGGTTATACTTTTTTCCCGGCACACCTGAATCCAAAGACTATGCAGTCAATGGCCATGCAGAACAAAAAGGTGACATTCTGCTTGATCATCAAATTACATAAAGTGGTGCCCCATAGATAGCTAAGTTGGTTTCCAAATACAACAACTGCTAGGTTTGTAGATGATGTATCGACATAGTTGCAGGGCGTTACAAACCAATAAACATAGATCTATAGAAACTGTTAGAGAAACTATATATATATATAGATATAAATAGTTATGCCCTATACAATAACTATATATAGAAAATATAGATCTATACTGTTAGATATAGATATAACTATATCAACAGTCATCTATGTCGAATGATCCCCATTCGTGGCTCCATTTCTGACTGGGTTACAAGTATGAAGATTATATCCCTATATATTGATGATATATCCCAATATTATCCATAAATTCCAAAGTTCATATCTAACCAGGATATTTTATGGGATAATCATCTATTAATCATCATCATCATCATATAATCATCATATAATCTCACCCGTAATCTAAGTGGGATAATCCTCCAAGTATGTAAACAAATCAACATTATGGCTTTATCTAACATAGGGTATCCAGAAAAAAGCATGGGGCGATATTCTTCTCAGGTGAGGTGCCCTAGTTGTAATGTTGGTTTATAACACATAGTTTTCAACTTATAACCCAATGAACCACGGTATTTTTCATAGCTCATGCCAACTATGGTTGATTGGTTAGGCAATTATGAAAATCTAAGGTTCTTAAATCCTAGTTTGTGGCTTATCCCATCTATAAATGAGCAGTGTTCAAAATCCATGTGTCATTCCATTTCATCCTGGTTGGTTAAGAACATGATTCCCCGTTCTTGGATCATTGAAATCCCCAATCTGGGGAGTATAATTTCCGAACCAATCATCAACCAACAATGATGTATCAGCTATATCCACTTCTATCCCTATAGATCCCTATATATCCCTATAATTCCCTATATATTTGATGATGTATCCCTATCTGGTTGGTGGTTGACCTACCCCTCTGAAAAATATGAGTCAGTTGGGATGATGGCATTTCCAATATATGGAAAGTCATAAAATTCAGGATATCATCAACTATAGGGAATTATAGGGATATTTTACGGGATATAAGTGGATATAACTGATAAATATATATATATATATATACAGCTGGTTGGTGGTTTGGAACATGATGAATGATATCCCTATATATCCCTGTCTGATGATATCCCCTATATATTTGATGGATTTTGATGCTTCAAACCATCAGAAATGACGACCAAAAAAAGGCCAAGGGGCGTCCCGCCATGGACGGGCTAGTGGTGCCACGACTCACTTGTCGAAACCTGGCAGAAATCTGTCGAACACCAAAATTAGAGAAAAGTAAGGGAAAACCATATTGAAACTGGGATACATCTATTGTTGATGCGATTTTATGCGCTAGAATATGTAAATATAATTGATATATGTTTACTTATGTTATATACTTATAAATAACTTTTCTATTTTTTGGGAAGGATAGATGTTGCTATATGGATAGTTCACCACCGAAGCTGTGCCCCTACTGACATCGCTAACATTATGGCGTAGACGTAGAATTTGAGCCCCAAGTTCTACGTAGCTATGGAAAATGGTCATTTATACTATAAATGTTCATAGATAAATTTTATAGATAAAGTTCCCATCAAATCAAGGTGATTTTCATTGTTTTGACATTCCATGTGGGGCAAACTTTGAACTGGGCAGACGGTGGCTGGTGCAGCCTCAACCTGACATTTGCGGCAGCCGGTGCACCACCAGGCTCCTACACATGTCGGACCTTCGATGTCTACCGGCTCGTCATCCGAAAGATGTCGCTGTTTCATGGTTTTTATACGAAAGTGGCTGGCTTGGTATAGCTGCATCGGTTGTTTGCGTTACCAGGTTAAGAGAAACATGAACTGTAAGCGCATTACAAGGAGTAAATCCGCCCCCCCTCAGTTATGTTGCTTGCTTTGTAAACCACATGACATAAATAGTATAGTTACTTATTTGCATACCATAAATCATAGTGACATTGGAGTCATGAAGGCACGAACTTAACCATCATTCCCCGCATTGTAGTTTTATAACATGCTGCATGGTAGATATCGAGGTTTCCTGAAATGGTGGTACCCCCAAATCATCCATTTCTAGATCGGAGTTTCCATTGTAAACCATCCAGCTATTGGGGATCCCCTGTTTAGGGAAACCCACATGACTGACTGTAGCTGGCTATGGAGCAAAAGTCCTTTAACCTGGTCCCCAACATGCGGTGGATGTTCATCCCCCAAACAACAAATCTTGAAATCATGGCCAATCTTAGCTGGTTGGTGGTTGACCTACCCCTCTGAGAAATATGAGTCAGTTGGGATGATGACATTCCCAATATATGGAAAGTCATGAAATTCATGTTCCAAACCACCAACCAGATGGCCAATCTTAGATTTCCTGCAATGAACTGAAATACTTATTTCTGGGGCTGGTTGGTCAAAAATTCCCCATCTAGTAGTAAAAAACAAAGCCATTAAGCTAAACTAAGCTACAGGAATGGACCGCCAGGTTAGTTGGTTTTTATGTTCCCTTTCTATAAGTATAATATGTAATAATATGTAAATGTCCACCAGAAATCCAATAGTGACTGTAGTCAAACACCACCAGAAACCTCTCGTTTCTGGGCCCCTTTCTGTCCTCAAAAGCTCTCCGTTGACCCACGCCCCATCGTCGCCCAAAACATGAAGGCGAGGCATGTCAGTCCCTCGACTGGAGCAAAGATCTCCCTGAGAGGAACGATACTTCTTCTTACGTTTCCTTGGCTGTGCATCATCAGGAAACCAATGCGGAAATGTTGGCTTTTGTGGTTTAAGTTCATGTTGGTTTAATATGGTTTAACCTAGAAGAATGGCAGCTGGAACCAGTACGCACCAACTTCATCAATAAGTTTGGGACTAATTGCCAGTGGTAGTGGATCATGGCAATGAAGACATCCCATTTCTATGTTCCGAACAATTTTTTCCTCCAAGGGTGACCATCCCATTGCTTGGATGGTTGGATGGAGCCATTTTAGGATCAGCAGCTCTACTGAAAACACATCTCAAATCAGTTGTACGTAGCTTGTTTCATCATTTTATGGCAGTTATCAAAATCCCAATCCTGTCTTTGAAAACGCAAGTTTTCAAAAAGTATATTATAGCTATGTTCACTCATAACTCATCACTATGAGGTAATAAAGTTCCACAAATCGTCATTCAAATCTATCAGATCCCCCCAAAGCTCGCCCAATTCAGGCCTTAGGCCTCTTTTCTGAGTTATTAGCCACCATAAGCTCATCGGGCTATCCGCCCGCATCCTTTTTTCTTTGCTCTCTTCAAGAGATCTAAAGCACACTATGCCGCCGCGATCCGCTTGCGTGGCCAAACTGCCGTCATTCACAGCTCCAGGAGTCGTCAAACAAAGCACAGTCACGTGTGGATCAACGTGAAATGATCTGTTTGGGCATCCCGGTTGCATTTGTGGCCATGTCATACTTGCATCCGCTCTGGAGCATTCTCCTTTCTCCGCGGGTCGGGACACCTAGTTAGTTATGTTCCCTGGGTGAGCAACTTTTCATTCGTATAGTTGGAATACAGTGACATAGCAGTGTGGATTCGGTAGATATACTTTTTACATCCCTTTACAGGTTCTGGACTATATAAACCACTTACAAACATGTCAGTGCCCATCGTTATTGGTTTTGTTTGATGCGCATGTTGCTATCTCTTGAATCTCTTGGGCCCCAGTCACTGTTTTTGTTTTTTTAATATAGCTCACCCCGGAACATCCGAAGGGATTGACCTTTCATTAACATAGCATTATCTGTGCTGCGACCTGCGGCGAGACACCTGCGGAAAATTGGAGGATCATTCCACCTAGAAACTGGTTATTTGGTGGCGAACTACCCACGAATCGTAAGTGGGTTAGTTCACCCCAGTTATAAGTGGATTAACCCTACTTATCCCATGTCAATCACTGGGGTTATAACCCACTTACGATTCGTGGGATGAGCCACCAAGTAGTAACCCTAGTTAAGTCCCCAATTCATGAGGGTTATGCCATCCATAAATGGCTTATATACATTTACACACCCTCTCTTCGAAAACAATGAACACATCCTTTGGAGCACGTAAATTCAACGGCCTTGGAAGGCTAAGGCACCCCAAAGGATGGTATGAGTCTTTGGTGGGGCCCTACCATCATGGAAAAAGCCAGTTCTGGGGTCATCTGGCGAAAAATATGTATATATTTGATGAATTTATATCTGGTCTATATCTGATATATGAATATATATATATATAAGTTTGAAATTCGGATACAACAAATGTATGCAAAAATCTCTCTGTCTATCTGTCCTACTTGGGTGCGCACTCCATTTGTTAAAAAATCGTGATTAAAACTGTTTGTTGCCCACACGTATTCCCATAGAAATGTAGGATACCCACTGTTTGATCGGATACTATCAATTTGTTTTTTACCAGCTGGGATAGGCATTCGTCTGTGCTGAACACCACCCTCACATGGCAATGGAAGTTTCACCATTCATAGATGATTTTCCCATTAAAACCTTCATTTCTACAATTTGAGGCCCCCCCAGCTATAAGTTGCTTTATAAGCCCCATGAATAATATAGTTATAAGTGCCAACCATAGCTATTGGAGTACCAATTTAGCTGTGTAGGTGGCCTGAGACTAAACCCGACACCGGACTTTTGTTAAAGCGCCTACTTCACAGCGTCGCCGGTGTATTTGCCACCTTGGCAAAGCCAGCAAAGGTGTTGACGAAAAAGTCCTGTCATATTGCAAGCTCTCGAAAACATATAATAATATGTATATATATGCATATATTATTCATTAATTATTGAAAACCGTGATTTTCCATAGCTATGTTAAACTCGTAAATCGAAGTAGCACTGAATGACTGCACGACTCGTGGTCTCAACTCACTTGTGAGCTGGGATGCACACCCAAGGACTGGTGTTGAAACTTGGCAATCGTATGCAACAGTAGCCTTCCTTTGATGTTCACTACGTTCGCACTTTTCATCTAGAAATCGGATTTCAAGCTTTCAACAGTAAATCATCGACAATGATGTATGTTTGAGGGCGAATCAAACATGGGGATGATCTGAGGTGTGTTCAAATTTTGTGACATCACTAACCACCAGCTGCAGGAGCCAATGATGGGCTCCACATTCCCGGTGATTTAATGATTTCCCCCGTATTTGTCTCAGCAGGCTGGTAGGTGTCACCCTGGAAGAGTGATGCAAAGTGGATGGAAGGCAAAGCTTAGCTGCGAACATGAGATTTATCATGGCGAAAATCTGAAGTACTGCGGACTGGATTCCATCATTATTGCACAAAATCATATACAAAATCAAACTATCTAAGTACCCAAAGTTTGCCCAGCTATGGAAGGATCAAAAGTTCATCAGTGTAAAAACTATACTCCTTGATCTACAAGTGCAACCAATTGATTCATGAGTTTAAAGACTGGCTGTGCCCATGGCAAATTGATATTGTTTGTACTTGAAAATCAGACGTTGAGATTCTTGATGTTTCGACCGTTTCAAATCATGTGTGCTATATGGATACATTCTTGTTGGCAATTTTGGGCTGCCCAGTATCTATGCCAGTGATTGCATACTTGTACCCATGTGTTTCTACTAGTTATTTAGTAGGTGGAAGTTAGCCCCCATGCAAGTCCATGTTTCATGTTGGAAAGTGACCTGATTTTTGTCGTTTATATAATAACGTGCGTGCACCCGAGTTCCAAATCCAAAAGTACAAAGCCATGCTTGGTTGTAAATGGCCATATCCCATCTTGGCTGCTAATGTGTCAAAACTTCTACCTGATTTGGTGCTGACATCACTGGAAGTTGGCTACTCCCCTTTCTCAAGTCCAACTTTGAGTTGGAGATGTCCAGTATATAAACTTGTCTTGTGCCCCAAAACAACTGGAATTTTACGTGCATCACCTTAAACACAATCCAAATCTACACGTGTGCATATATAAATGTATGCATATAACTTGTATGTGCATGATATGAATGTTTTCTGTAAAATGACATTTGTCTAAGATAGATGAAACGTCCATATCGATTCACCTATGTATATATATATATATATACGTATTGTATTATATATATATGTGACTACATATATATATATATATATATATGATTATATATATATATATATTATATATATACATATGTGTGTAAATCTGCAGTGAAAAAAACAAACGCCTCTAAGGCTCTGCTACAGGACATCTCTCGCGCTTTCTCCGACACTTTGATGTCCATTCGCACATTCATCGAGGCCAGCTCGCACGCCAAGTACCTGCCAGAAAAAACCGTGGGGCCCCCGGTTTACGAAAGGAAAACCATAGAAAAAACCAGCGGAAAATGGTGATATAACCAAGATTCAACAAGAAACATGTGGATTTAATATGATTCAATGAGATTTTTTTTCTGGTTGACAATGCTAAGTTGGTGAACATAACTCCGATGACTATCGTTTATGGTACTTGATACTTGTAACTATAGTACTCATAGGGTTTATAAACCAACTTATAACTGCAAAGCCCCACTATGTACGCTTGAGGCCCTAAGCCAGTTGTGGCCATGGGGTTGGTGAACACAACTCCTGTTTCAATTGGTTTATGCTCCGCAATAATCATCGTATTCATGGGGGGAAACCTCTGCAATCACGGCCCTTAACAGTTGTGGCAATGATGCAACTACGGTGATATTAATGTTATATATATATACACATCACAAATATATATATATATGTATATTCTGAGCCGGTTAGAACTATGAAAAGGGCTATTACTGTAGGATCACCAGGGTTGTGAACCAGCGTCTATTGGATGAATATGTATGACCCCATACAGACAGTTATTGTTTGTTAGTCTGTAATTCACTTAGACTGGTTGGTGAATGGGTATCTGCAGTATCCTATTCTGCGTTTATTCAATCCTCAATAAACATGAATCAACTATCATAAACGCCAATATTAACCCCCAATTCAACAGCCTTGGTATCCGATGCTGGCTGCAGGACATTGGATGCTTTCTTGAACAACCGACACAAAAATGCCACGGCTGGGATGAGGCTGCTGCCATGGTCAGCCGTAAAAAATGACGGATCAACAAAGGATCAACTTAAAAAGGAGCTGCCTGACGGATCTGCTGAAATCCCACCATTTTGATATCCATCAATGGGGTTCCGAACAGGATGGCTACAATAATTAGCTTAACCACGCTTAACCCCTATGAAAAAATGGGGGTCTGACCTTCCAAATTCTGTGAGAGGCGATGTTTTGACCGTTTTCTGGAGATATCTACCATTCTTGTTTGAAAACATCTGGTTCTACGCCAATTGAACTTCTATGTTTATTTAGATTGAATTATTTCTTTAAATCTAGCTAAAATGCAGGTTTACTAATGAGTCACTCAGGGTACTGAAGAAGGGCCAAACTTGGATGGGTTACTATTAGAATACCCTGAAGATGGATGATTTCCATTTCCAACTTCAAACATGTGGAATATCATGGAATATCCCTACACCTCTTCAAATTTCCATCAGGAAAATCAGGAAAAAAAACTCAGTTTTGGATGGACAATCACCGCCGCCCACAGGCCCGACGTCCCGACCTGAAAACCCAGGGGACTGGCATCGAGTGACATTTCACGATCCTGTGGCGCTGCGGCAACTGGAAAACATTGGAACATATCCAGATGTTTTACCATTAGATACGGGAGTATTTGACCTAAAACAACAGTTCGGAAACATGTTTCAGAGTTCAAGGATCGTTTTTTGATGTTTTGGGTACATGTTGTGACTTGTTTGGGCCAATGCAGAACATCTCACGCTTAAATGAGATTTAGTAGATACATGTAGATACCATGTCATAAACAGCTGATCACATGACATTGAACGCATTGCTGCTGCCTGGAGGGGCCCTATCTCTGCCGGAATCCTGATCTGTAGAAATATGGCGATCTTTGAGTTGCAAGTTGCATCTTGCAGCTTTTAATTCAAATCCTATTCCTTCACTTACAGTAGATGTCATTTTTTGTGTGGAAACAAAAACAGAAAACATCATGGGTTTGTGTGAAAAGGTGGTGAATACCCAAACAAAAAAAGATATGTCGAATACTCCATTGGAACTGGAGATTTCCATAAATTCTCAGACACGCCCAACACTTAAATCAGGTGTACCAAGAGACTTCTGTTGTTTCAAGCTGCATGGTTTACCTCAACTGCTGGCGATGGGAGACCAGGAAGACTATACCCACCAGGGCGTAGTGATGTGGAGAAAACACCATTTCTAGGTCAATTTCCAAGAGAATCCATGGGTTTTCCACATCTACATTAGTTTACCTCAGGGTAATTGCCAAAACTGCCACGGTCTATCAAGGTTTACTCATCCTGGGTTGACATTGACATTAAAGATGGGCCTCAATGCGAAAAACACAGCTGGGGTATACCAATCGAAGATGATTTGAACATGCCTCTGGAGCATACCCCAAGTCCCTCCAACCCCTCAAGCAAAAGGTTTCCTTTCATAAACATTTTTTTTGGTGACAAAAGGTTAATTTTGGTGGTTCTGACCCAAGTTTCCTGTAGATTGAAACAACATGCGGGTGTCTGAAAATTGGCTATCCAATGGATCATTTTTTCCAATTTAAACCAGCCATAACTTGGAGATATACCTCATTTTCAGACAGACCCATCTATAGCTACTAAATATTCCTATTGTGGGTTACAACAATCCCAAATTAGCAGTGTTTAACCCGAACAAACTACAGTAATCCATCAACAGATTTACTTCTAATGGCTCACGTTGCAAATGGATGGGTATATCAGGAAAACACATATTTCCATTCTATATAAACAAAATAATAATACATACATATCTATATCATGGCCATATATTACATACATGTATATGTGAATATCCCGTTATACCTGCATTTTTGTTGGATAAAATTCCCACAATAACCTTGGAAATCATCATTCTGGATTGGCATCATCTATACAGTACATGGGCCCTTCCATAACTATGTTGAATAACCAGAGGGTATATTCTCATGATATTCCCATGAACAACCACCATATCTTTCATAGTAAAATGACCATCGTTGCCGCCATATTCCCATCATTTTCCTCTACAGGATGGTGTCCCCCAGTTCTAAGTTGGTTTATAAACCTCATTAACCATAGTTATCTATAGTTATATCTACCATAAACCATAAAATTCAACCATTTTTTTCAGGCAACTGAACGCAGTCTTGGGGCAAGGGCCCCATCCTCTATGCTCCTCAACTCCCCCGTCGTCCGGTCGTCCCAGCCACATTCCCAGGCTTCCCCCGGATCCGTCCATCTCCGAGATCGGGCCTGCTTTTCCATGACCTCGGACAGCGTCAGAATCTACAGATTCTGCAGCAAAAAAATGGAGAATTTTTGTTGGGAACACATATGGAAAAATGATGAAAAATCATGAGCACCATGTGGATTTGGGTGTAACTCAACATGTGGATATCTCTGGATTCAAAATATATTGGTCGTCAAATTGTTGGATTCTGCTAAGTGTACTATTGTTCATCGTTGATAAAACTAAATATGTGGGTGACTGCCAGGCAAATTCCAAACAAAGGACAGGGAAGTTTCCTGAGTATACCAGCTATATACATATATATATATATATATAGATATGTGTATATTCAAGGTGTATATATATATATATGAATGAATAATATATATATATATACCGTGTTTTCACAGGTACGTGCAACCTTCGTGCTTCCGGTCCCATTTTTTTCATTCCCTAGTCCGCAACTTATTCCAAACTGCGAAAAACATAATGTTTTCACAGGTAAACGCTGCATGTGTCTAAACACAGCTTGGAATAAATTGTGAATTAGGGGAAAAAATTGCACGGGGGACAGGCAGGAGGCATTTACTTGTGAAAAGGCCATGTTTTGCGCAGTTTGGAAGAAGATCAGCAGCATGCAGAGTGATGTTTCCACAACAAAGTTTGGCGACCAAAAAATGTGAAAACATCAGAGAGCGAGACAGTAGATGGACAAAATATTCAAACCCTTCAACACGCACTATGTTGATGTTGAACCCCCGCACACCCAAATTTCAATGTTTCAGCGAGCTTGTTACAAAAAGTTATGTTAGGGGTTTGATTTCTTTCGTCCACAAGGGCTAATGCACTTCACGTTACATTAACATTGAACCTTGGGGGCGAGGGGGCTGTACCAAAAAGGGGTTTGAATTCTTTGTCCATCTACAGTATGTGTATACATACACAAGGTGATGACCGCTGAGTCAGAAGTTAAGTTGGTTTTTAATCCCCATGAATTGTAGATATATCCCTCATAAACGCTAGATATCGAGGTGATCAACTCGTAATACTCTCCCGTAATCAAACATGGCAATGGGAAATCCTCAATGTGAACATCATCTACTGGAGACTCCTCTAAACCACTATTGACTCAAGGATGGAGAGTTGAACTGAACCCACAAAGCATTTTCCAAGTTCTTGTGGGTTTTAAAAGCACACCAGTAGTTCACCATTCAGAACCAGTCACTAGTCTAGGGGCTGATGACTAATCCAAGAATCACTTGACCCATTTGCAAGACCCATACCCATTGCCGGTTGGTCTGTTGCTTGATAGGGATTGCCATCAAGTTCCAGTAGTTCCTACTGATTCGAACCCAACAAGTATATATATAATATTGGACCGATATCTCTAAGCCACGTGCTGGCTGGACAATTATCAGTAGTAGGATGAATCATGATGAAACCATATATATATATATATATATGTATAGCAAACCTTCGACACCATGCCAAAGAAGCCAGTGCATTGTAGAACGACAGTGGTATGTCTCAAAGGTGACCCACACACCAGTAATCAACCCTCTCCAAACATGACAAACAAGAACATTTACATATGAATTACATGCACTCAAACTCTGTAGCTAGATTTTCCATGCCCATGTTTCTGACTGATGGAATCTATCGAGTATCGTAGTTTCAAGCCCATCCCATGTGGATCCTAAGATCCTCGCTTCACCACCAGCATTTTTGGTGGGCGTCACCACAGAACCGCAGCTGGGGCAAACATAGGCCTTGCCATGTCGAGGCAGCGATGCTTCAAAAAAATGTGATAATCAGCGTGTTATTTCTATTGTTGTCTACCCTGGAACAACAGTCCAGAATGATTGGTCAAAATTCCATCTTTGTAGGTTAAACTTCCATCTTTCATGCTGTTTCATGGTGAAATCCTCATCATCTCGGGTCAAACACCCATGATCAGCCATGTTTCATGTTTCAATTCCCACATTCCATGGCTACACCTATTCCTTTGTTTTTTTTAAAAAAAACAATGTAGTTTCAACTTTTTTTTGGTTGTCACCCCAATTGCGATGCCAAGTGCACATCTTTAATGGATTAGTCAATCGCCACGTTTTTTCATGCCAAAAACAGACCATCTAAAACCATTTATATCTATAACCATTTACAACCATTTACAACCATTCAAATCACTGGAAAGTCGCCAAGGTGCCATATCAAAGTCGGAGGAGCGCATCAAGCGATCGTGCAACAGGAAAGAGGTGCCATGGGCCAACCTTGGGCTGAAAAAGCCATGGACTGATGGATACATGTGGTGATGAAGGTGGCGGGAAAGGAGGCTCCTTTGGCCCAGATGCAGATCCCCAAGCGGCTTTTGCAGCTACACTTACAGGCTCTTGCGATTCCGGATTCTCCTCCGCTTCTTCCGCACTCTCTGATGAGATCTCCCAAGCTTCCTCTTGAACTCCAATCACACCCGGACGAAGTGTTGCCCTCTGCCCGTCAAAGATCGAATGGTCAAGAATATAAGGGTAGTAATTGCTGAACTTACCTTCTGCAAAACCACGCCTTATGAAAGCTGTCTTCTGAGATAATCCCCTTCTGCCAGATCGATGAAAATCAACTGCTCTCCGTGTGTGTGTGTATATATATATATTTAATTAATAGTATTATACATGTGTAACTGCTGTTTAATGTACATATTATGTAAATTAACATATCCACAAATAATATAATACGTGTATATATATATAGCACATATTTATATCACTTAACCATCAGCCAACAAGGTTTTGGCAATTGTTGCAATTGTTCACATCACGAATTCGAAGACAATCTCTATCTAGTATTGTCGAAGGAAGTTTAGAAGTCAAACTTCCGACAATATCGACAAATGGAAAAGCAGAGGTGGGGAGAGTCAGAGAAGAGAAGAGAAGAAGAGAAGAGAAGAAGAGAGAAGATCAGAGCAGAGAAAGAGTCAGAAGAAAGAAGCTGCAGGTGCGCGAAAAGGTGCAAAAGTCGCGAAACAGTAGGTTTTTCCAATGATTTGTGGCTCCGGAGGGTCGAAAAAGAGGCTCGCTAAAGCGGCGGGTGCGGAGCCATCTGGTCAGATGAGAGATGAACAAATTGCACACCGTTGTGGCGCGAAGCACAATTCGAAGTCAAAATGCACCAAACACACCAACCTCGAAGCACTTTGGAAAGTTGAGATGTCGAAAAAGTGCACACCGCTGTGGCGCGAAGCACATTTCGAAGTCAAAATGTACAAAACACACCATGCTTGGAACACTTTTGGAACTTCACATGTCGAAAAAGTGCACACCGTTGTGGCGCGAAGCACATTTCGAAGTGAAAATGCACAAAGATCACCATGCTCGGAGCACTTTGGGAAGTTCACATATCGAAAAAGTGCACGCCGTTGTGGCGCGAAGCACTTTTCGAAGTCAAAAGTGCAAAAAACTGACGGGTACGGAAGTCAAAAATGGTACGGAACACTTTTGGACGTTCAGAAGTTGTTTTGCATGGCAGGCGCAAGGGATTGTGCACCTTGTCAAAATTGGGCAAAACGTGTGGGTTTTGTAGCAGTTTGAAAACAATGGCAGGCGTGGGACATTTGAAGAGGATACAAAGATGCATTTCGCGTGGCAGTCGCATTGCAAGCATCAGATCGTCAGGTTTGCTAAGATGAGTTTGCGTGACAGGTGCAGCACCTCGTATTACCCGGCAACGCTTTTTCGCAGCAGGCGCAGACAGATGGAATGGAATAATCGCGAATTCGTACGAGGCCGTCCGCTCTGCACTCAACTTTTCATTTTTGAAGGACGACTCACTCGCAGAATTGCTTCGTTTTTGATGTTGTCAACTTCGAAAATTGAGGAAGTATCGCAAAATTGTCTTGTTTTTGACGATGTCAAGCTCAAAATTGAGGAAGTCTCGCGGAATTGCTCCGTTCTTGATGTTGTCCAGTTCAAAAACTGAGGACGTCTCGCAGAATAGCTTCGTTTTCAAGCTTGCAGATAGACAGACTATAGATAGACAGACAACTACAACTGCAACTACAACTACACTACACTACTACAACTGCAAACACAAATGTATTACGCTACATTACACTGACTACACCAATTACACTACACTACACTAGTTACATCTAATTACATCTAATCAAATTACATCAAGTTACATCTAATTACATCTAAGTACATCTAATTACATCTAATTACATCTAATTACACTACAACTAGAACAACAACAACAACTACTACTACTACTACTACTATACTCCTGCTACTACTACTACCACCACCACCACAGCTACAAATACAACTACAACTACACTACATTACACTACGCTACACAAATTACGCTGCAGCACACTACAACTACAAATACAAATGCAACTACATTTACACTACATTACACAACACTACACTACACTAATGAACAGCCATGACTTCGAGGAGCAGTCCAATACGTAGCTGGTTCACAAGGTGAAGTAGCTACCAATGTTTCTCGGGTCTTGCCCAGAACAAGACTTGTGATATCTTGTGATCCACTTATAAATCACACGTGCTCATCATCGAAAGGTAGCGTGTTGGCATGCTTGCTTGGTAGTTGTCCCTATGTACTCTTGATGGTGATATAAGATATAATATAATTATTCCATTGTGTTTTTTTTCTATTTGTTGATCTGTTTAGGTTGTTGTTTCTTGGTTGTGCATCTCGCCTTTGTGTATCAGATCGCCTGTAAATCCATTTGGTCATTCACTCTACAAGCAATTCAATCAATTTATATCCCAATTTTGATTGAAACTGTGAATGTAAATACTATTTTGTCCGGGAGCCGGAAAACGGAACATGTCCTCAAGCTGATCCAGAAACAGAGGATTCGGGCCGCTGAGCGGCCAAACAGAGGTTTGTCGTCGGAAGGTTATTTTTTGGTCGTGCGCCTGTAACCTGAGAATTGTTCGTTGTATGTCAGAAACGGTCGTAGGATGTTGAAATTGTTCGTGGGATGCCCTTTGTCTCATGGTCAAATATCCTGAATATGTGTTAGTGTTGCTCAAAAACCAACATTTGTTGCCTTGTACAGTAATTACATAATCCCCACGTAGGAGTCAAAAACCATCTTGGGTTGTTTTATGAATGGAATGCAACAATAATTGTCACTATTTGGTGGCTCATCCCACTTAGTAGGTTTGCTCACCCCAGTTATAAGTGAATTAACCCTACTGATCCCATTTATCACAGGGTTATAACCTATGTGGGATGAAGCACATGGCATCCATTGGCATCCCAGGGCGAACTTCGCCAACGCTTCACAGCAACAGAGAGTCACGCTCCATCTCACCAAAACCTTGGCCAGGGAAGTCATCACCTTCATCTCATCCATATAATCGATATCAATCTATCTATCGATCGATCGATCCATCGATCCATCGGTCTATCTATCTATCTATCTATCTATCTATCTGTCTATCTATCTATCTATCTATCCATTTATCTGTCCATTTATCTGTCCATTTATCTATCCATTTATCTATCCATTGAAATATCTATCTATCTATCGATCTATCGATCTATTTATCTATCTATCTATCTATCTATCTATCTATTGATCTAAAAAAAATATCTATCTATCTATACAATTTATATAATATCTATCTATCTATAAAATATATATCTATCTATCTACTATTTATCTATCTATATATAAAAACATATATATCTATCTATTTATCTATATAGTATATATCTATCGTAAAAAATCCATCTATCTATAAAAAAAAATCTATCTATCTTCATAATATCGATCTATCTATATAATATATATCTGTCTGTATAACATATATCTACCTATAATATATATATATATCAATCTATTTATCTATATATCTATATGTCTATGTATCTAAATGTCTATGTATCTATCTATCTATCTATCTAAATGTAAATCAATCAATCTATCTATCAATATATCTATATAGTATATAGCTATTTATTTTTCTATATATATCTATTTATCTATCTAATCCTATCTATCTATCTATCTATGTATCTATCTATCTATCTAACTATCTATCTATCTATCTATCTATCTATCTATCTATCTATCTAATCCTATCTATCCATGAAATACTATCTATCTATCTATCTATCTATCTATCTATCTAATTCTATCTATCTATCTATCTATCTATCTATCTAACCCTATCTAACCCTATCTAATCCTATCTAATCCTATCGAATCCTATCTAATCCTATCTAAACCTATCTAATCCTATCTAACCCTATCTAACCCAATCTCATCCTATCTAACCCTATCTAATCCGATCTATCTACCTAATCCTATCTATCTATCTATCTATCTATCTATCTATCTCTAAATCTAGCTATTTATCTATATATCTATCTATCTATCTATTTATCTATCTATCTATTTATCTATCCATCCATCTATCTATCTATCTATACAATCTGTCTATCTGTCTGTCTATCTAAACTAATCTAATCTATCTCTAATCTAACCTGTCTATCTATCTAGCTATGTTTCTATCTATCTACTCCTATCTATCTATCTGATCCTATTTAACTAATCCTATCTAATCCTATCTAATCCTATCGAATCCTATCTAATCCTATCTAATCCTATCTAATCCTACCTACCTACCTATCTATCTATCTATCTACCTATCTTTCTATCTATCTATCTATCTATCTATCTAGTTTTCTCTCTATCTATCTATCTATCTAATCCTTTCTATCTATCTATCTATCTAATCCTATCTATCTATCTATCTACCTATCTATCTACCTATCTATCTATCTATCTAATCCTATCTATCTATCTATCTGCCTGTCTGTCTATCTATATATAAATATATATATATAGATACATACATACATGTATATATATATCTATCATCTATGTAACACGTGGGGACCAATATCAAATTAGAGAAACAAAGGCGGATATGCAGTTATGGCCCTGAAAACAGTGTTGGCCATGGGCTTATAGGCTAAATAATGTGTTAAACAAAAATATACATACAATGATTATGTATATATACATATATATATATATACATAATTATAATTATACATATAATTCATCATATATACATATTATATATCACGTCAATGAGTTCAGTTAGATATCACGGCTTAACCCGCATCCCTATTATTATGGTAAGGATCAAAGGACCCAGGCTATCTGGTCACCTGGTCCATATCCCCATATCCCAAATATATCCCATATGAATGTGTTGCTTAAATCATCTTAAATCACTTAAAGCCAACAATTAATCTGGGTAAACTATAATATTTCACTAACCTGAATAGTGCGGTCGGGATGATTTCCCTGAAATAAACCATGATTCCAGGGTTCGGGAGAACAGTGAAGTCCTTATAATTTACCCAGATTAATCATTGAAAAACATATTGAAAAAACAAACTCATCTGAATTAATCTGAATTAATGCCAAATCGGGATGCTTACCCGCTTACCCAAATCCATTTCCCATCATTCCAGTGACGTCACGACGTTTTTGGTCATGGTCAAATCCATCCAGATTCTATCCATATGATATGATTGTTTTATAACCATCATTATATCTACATTAATCATTAATCATTAATCATCCTTAAATCCCATAAATCATCCATGACAATTAAAGTTCATAACAAGTTTTTAATCCCAGATTAGGTCTCAGTACATCAAATTGTATCCCATAAACACCATTATATCACACTCTGCCCAAAAGATTAATGGATCGACCGGAAGTAAAATATTCATTGAATTCATCAGAGGGTATGGAGGTTTCCATCCAAATGTGGCTACCCCAAATCATCCAAAACTAGGCATCTTAGGATATCTTAGGATGTCTTAGGGTTTTGGGGATACCCCATTTTCAGAACCCCCCCATATAATCTCCAGGATTATGGAGTGCGGAGTTGAGGATTATATACCCCATATAACACCATTTTCAGAACCCCATATAATCCCCATATAACTTTCAGATACCCCTTATAATGGTTATTATAAATCCCTATGAACCATTGGATGACTAGCCCCTATTAATGGTTATTAACCATGAGTATTGACCATAGCTCATATAATCCGTTGCTTGCTGAGTTGCGGATACCTCCCTTGTTCTTCCGGCCCTTCAGCGGCTGGTTGGTCAACCGGTCCGTCACGCCTCGGTGCCGTCTCCGGGTCAAGGCGTCGTCTCCCCGGCGGGACCAATAAGGCAAAGCCGGTAGACTTGAAGCATACAACAGGGGGATTTCATGTCTTTTTAAATGGTTGATCTATGGTAAATCTATGGTAAATCTATGGTAATCAATAATCATCAACCATATTAAAATAACATATATCTGGTTGGTGGTTGACCTACCCCTCTGAAAAATGATGGAGTTCGTCAGTTGGGATTATTATTCCCAATATATGGAAAAATAAAAAATGTTCCAGAAAACCAAACAGTTTTACCATCAACATTGGTGGTAAACAGGCAAACAGCAATAATTGATTGGAATTTAACCGCTCAAAATGTTGAAAAAACAAAAACATGAAAAAATGAACGAATTTCAGCATCAAGACTGGGGACCTAACTGAGGCGGAATCAGAAAAAGGGTGTATCCGAAATGATGGTACTGTTATGGGAGGACAATGATAACCAATTGATCCACGAAAATCGGGAAGAGCGACTGATCACAAATGAACAAAAAACTGAACATCGGTACGGGACAATATCTTTAAGCCTACAAGAGCACTAAGGGACTGGTCATTTTGGGTTCAAAAGTATGCCATCCCATTTGTGGAAAGCAAATCCTGACCTGAAATGGCAGTTTTTCATGAGAACTAAATGATACTAAATGAGGTATTTCCCAATTGCCATTCTTGATTACCGGAGGGTAGATTACATCCGAAAGGAAATACGATCCTGCTTGGCGACGGCGCTACTATCTCCATGTCTTTGCTGTGAAGGAAAAATCATTTGATTCTGTAGAATTATGACCCTATAGCCAGTTATAAATGGGATAAACTAACTCGTACTAAGGTTATATAAAAATCCCAGTTATAGTAACTGTTAAGGCTATAACTGTAGAATACCATATTGTTTAGACCATCCTCATACCACCGCACGTTCTCTTTGTGGTTGGTTATTGTTCACGTGTTTGATGACTCATGTCCCATTTCACACACCACAACTACAGCCACCAACATCAATGACATAAACATTCACGACTAAATTAGATCACATAAAAACCATCAATTCGTCATAATTCCGGTGCATTCATCGCAAAATAGCCAAAAATTGCCAATTTAACGTCATTAAAAATCCACAATCAATCCCTAGCTATAAAACGGCAAATCCTATGCCACCATGGACCATACTTGATGATAGAAAGACCACGATCCACAAGCTTACCTTAGACCACAACAGTATCCTCCCTACTTGATTATATTACATATATATATATAATCATATCATCTGAAAATCATCTGAGTTGGCTTCCCACAATATTCCCAGTAAATGCCCACTATAGGGTTTTGGTCAAAACTTTGGTACCCTGGTAAATGCCAAAACAACTGGTAAATACATATTGACCCCAAAAAACCTTGTATGATGTGACAAGTCCAAAAAATCATCCCTGTAGCCAACCATGTCGGGGTCATTTGCTAAATCAATTGAAATCATTCCAAGTAGGGGCATCACATGGCATTACACAATACCTGAACTATTAAACCCAAGTGGGGATGGTTTACAATTGGATTTAACATGATATAACTGCTTCAGTGGTGTTAATCCATCCTCACATCCCCGTTGACACGGGCCATGCGATCATGAACTGGCCACGTAAGAACCACTTCAACTGACTGGGTATGTGTCCAAATTCAAAAAAACGTGAATGCTTGACTCCTTGACACGGGTTTCTTCAAAATCATTAAGAATCTGCGGATCACCTCTACTTTTCGACCCCTTCGCAACACTGTTATTTCCGCGCTGGCACCACTCGTCCAAGGATCCGCGCGCACGCACCTGGGCTTTGTCCATGACCAGATGCCGCAGCCGTTGGTAGTAGACCACGCCAACGAAGATGTCGGTTTCAATCTCCGTGCCTTTAACGGTTTCATGGCGACCGTCAGGGGGTTGCCTGGTGCCATAGTTGGGGTAACAAAACCGACTTATATGACTCAAGGGGCCCACATAAGGGGCCCAATTGCGGAAAAATGAAGACATCATGGCAAGGTTCGCAAAGACATCATGGTCTTGATTCAATCACATGATATCCTATAAGTCTTTCTCGGTTTCGTGTCAACATTCGTGTCAATCACATATCTGAAAAAACATTACCATCTGGTTATTTTTACATAGCCATGAAAAATGGTCCATAGAAATAGATGGTTTACCGAACTTAAAAATGGGTGGATCTTTCCATGGCAAACTATTAGTCATTACCAGAGGGTACATGGCTGACATGGATGCTTATGGCATTTTTGTTCCATAAAAATCCATAGCATCTCCTTGTAAATGTCCAACGCACCCAGGATGCCATGGTTGGTTTCCTTCCAGCCTGGCATCCCCAGTGGCTAGACTGATCAAGCCATGGTCAGCTGTGAATGTCACTGCCTTTGTGGTGAGCCAATCTATGGTACAATGTCAAATCCACCAAGTTATGTTGATTGGTTTATATGGTTTATAACCCCATCTAACTATAGCATCTATAGCTTTATCTAAAGCACACTAAGCCTACCGAGTATATATCCTATAGTGATATATAAACCAACAGAAACCTATCTTGGGGGCACGAATTTGTACCCTCCCACTCTGAAACCCTCCCCACCAAGCTGCCATGAATGCCCGAATACATACGTTCCGTTCCCAGTCGCTTGTAGCCGTGTTTCCTGATTAGCCGCAACTGATACCACTGTCTCAGAGGTTTTCGATGGCATGCCACATCCAACAGTTGTGGCCCTTAACAGTTTTAAATGGGATTATGACTCCTGCAACTAAGGTTATATACATACACATATCTTTATATGTATCACTTGCGCGAAGTTTTCCAAGCTAGTTAAAACTGTTAAGGGCTCAAATATGTTATAACTTCACTGAAGTCTATCATGACATATGGGTGAACAATGGGAGCCCAAAAGGTCCGCAAACAAATGTTATTTCTTTTTTATTCACCCTCTGGTAAATTAACATAGACCCTGAAAATAACATGTTGTTTGTGAAAACTAATCTTCCAACCCCTATCTGCCAGGGTCTATATTAATTTACTGGAGGGTACATTTGGGCATTTTATTTTAAATATAATGCGCAATACTGACCCAACCCAATAGTCTTATATGTGGTATATTTACACAATGTGGCGCTCCCCCTTCTGGCTATAAATTGGTTCTTACAAGCCCCATTAATATATCCCTGGGTCCTGCACAGTCATGGCCCCCAACAACTAACTCCTGCAACTACGCCCATATAAATCTATATCACTATAAATATATATATATATATATGTATAATATATATATATGTATATCTCATATATATATATATACATTTATATACATATATCACTTAAGTGAGGTTTTCGAAGCCAGTTAGAACTATAACTCCCCACCAGGCAGCTTCAGCGTTTCGCCAAAATATTCCGCCGCCATTGGCCCGTCCACGGACTTGTCCAGGAAGGGTTTGCCTTCCTGGCGGGTCCAGCAACAATGGGGCTTGATAGCCTCTAGTATAGTATAGTATAGTATGGTTAACTATGGTTCATGGATGTATAACGAACTAGTTACTGGGGGTTATAAGTTACAATCTGCTTGGTGGTTGACCTACCCCTCTGAAAAATATGAATGTCAGTTGAGATTATTATTCCCAACTGAATGGAAAAAATTACTTTACTTCGTGTGATCCCCACCATGACATTTATACATGTTCTTACTGGCACATCTTCTGGCATTCTATCTGACATATCTTCTGGCATTCTACCTGGCATATCTTCTGGCATTCTATCTGGCATATCTTCTGGCATTCTATCTGGCAAATCTTCTGGCATTCTATCTGGCATATCTTCTGGCATTCTATCTGACATATCTTCTGGCATTCTATCTGACATTCTATCTGGCATATCTTCTGGCATATATTCTGACAGACATATCTTCTGGCATTCTATCTGGCATTCTATCTGGAATATCTTCTGCCATATCTATCTGGCATATCTTCTGGCATATTTTCTGGCATTCTACCTGGCAAATCTTCTGGCACTCTATCTGACATTTTATCTTCCTACATGAGGTCCGGCAGGGAACACTTGGCGTGGATACTCGCGGTTGAGGTCCGGCAGGGAACACGGCGTGTATGGTCGTAGTTGAGGTCCGGCAGGGAACACTTGGCATGGATACTCGCGGTTGAGGTCCGGCAGGGAACACTGGGCGTGGATGGTCGTGGTTGAGGTCCGGCAGGGAACATTGGGCGTGGATGGTCGTGGTTGAGGTCCGGCAAGGAACACTGGGCGTGGATGGTCGTGGTTGAGGTCCGGCAGAGAACACTGTGGATCGCGGGTCGCAGTTGAGCAAGGACGACGAGGACGACGAGGACGACGAGGAGGAGGAGGAGAGGAGGACGAGGCAGGAGGAGGCGGAGGAGGAGAAGGAGGAGGAGGAGAAGGAGGAGGACGAGGAGGCAACTGACATAAAATCTAACAACCCTCACCTGGCAGGTGGGGAATAAAACATGTTCCAAACCACCAACCAGACAACCATAGTGAAAAAGGGGTACATCCCAGCAATTTGCTGCTCTCGCCATGATTATGCGAATTTTTCCAACCCCAATTGCGCCCGCCAGTAGGGGCTTTATAAGGCCTCATTGTTGGGTTTGAAAGGGGTTATATGGTCACCTCTTCATAAGACCATATTTGGAGGGTGGCCTTTGGGGGTACCTTCTACTTTCATGATACCTGCATGGAAAACATATGAACACATACAGCTTGACCTTCTAGTGAGTAAAAAACACTTGGTTATGGGGTCAACAAAAAGCATATGGAGGTTTCCTGAAATAGGGGTAACTCCTAAATCATCCATGTTTATGAGATTTTCAATGAAATAAACCATCCAGCTATTGGGGTTACCCCCATTTATGGAAACCTCCATATGGGGAAACATCTGTTGGTGACTTGAGCTTTGCCCATGTTGCCGGTGAGAGTCGTTGTCACCGTTGTTGTAGAAGCCTTTGTACCTGACAACGTCTGGCTGCACAGCTGGAAGGGCCCCCTAATCTGTAGATATCTGTTGGTGTACAAGTAGGTTTACTATGGTCTACCATTTTGGTTTTGTGCTGGATATATCCATACTTAGATGGGGTCATAGTTATCAACCAACTTATAACTAGGGTGTTCCCAGATTGTGTTTTCTGTTCAAGGAACACGAATAGTGGCCGATTCCATCTTTGATGTTATGATTGAGGCGCATGTAGGTACACCTACAAGCTCCCTAGGTCCGGTAGTTTTTGGTGCAGCAACAGCAACAGTACTAAAGTAAGCTCTACTATCATCAAATGTTCGCACATAGACCTTCAACATTCCCACAGAAATAATCTGATTGGTTCACCATTCCTGCCTGTAGTGTAAACATCTATTAAAAAAAAAAATGTATTTTCCCCGCGGGCCGTGAGAATCCAGGTACATCGAGACATCCACCCGAGATCCATCGGGACTTCAAGGGATCAGCATCGATTTCCGACTGTCCCCTCAAGGCCCTTAACAAAAACTTGGGATATTCCATGTATGCCTGCGAGGTGATGACCCCCTGTTAACGTTGGTTTACAACCTCCAAATGTAGAGAAAAATCGAGCAGCAATTCCTAGTGAAATTGCAGTTATGTTCACCAACTTCGCCAACAACCTCGGGCACAACTTTGGATAATTACATACCCTCTGGTAATTTAACATAGCTATTGAAAATGGCCCATTTATACTTGGTTTACCCATGAAAAATTGTGATTTTCCATAGTTATGTAAACGTTTACCAGAGGGTAATTGATCATAGATGGTAATCTCATTGATCATAGCATTCTTCCCCACGATATCCCCATAAGAAAAACTCAACATCCAATGGATTCCCCATTTAGTTTGCTATGGGAAATCACCATTTTCAAGAATGGTCAATCATCATCATCGAACTACACTGGTTGGTGGTTGACCTACCCCTCTGAAAAATATTAATCAATTGGGATGATGACATTCCCAATATATGGAAAAATAAAAGTCATGTTCCAAAACCACCAACCAGTAAATGAACAATTTTCTAGTAAATCAAACACGGTTTGCTGGAAAATCCCTATTGCTAAATGATTTTCCCAAATATAAACATCCATTTGTGACAACCTGGAGTCACAGGTGATCGCGTCAGCACCAAACCAGCATTCGATTTTCCACGATCGACAAGCGTAAGACGAGGGGGGCTTGATCCCATAGGGAGGCCACAAACAACTGAACATGTCACAGATAGGGATCCATGATTTCACACATCCCTTAAATAATTGTATCTGTGACATCTGTTGAACTACCTCGGATGTCAACACAAAACAACAAGCATCAACCAAACACAGCTTCATCATCATTGAACTTCTTCAGCCCTGACCACCCTTTGATGGTATCATCTTCACACATCACAAACTTTCCTTCTTGAATCACTCTTCGCAAAAGCTCTTTTGGTGCATTTGGCTTCGTCAAAGGGTCTGCAATCATCTGATAGGTAGGAATCCATTTCAAAACAATGTTCTTCTTCTGAACGTCCTGCTTGACTAACAGCATCTCTATCGCTATCCGTTTATCTCGGATAGTCACCACTTGACTGTGCACGTGGTCATACACTGGCTTTGAATCTACAGCAACCACCACAGGAAAATTGCATGACATTTGAGCATCCCTCTCTAAAGAATAGTCTGCACACATCGCTTCACTCCACATTGAGCGCAACCAGCATGTTTCCGCTAGGGCACGTGAGACAGTCAGCAACTCTGCCCCGAGAGTTGAAGCAACCTGACGGTCCTGTTTGAAGGACTTCCATTTCAAAGGGGATACTCTCGACCATGCGTTGTGACTCATCTTGCCATCTGTCATGGCTATCAGAAAACCTCCTTGGCTCTTTCTCTCAGCAGCATTCGCCCACGAGGCATCGCTCCAAACAGTGAACTCGACATTATTTGGCTCTATGGGTAGTATCCTAATTTCCGTATGCGAAAAATCCCGAACAAGGCCTACCAACTTGTTACACTCGATAAGGTGTTCTACTTGAGCCGAGTTTACCTTCTGTTGAAGTAGTGAACATGTTGCAGACAAATCCGGCCGTGAACAAACAGTCATCCAATTGATCTCTCCTAACAAGGCTCTCATCTGTGTTCTTTCGTTCTCATCAATGTCACTGTTCTTTTGTTTCCTGCGCTCTCTGCTAATCTTAATTGGAGTCACACTGCCTGCATAGTCCTTCTGAGAAATAACAATGCTAAAATCTTCCAACTGTTTCACCTTCTTACCAAGAAAATCACCACTTCCATCATGCCAGTGTTTAAAAGGATATTTCTTTTTCAAAGGTTCAACAACATGACTGTCAAAATACGAATCACCACCTAGCACCAAATCGTCGACATGAATCGCCAAGGCTCCTCGAAGTTTCCCGTTCGCATCCTTCAAGTGAAAAGTACAGGGATCTAATCTACTTTGATTCATTCCGCAACCAACCAAAAACTGACTAACACTTTTATACCAAGCCTGCGGTGCATCGGCAAGTCCATAAACAGGACGAACCAACTCTATCACAGAGTCTTCACTCAATCCTGGAATCCCACCGGGTGGAAGTTTCATAAGCACCTTCCCTTTTTCTCTGTGAAGCAAATCGCCTCTCAAAAAGGCTGCTTCCACATCTCCAATCTTCATCCTCCAGCGATTCGAACTGATAAGTTGCAAGGTCACGCTTAGGCCTTCAGAAGATAACGTTGGTGCTGAAGTATCCAGGTCTTGAATGTCGGGATCCAAATATCCCCGAATGACCCATCGTGCTTTGACATCATCGGCCAGTTTCATGTCATCATCTTGTGTCAACACAAATCGAGACGACAGCAAACGATGTTTACCAACCTCATTGATCAAGTTCCTAGCCGCCTCACCTGCATGAACCTTCACCGCACCTGACGCAATCATTTTATCCCACTCTTTCCGCTTAGCCTTACTAAGTTTACCCTTCACATGGTTACCAAGTTCCGTTTCAAGCACTTCCTTGCGACCCTTCTTCTTAACATGAACAACATACACTTCCTCATGAACAAGTTCATCTTCAACCAAAGACGCATCATGGACATTTCTTTCCAAAGTTCTCACTGATCTCCCATGATCAAGCAAATCTAAGTTCTGACGCATGGCATGTGTCAATCTTGATGGACTCCTGATGGGCCCATACTCATGTGCACTGGTATTACCTACCACTGGCAACACATTTGGTTCAGCATGTGGTTCAACCTGTGTTACCTGCCTTTTATGATCATGATCCAAGTCAAGGTCTTGAGGTTCCAGCTCATCATCTCTTGCTGGTGTCTGTGGAGAGTACTCCAATTCATTATTTCCCTCAATTTGACCTTCGTTTCCCATGCCAAGATCAACACCCATGTCAACTGGTCCAACATCCGTTCTGGCTCTTTGAGCAACAGGCGCAAGATTGTCAAACATGTCCATGCCATGATCAACCTGGTCAAACGATCTCACAACACCACGGGCCTCACCATTAGAAGGTTCTGCGGCCTCTGTCATGACTTCATCCCGTTCATCATCGGGCGGAAGATTTCCACCCTCAAGATTCACAATGTTGCCTGCACCTCTCTCGGCAATGGTGCTACGCATGATCCTAAGGTTTTCAGGAAGAAGCCGAATGAGGGCCTCTTGCTCCTCACTGGGACGTTTCACTTGCTCCCGTGAGCACCTGTAAACCTTTGATCCTGAAGCCACCCAGACTCTTGATCCTTCAGTTCCTAGAACATGACCTGGTCCATGCCAGTGATGACATGTGCCACCTTTCACCTTTCTCCAAATGTACGCAAGATCACCTGGTGCAAGTGGAACAGAAGCAACTCTACTTCTTGCATGGAAGGCTCTGCGGACTTTAGCTTCAGAGTCGGCGTTCATGAAAGCCGCACGCGCGGCGTTTCTTATGTTCATCCGCCTTGTGAACCCTTTTTCACCTTGCAAGACAGCAGACTCAATGACCTCATTGCCTTCGCCTGTCATGATCACACCTGGCAAACGCACATCCATGCCAAGAACATGCTGAGATGGTGAGAAACCGTCCTTTCGTGTCAAACTATTGTGCGCAGCATTCACCTGATCACAAAGCTCCTCAATCTCAGCTCTTCCATCTGGAACAGCTTCAAGAACGGCTTTTCTAAAGGCTTCTTTCCAAACACCCCCCAGACGTTCACACATACCGTTTTGCCATGGAGAATATGACCCGGTCATCTCATGAATGGTTCCATCACTACCCAAAAGATTAGTGAAAATACCCTGAAACTCCGGACCACCATCTGACCAAACTCGAACCGGCGGACCAGCCCATCGTTTCCAGTACCGTCTGTAGCACTGTCTGACGTTTTCGGCATTTGCCCCTTTCCAAAGAGGAACCACAACTTGATACCTAGTAGCACTATCAACGATGTTCAGAAACTTCATGGTTCTTTGGGGCAACTCCACTTCAAAGGTGTCCATACAAACAACTTGATTGAATTGAGTAGCATTTTCAACCTTCGCAACACGATGAGATTTGGTCTGTTTCATGGCATCACATGTAGTGCATGTCAAACCCTTGGCAATCTTCAGACACTTTTCACTCGCACGGGCAGCCTTCAACATAGCTATGAATTTGGGGGTAGAGGGATGACCAAGATTGTTATGACATCTTCTCAAAATCGACGCAATCTTTCTCTCATCGCTCTGATTCTCAAGTTCTTCTACGGCCAAAACGCTTGACACTGCCTTAACCTGGTTCCTGGCCTCGATCTCTCTCATCAAACCCCTGCAAATAGCCATGCAAAACTTTCGTGGATACTCCTGAGCTAGCCTACTCCTAGCGATCCAAGCATCCTGAAGCTTCACTTTACCCAAAACCGGTTCATGTTCATGACTGCCATCACAGTGTCTCTCAAGCTGTTTCCGAATCTCCATGCTATTGACCATGATACCTGTCGCCTTTTTATGCCTCTTGTGACTAATCCTATCCTTCAAACCGAACATGCATTGATCCATGGAGAAAAGCTGAACATGTGGTTGCTGAGAGATACGTTGCACTTCACGATCATCCCACGACTTTGCATTCCTGGGTTGTTCATAAAGAAAGTACCTACCTCCATCAATCTGATCCTGAGCAACTTGCATACCAAACCGATGAAGAATCCTAGCATCACTCAACATTTTCAACCACTCTTTACTGTTCTTACGGGGGTTCAGGTTTTGGAGAGAACTATAAGGACCACACGGAGGGCAAATGACAACAAGTTTGGGTTTTCTCAGCTTGATCTCAGAGCGCACTCGGTCTTGCAGCTCTTTTTCCCGCAGGTCGTGTCCAGTACGAATGTCATATGAGGGTCCCTTCTTCAAGCCAAAACATGAAGCCACTTCGGTAACCCTAGGAACGGAGAAAAGCTCAGAAATTTCATGGCTACTGGAATTCAAATTGATGTACAGCAGGTCATAGTCTTGACATTTTTCAAGCTTTTCAAGCTTCTCCACTCCTGCTAACAACATTTCCGGTTTGTCGCCACTCGCAGTGCTCACTTCTTGACCATCTCTCGAAGCAACGCACGGTTGGCTGGAGTCGGGGAGTCTTTCGCTGTCTTGGCCAAAGCCTTCAACACAGCCTGAATGTTGTCCTCGACCATCAATGTTCCCTGGGACAGTGTTGCCCATCGATCTACCACACTCGGACTTCCCACTTCCTCCCAACTCTCGGTTTCCATGGCCGCATCCGCTGACTGGCTTGCCCAACCTTCTCCTTCTCGTCCTCGACGGCTGGGAGTCTTGGGCATTTGGTCCCGAGGTGCACTCTTCTTCTTTGGCATTGGAGGCACTGGTTTCTGCTTCATGTTCATTTTCACACGGGATGCCTTCTTCTGATCCCTCATGGTCACATATAGCAACAGCTTTCTCATGCATGGTGAGCTGCTCTGATCTGGCGCCACATGATCTCGAACCCATTGCACGTAAGGCTTGTCCTCCAAGTAGATCTGCTTGATGCTGATCCTGTCTGCCTTCTTTCTGCCGTACTTCCCGACTGTGAGCGTCGTCCCAGCTGGAATTGGGCACTCTGCTGGCTCGTCTTCCGACGCATCTGCCAGTTGGTCCAAGTCCAGGGCAAGAATCTCTGATGGTTGACCTGGCGTCAGGGCCAAGCTTTCCATCAGCTGCTTCGTCAACGGAGACATCTGGGTATTCGGCATCGGACCTGAGCTCTTGCTCGCCGCCCGAGAGTAGGGAGGACTTGACATCTTCTCCAAGAAGACAAGGATCAGGAGTCTTCAGTTTGGACCCCTCAAACGGCTTCTCATGACCATGAAAAAGAGGAATGGCATAATGGCCGCGATCAGTCTGGCCCAGCTTCACTTTCTCATTCAAACGCGAAAACATCATCACATCATCATCCATGTTCATCTTACATCCGAGCCACTTCAACAACTCCTTCGACAACAGTAGTGGGGTCTTTGCCCCCGACCCCGGAAGCACTGCTGCCTTAATTACTACTGGTGTACTTCCCAAGTACACTGGTATATGTGCAATTTCAGTTGAAGTGAGCTCCCCGGCATTCCCAAATCTAAAAACATTCACACCTTTCAACCTCTTGACCTTCAAGCCTCTGTCATGAACATGCCTCTCCATGTCGCGCAGCGTGTATTGCCCGATCAATGTCTTCCTGCACGCTGTGTCCGGCACTGCATGACTAGAGATCGGAGCGTTTGCTCCATCAAAAACTGAGTGCTCTTCACTCTCTAAGGTCAAATGACTTGGCCCGCTGCCCCCCTTCTGGATGACTTGTGCCTCGAAGCTGTCAATGACGTCTGGCTCGATGAAGTGCTCCTTGCTGATCACCTGTTCTCCTTGTCCCTGTGCATGGACTTTCTTCTCCTGCTTCATGTGGAATTTTGTGATGCCCTTCCATTTCTGGTCTAAAAGCCTCATTGGGAAGTTCTCATTCTTGAAGTTGTCATGGATCTCATCTGACTGACCATTCTCATACACTACGACGGTAGTGCGGCTCCCAGTCAGACATTCTGGGTTCACCGGCATGTTCACTAAGCTATGAGGACTGAACAAGGCTCTGCGATATCGACGGTGAAACCGCCACACCTCGCCTTCCCTCAGTGCCCATTCATCCCGTTTCTTTGACTCTTCTCGCACGCTGGTGTTTTTCTCGGGCTTCTCCAGCTGTTCTGTGACATCTTTCTCCTCCAGCAAGAAGGCATCGTGGTTGCCGGGGATATCCAATTCACAGAAGTTCACCTCGTGCTGGACATTGTCGCCCTTTGCCTTCCTTCCTTCGTTCCTCACCTTCTTCTCAGGACGCTCCTTCTTCCAATGCCCCAATTTGTTGCAGGTGTGGCAACGCGTGCGGCTCTTCAAGGCTTCCACTTTTGCCTTGATACTGCCAGTGATGTTCCACTTTTCCTTTTTGAATCCACGGCCCATTTTCTTGTCTTGGACCCGCCTCTTGATGTCCTTGTAGTTCTCAAAGACGTCGATGGCTTCCTCACTGTCATAATCATCTTGGTCTTGCACTTGGTCAGCTATGCCTTGAAGCGTCTCAAAGACTTCGTGCTCATCACTTGACGACTCAACTTCATAGGTGTCAGCCGCCATGAACACATCCTTGGACTTGGTAGACTGACCCTTGCCATGTGGAAAGACAGCGTGGATAGCCTGGACGACTTCTCTATAATCCAAGTTTCCCTTGGCAGCCGTCAGAATCAGCGCCTCCTGAGTCTGATCAAGATGCATCTTTTTCATCAGCAGCCATCCGCGAACTTCTTTCGGAAGCTCACATCCATGGGTCACCAAAAGTCGGTAAGTAGATTCCAACCTCACGATGAAAGCCCGAAATTCTTCATTGGGTTTGATGGAAACTTGGTAGAAGTACTCCTTGAGTGCCCGCTGGAGTTCATCTTGTTGACGTTCTTTGTACTTGCCATCTAGAGTGCTGAACACCAGTTCGTGACCGTCCTCCTTGACTATGTCACTAATGGGTACAGTCTCCAGCAGCTCCCATGCTTCACCAGTCAGGGCCTCCAGAAGTCGAGGGCCCCATTTGGTTTTGCCTACTGTTGACGGAAGACCAAGCAAATGAAGCTCGGCCCTGCGTCTCCAGCGCTTGTACTCTTGAGGGGATTCACCACTGAACATCTCAAGCTTCGTGGATTTCTCATCTTCCCTTTGGCCAGACCCCGACATGTCAAAAGCAGGAAATCGTCCTCCGTCCTCTCAGCTCCACCAAGATGCAGCAACAGGACGGTCGCGCCTCAGCGCTCCGCTACCACCTGTGACAACCTGGAGTCAGAGGGGATCGCGTCAGCACCAAACCAGCATTCGATTTTCCACGATCGACAAGCGTAAGACGAGGGGGGCTTGACCTTATAGGGAGGCCACAAACAACTGAACATGTCACAGATAGGGATCCATGATTTCACACATTAACAGAATATGTTTTCATATTTTCCCATGGTGTTCCTATGGTTTTCCTATGGTTTTCCTATGATTTCCCATAGTTTCCCGTATTTTCCTTGGGACATCGCCACCCAGTAATGCCGTGTCCAGCTGCTCGCGGAAGGTCGTAGCATCTGCGGTGCTCTTGGCTTCCATGGCTGCGGTTTTGCCTACGACCACGGCCAGAAGTTCCCAAGTCACGGCGGGACATTTCGATGTTGTCATGATTAGCTAAGTGATGTTGGCCCATTTATTGTTGATATTAAAGATCGTGCTTTTTGAACATATCTATGATATCACTAGAATCATTAGATATCACTAGTACTCATTAGTTATATATATATACATATTATATCTTATATGAGCAAAGTAATGTGGGTAAAACATGGTAAAACAATGTCATAAACCACCCATTTGGGAATGGTTCATACCACCAATGTATGGTGATTTTGGGGATGGTTTATCATTGTTTTACATTGGTTTACCCACATTACTTAGTTTGTGGGTTATAATTTATAATCCCTTTTAACTGGGATGTATTGGAATATACACCATTTACATCCATTTACTAATTAGCGAATTTTGGCAACATCTAAGCACATCAAATATATGGATGTGGGTCGAAACGTATGAAACGCAATATTTTGGTGGAATGAACATCCATAACTACCAGCTATTTTGCTGTGAACAGAAGGGTACCAGAGTACCATAGTAACGGTACCACCATATAATATAGAGGTGGTTTCAGACCAGCAACAGTTTGGATTCTAAGCCGCAAGAGGATCAAGAAGTCTGAATTCACCTCATATAGGTATTAGGATGTTTTAGGTCTTGCCAATAGCTTTTGGTTGCTTGGAATTTTCTGGTAGGTCTATGGTAATTTAACATAGCTATTGAAAATTGCCATTTATAGTGGTTTTTCCCATATAAAATGGTGATTTTCCATAGTTATGTAAACGTTTACCAGAGGGTAGGTCTATGGTAGATAAATTCATTGTTGCCATCAGTGGCTAATCCCCGCCTGCAATGCTCTCGATGAGCATGCCAATGGTCATTCGAGAGGGAAAACCTGATGGCAGTCATTGCCATAGAAAAAACACGGGGTTTCATAGTTCTATGCCAAGAAATGAGAAAAAACCTAGATAACGTATACAGTTCTATATCTTTATAGTTCATAGTCCTAAACCAAGTTTTCACCATTTTTCATAGTTTTCAAATCCAATAGAGATAACTGTAGAACTATCTAGTCACTTGCTGCTATTTGCGAACCGCCTGAGTTTCAACCATCACCGGGACATCCGGAAATTCTGAAGATTTCACTTGTTTAATTTGGAAAGTGGCCATTGATGCCACCACGTTTTCCCCAACAACTGATAGATAGTTACCATATCATATACCCTCTGGTAAACTAACATAGCTATTGAAAATGGCTATAGAAATAGTGCATTTACCCATTAAAAATGGTGATTTTCCATAGTTATGTCAACGTTTACCAGAGGGTATATATATATCATATGTTACATAACCCATTACATACTGTGGATGGAAACATCCGAATCACCAGTTGGTAGATGGTAAAAATCCCATTATTCCAAGGGTTTTAACCATCGGTGGCGCATGATTTCGCTGGCCCATCCACAGTATAACCATACATAACCTGGATGTATATAGTAAGTGCTCATCTTTGAGAGACCACCCAAACATGTTGGTTATGGTTATTTCCATTATGGCAAACAAGTGAAGGATTTGTTTCTACCCGTCCAAGGTTGGGAATGTATAGCAATTATAAAGTCAAAATGTTTATATTCTACATACATAAGTTACATAAGCAATCATTATACATAACGTACACACGCACACATGTATATATAAATAAATAAAATAAATAAATAAATAAATAAATAAATAATTTAATAAATAAATAAATAAATATATATATATATGTGCCGTATGCACATATATATATAAATATTCTTATATATATAGTCTTATACATATAGTCTTATTAATATATATATATATAGTCTTATATAGTCATATTTTGCCACCACGACACCGTGCGGATTGAAGAGGATGTCCGGTGTCAAGCCACTCTCCGACCAGGGCATGTCTTCGGCGGGCCAGAGGATACTCATCACCTCGGCAAAGTCATGGACCATGGTGGTGCCACAGGTTGGAATCGCTAAGTTGGCGGGTTTGTAACTTCAATGACTGTTGCGTTTATGGTATATAACTGGAGCTCATGGATTATGATTGGTTATGATAGTGATAAGCTATGTATGGTATGGATCAACAAACATAACTAGGTCGCAGCATCTTAGCTATGTGGAGGTTCGTATGATACATTTTCTGTACTCTCCAGGTTGATATTGTTGCCATAGGAAATCCGTAGAAATGGGAAGGTATACCTTGGAAAATCAAAAACAAACACGAGTGTCTTTCACCATCGAAACTGCGAGTTTCGAACTGGTGTGACCCACTTCAAAGGGGCCAAAAAGTGCCAAAAATACTTACAGGATGGGGCCCCCAAGATAGCTAAGTTGGTTTATAAGTTGCTTAACAATGGTTTATGGTAGATATAACTATAGTTAATGGGGGTTGTAATGGTCTATAGTAATGGCCCCATCCTGCTTAGGCAGCAGAAAAACTGGCACTGGCACTGGCATTTTCCATGATTTCCCCAAAGATTTGGCTGAATGATTTCCATGTAGCGCGAAACCCTGACTTGGTATGAGAAGTCTTTCAGTAGGGTTCTAACCACCTTGAACATTGGATAGCCCCAGCTAGCTCATTCATGAACTCACTGTTTTTTGTTCACCATTTACTAAGTGGTATGATGATCCATTAATCCTCTGATCTTAAAAAACGCCTAGAACCGATTGGAAAGCATACGTACAATTTATACATATTATATATATATATATATTCATTCATAACTTCATAACCCATGTCCATGTGAATGTGATGTGTTTTCATTCGTTGTTTTCGTCAAACATTCGGGTTTCCAATTGACATGGCTTTGTTCATCATTTCAATGATGTCCGTTTCAGGTGTTGGGGGAGATTAAAAAAACTCCTCGCCATGAAACATGATGATCAGCCCATGTCCAATCTAGACCTCAAATCAACATCATCAACACCCATCTGGTTGGTGGTTTCAACCCCTCTGAAAAATATGACAGTCAGTTGGGGGCATTATTCCCAATATATGGGAACATAAAAAATGTTCCAAACCACCAACCAGCCAATGATTTTCACCAATTTTCATGTTCACCGAGCAACACCCTTCTGTCCATGTCTCGAGGAAAATTTGTCCCCAACCACTGGATTCCGTGTGTAGCGGAGCTTCATCACAACCTTTCTGAATGGATCCTTGGATGCCGTCCCAACAAATGGGGATTTCTGGGTGTACAAACTGGATGGATCCCACATGTACCATCGTAGCGATGGATCCTGGAAGTTAGATTCTGGAAGTTAGTACATGAATGGTATCTGACAAGCCATTGATCCATTGCATGCCAGTTCCAAGGTATCATCCATGCAGCCCTGGATGCAGCCCTGGATCCGGTCTGGGTATCATGGGGATTCCCACAAAGGTGACCCACCCACGAACAGTTGGGAAAAAGATTCGCCCTTAGAATTAGTGGTTGTTGTTGTTGTTTTTTTTCGCCCGGAACACATAGTTACTATTGGTGTTATAAATCCCCATGTTTGTTGGTTAAATGAGTTAAATCCAACATGTTTACTGCTTGTCTCCCCACGTTTGTTGCTTCACCAGATTTTTCGGGGTCAACGATCCAATCCTTATCCCTGTGCTGGTCTCCAACTTGGTTTATCTTGGTTGATCACATTTTACAACTGTTGGTTACCTATGGTTTATGGCAAAATATATGGCAAATATATTACTACAAACTTCAAAAAGGGGTTTGTTAGATGTTGTAACATGTTCTAAACCAGCTTATAGCTGGGGGTTGGGCACAAGGGATTTTTAGAAACTAAAGGCAACGCAAAAAGGTTTGGCTGGTCTTATCTCGATTATGGCATTGCTACCTTCACTCGCAGCGTTGCTCCCATTGGCTGGCGATTCTTGTGTGTGAACCGGCTCATCCTGCTCCAGGTCTTGACTTTTGTTCTGTTTGTTCAACTGTGTGACTTGAGTCGCGGCAGGCAAACCATGAATAGCCATCCTGGCGTGCGATCTGTAATCACTCATAGCCGTCCGACGTTGACAGGGTCAGCCATGAAGACATCCGGAATGTCCGCGCAAAAAGCACCATGACCAAATAGGCAACGAGCTTCGCCATGTTCGCGTCGTGAAAAAACATAAGTCTATTAAAATGTTTTTTTTCTAAGTATCCCCTCTTTTCAGACAAACCCATGTATTTAATGTATTTATATCTGTATCCCGCGGTCATAACTCTGATTCATAACATTGGTATACCTTGATGCTTACCCAGCGAAGAACATCGCAAAGCTTAAAGGAAGCCATTCCTCGCCATGCAGCTTGAACAACCACTGCAACTCTTGGATGTGCCAGCGATAGCCCGTTTCACAATTCTACCTGGCTTACTGACCTCATTTAAGTGACCCTTTATTCCCTTGATTCCCTTCATATCCAGCTTTCCAATTCAATTATTCATTAGGATGATTTAAGGGACATTTGCAGGGAACCCTAATTGGGAAAACCCATGGCTTCCGGCGATGCTCACTTAAATCATCCCAATTCTACTATCAAATTATTCCTAAAATGATACATTAAGTCACTTAGACTTAAATCATCCAAATTCTAGATTCCCAATTCTACTATCAAATTATTCCTAAAATGATACATTAAGTCACTTAGACTTAAATCATCCAAATTCTAGATCATTCGAGCATATTTGGCATATTGAAACTCATGGTGACTTGGGGATCCCTGACTTGGTTGAACCCCCCCAATTCTACGGGGCTTACGAAAAACATGGCGCCAGATCCAGTGGACCAAGCATCGCAGCCAGCGAAGTCCCCGCCATGAAGGCGAACCACCTGGAGGCTGCGGGGTGGAGGATTCCACCCGCGATGCAAAGTGAGGCCCCTGTAGGAAACCAAAAATCATATATGAAAATGGTGATTCAAGCGATTTAACCTTAAGAAACATTGTGATTTAGTGGGAATTATAGCTGATTTACAACTAAGTTGGCGAACACAAGTCCAATTTCACTGGTTTTGATGGTTGAATCCTCATGTCAACGATGTCAACTCACCATTTCCAATAGATAAATCTCCATTCATAAAAAGGTTAAGTCAAAATTTATGATAGAAAAAACTCAATTCATATGGTTAACTCATCATTTCTGATAGTTACCCTCTGGTTATTTAACATAGCCATGGAAAATAGCCCATTGATAAATGGTTTACCGAACTTAAAAATGGGTGGATCTTTCCATGGCAAACTGTTAGTCATAACCAGAGGGTAGTTAAATCTCCATTCACAATGTCAATGGCAACTCCAGGATCCTAAATTGGAGGTACCTACCATATATAAGGCCTATGTAAGTGAATATCCCAGCAAAATATGGCCTTATATGGTACAGTACCTCCATTTTAGGATCCTGGAATTCCCATTGATTTAACTACCCTCTGGTTATTTAACATAGCCATGGGAAATAGCCCATTTATAAATGGTTTACCGAACTTAAAAATGGGTGGATCTTTCCATGGCTATGTTAAATAACCAGAGGGTAGGTTAACTCTAGTCCATGTCATCTGACATGTCGGCCCACCTGCTCCACATAGGATGGTTCATCATCCTGGTACCTGCGAAGCATGGAGTTAGCTGCTCGTTTTCCGAACCGTGCATTCAGAAAGGGCTCGTGAAAAAGGATAGAAAAGTATGAAACCCATAGATGATAACTGTATAATTCAAAATATGATGCGTATATATATATTATATATATTATATATGTGTTATTGTTTATAGTTAATATCAGCATAATCCGTCTACTGCAGTTGTTTCCAGGATGTTATACCATGTACGGTACGGCCCTTCAGTTTTGTTTGTTGTTTTATTAATTTATCAGCCCCATAAATACTATACTAAAAAAAGTATCATAAACCATAGTTACTGGAATTATACACCAACTTAGCTATCTAGAGGACCCCACACTGCAGGATGTTACAAATGATACTGATGATACCAGTAGATGATGTTCCCTCCATTTCTATCTATTTTGGGATCGCCAGAAGTATATGGGTACGTGTCAAGACAATTCAAAGCCTAAAATTTTCTGTTTGGTGTTTGAGCCACCCCTCTGAAAAAATATGAAAGTCAGTTGGGAGTATTATTCCCAGTATAGGGAAACATAAAATTCATGTTCCAAACCACCAACCAGTTTTCAATTATCAATTCGGAGTTTTTGTTGGTCAACTCCTGATTCTTGCTGGTTAAATCTCTAGCTTTATCTTACCTTTTTTTGTTGGTAACGTAACATAAATCCACAGCTGGGTCTTTAACAGGGCATCAGGGTTGTGATCCATACCCACATGACCACAACAAGCATGGATGGTTTCAACACGTTTGCCCCAATCAACGGACGTTTTCTCCCCATAGAAATGAAGAGAGTCAAGCCTCATTGTGGATGCACAGAACCCTTGAAGTTTCTGTTCTACATATCAAGCCACCAAAAACTAATATCTGACCAAGAACAAGTGGTACTCCCCCAATAGGTCTAAAAACAACCAACTACGTACTGTAATTGTGTATGTTTGTCTGTCTATATGTCTGTCTTTCTGCCTGTATGCATGCATGCATGCATATAGTATCCTGGCTGAACTACAATAACCCACCAAACTAAAAATAGCTGAAAAGTTGGGCCATTTAGGGATGATTCCACTTACTAATCATGATTCAATCGTGACTTGACGACGTGAGGTCATTACACTTTATCCAGGTATACATATATACATACATACATATACATATATATATATATATCATAGAGTTATAAGTTGCTATAGAAAAGTCCAATTAACTATAGTTATAAGGTCTTAAACAGAAAAACAAAAAACCATAGTGTTTGGAACTTCTTGCACCAACTTACCTCCACCTTGCCCCGTCAAGACATGGCCAATCTTAGGTGCCTAAATTTCTAAAGATTGATTTGTTAACCGGTTAGTAAGGGCTACGATGTGGGCCCCCCTAGATAGCTAAGTTGGTGAACATAACTCCAATGTCACTATGGGATATAGTAGATACAACTATGTATAGTATGCATGGGGTTTACAAACCAACTTAGCTATCTAGGGGCCCCACATTGTAGAAATTATGCTTAATAAACCTTCGAACTATCCTTCACCAAGGTGATACTTGGTCCGTAAGCTCCAACAATTGTAGCTATAAAGTATTTGACTGGTTTTATTAAAATACCTAGTAACTAGTTTATGATCCATAATAGGTCATACAATTATAATCTAACCATAGGTCCTATAGGTTATGATCTTGAAACCTCCAAAAAAAACTGGGTAATATTTCATCATATTTCACTCACCTGAATATATAGTGCGGCCAGCGATTTGGGGATGATTTTCCTGATCCACTGAATCAACCGATTTCGGTCGCACGTGTGGATGGTCGACTTGCCATAGGCTGAGCGGCGAGAGGCGATGGGCGCTTTTGGGAGGAGGGACATGCGATGGAAGTGTCATGAAAATAATTACCTTGAATAAACAAAAGGCTTAAGAAAGAATTGTTATGAATGTTAATTTGATAAAACAATGGTCAATAGTTATTATAATGAAACACAATTCCTTAATGATAATGTTTTGTTTTTTTAATGTACCAATCAGCAATAATATATAGCATTAATCTGAACTAATGATGATAAGTTGATGATGAGGTTATATAAACCATAATATTCCAGAATGATATAGTCACTATTATTATATAATAGATTATACTAACAAAAGTGATCGTATATCATCAAAGTTTTGTGTAGCATAATAATTAATATTAAAGGGATATTGATTTAGCGTATCATGATGTAATGAATCCTTGGTCAAATTGTGGTTGCAATGAACCAAATGAACAGTTGTACAAAGTTATGTTTATATTTCATTTAGTTATGGTGATAAAAACATGTGTCAATATAATCATCAGTTAATAATATTTGTCATGGTTATAATATCATCGTAACGATCATATACGAACCAACTACTTTGCCCACATTGAAACGCACATTGAAACAGTTGGAAGTAGATATAAATATTATGTTTATTTAATAGCAATGTTCAAAAGCGTGTATCGTCTCTTTATACTGGTTGAGATTCGGACTCCCCGTTCACGGATTGTGATTTTCCCGTATATGTCGAAAAAAAATATACTCCCCAAACTAATCATCATCCAACCTGGGCTTTGGACACTGCTCAATTAGCATCCACGGGTAAGTCTCGGGAACAATGTCGCCTAAGATGTCTAAGTCAATGTAATAAGTTACTCAGCATCGTCATCGATATAATGCAGTAACACTGTCCGAGGCTATCTAAGTCTCTCTGTTGGATTATGCCGCCGATACGTGATTATACAAAAAAAACATATGGCCGCATAAAAAAAAACTAATAACTAACGACAAAAGTGGGCCAGTGGGTCCCTTACTTCGTGTTCATTGGGATCAAGACTAAAGTACAATATATAGGCATATAGGTATATAATTATATAGATGGGATAGAATCAAATTGTTGACCAACCATATCCAACTATATCTACAGTATAAGCCAGTGTTTTAAGGTTCTAACTGGTCCAACTGTAAATGCTACCTATCTGTGGCGCCAAGAGATTCAAGTTGGTCATCTGAAATCTCTTCAACATTTTTCAACAACAAGGGTGGGGGTTCTATTGCCAGGGGTAGATTATCACATCAACATTTTTTTGGGGCCTACAACTCTTGGGTGTTCACCCTTGCACCCTGTTTTTTTTTTCCCACATATACCAAACATGCTACCTCAATGGTCGTCAACCCAGCATCCAACAGCTGAAGTGCGTGTTATTTGGCACCGCTCCATACCCCGAGTAAATCTTCACAAATCGTGCCAAACTGGAGGGCGATATCTGTTATATATACCCGCTGGAACATACAAAAAAATGTGGAAAGACACCATGGTTAATGGGTAAATCAACCATAAAAACAATTTTCAATAGCTATGTTAAATTTCCAGAGGGTAGTTGGTGTATCCGAACTTCCATCCTTAGTTGGAATAGTTATTCCAAACCAACTTACCTAGTGTGAAAGTAATAATCAGAATTTATTGATCTGGGGTTGACATTAACGGATGATTGCTCGTTTTAAACTGAAGGTTTCTTTGTGCCAAATTACTCATGCCCAAACAAACAAATGCCATCTCTACCAAATGCGCTATGATCAAAAAACACAGTATATGGGTTATGGCCATTCCACCATCATTGGCAGCCCTTATCTTGACCGATTTTCATGGAGGTACATCATCATTCCAGCAGAAGATCAAATGATTAAACTAACTATCCAAGGTTGACCTAGATTAATGTTATGTTCACCAGACCATTGCTTGTTCTAAGAACCAACAAACTTGCAAAAACCAAGAAAAAATGCAAAGAACATAGAAACACCAAAAAGCAGAATAAACAATTGAGGAGAACATTAGATTAATGGGTTGTAATCAGACCCAACTTTTGACCATGGCACAAGTGTACCCTGCTGGCTGCGCAAGGAACTAGCCTCCAGAATTCCAACTATGGGTCATGCTGTGTGTGTGGTGGTCCTCCTTCGGAAACGACAGGAGGATGACTGTATCAAACCAGACCTCACTTCGATTGCTTTCGAATCTGCTATCCGCTCACGCACCGATACATCTCTCCGCAGCAACAAGCCTTCAGAAACCTTCTCCGCAATCTTCATAGATGCAGCCTTTGATGCCAGAGTACCAACATATTTGCACACAGTGCCCCCCAGTGATGTAGTTATGTTTGTTGGCTTATAACCACCAGTCACTAGTTCAATATATCGACATATATCGACCATTTTTACCCAAGAGTTAGTGGAGTTAGTGGAGTTATGTTCACCAACTTATATGACCAATCTTACTAACACAAAAATAAACCACTCTAACACTTTCACGGTTGTTTCACCCATTTCGGGATTTTCCGTGAAAGGATGATGGATCCATATGGATCCATTTTTGCAACGCTCAACACGATATGATCGAACGGTCAACACCCATATGTATATGTAAAAATGATGGATATATAGGATCCATATGTATCTACGTAAAATCATTGCTTTACTATGTAAAATCCACATGTATCTAACATAACCCAGCTTTACTATTGCTTTACTATATGAATATGCAAACTACGAAGTGATTAATTTAGGTGTTTCCTAAAATGGGGGTACCCCCAAATCCATTTATAGATGGTTTTCCATAACAATCCAACTATTGGGGCTCCCCCGTGGAAAGCCTCATAATTACAATTAATTGTACTAAATCTATACATATAGAATAGTGATCATTAACCATCGTTTACCATCATTAACCACAGATTTACCATAGATTTTCCATAGATTTACCATCATTAACCATAGATATATAACCCATTTAAACCCATTGAAAAATCCCATTGATGACGTAGGACACCGAAAAGGCACAGCCCAGGCACCGTCCATGACACAATACATGGGCGATCCATGGGTCAGGTAGGTTCCGATGGGAGGAAAGCCTCAGGCACCGTTTGGCACGCGCTGGATTACGGTTGCTTCAGTTCAATCGGTTTGGAAATACTAAGGTTTATATATATATATATATGTGTATTATATATATATATATGTGTATTATATATATATATATACGTGTATTGTTTACATATATAAATGTATATATATATATAGGTAATATTATAATATAGTTACGTAATGATACTTTCCTGTAAACAACAATAATTATGGAAAACGGCCCGTTTATAGATTTACCTGTTGAACATCTTCAAAAACATGTGATTTTTGCTAACTCAAAATTTCCGGGGGTCTATCATGGGATTTTTGTTCCACCGCACCAAAGCTGACGGCTAGTAAGCCCAAAATTAGAAGCTTTTTGTGGTTAGTAAACCCTGGTACACTAACATAACTATGGAAAATCACAATTTTTAATGGGAAAATCCACTATAAATGGGCAATGTTCAATAGCTATGTTAAATTACCAGAGGGTAAACCCTTTGAAGTTCACCAACTGACTTGGTTGAATCTATGCATGGTACGATGTGCCGCCCCAAATTGTACGTCGTTTTTTTAAGCCATCGCAAACCTCTAAACCCACTTTGTAGGAAACCATTGTTTTCCACTAAGGCTTTCCTTCAGAATGTCAGTCAATTGGGATCATTAGCCCATTTCTTGAATGGAAAATCAAGGAAAACAATAATTACTGTATGTTTGAAACTAGGTAACCAATGGGGTATCCCTTCAAAGTTGGCATAACCAGGGACATGATAATTAACCACTGAACACTGGATTCGGGTTGCATTTTAAACGTTCAGGTACCAAATCTAAATGGGGTAAATTCACTCCACCCATATAAAGGAGCCCTTTAGCTCCTGTTGCAGGGACATTAACCAGCGCTCCACAGTTTCTCCAACTCTATGAATCTGAAGTTTGGAATTGTTAATCACTAGGTTTACTGTTTACCACATTACAAATCATTCACCCGACCTGACGTATAGAAAGTAGATGGCATAATGGGATACCAAAAATGTTCCACCTTAGATACAATGGATGGAAAAAAAACATCTTCACCGGTGTGATGGGTGGTTTAAAGTTTATCCCATTTTTTTAAAGGGTTTACACATGTTTCAAGGTGATGCGGGAGTTCTTCCATCCACTCAGGATTTTTTTGGCCAGTTTTTTTTGTTTGCCCATGATCAAGGTTTGCTCTGAATTTCTGGATCACCTCGGACTTTTTTATTTTCAAATCACAAGGTGGTTCCGTCCCAGTTGTAAGTTGGAATATCACCCACATTTATTGTAGGTATTATTATACCATAACTTCTACCATGAATGTCATCCATTAATCCGAAACCCTGATAAACTTACTGAACCAAAGCAGCTGAGCAAAAGACCTTGGGGCACCTTGCACACTTTGACCCTGTGTTTACCGCCGGAATCAATTCTATGAAATTCTTGGATCGTGTGCCGCTGGTGTACCCCCAATAATGTACATTTCAGTAAATTAATATTGACCCTGGCAGATAGGAGTTTCCACTTAAAGTCTATTTGTAAGTTCCATGTTAATTTACCAGAAGGTGTATCCATTGTTAATCATCAGTGTCAACGTATGTGATGGTCTGAATAGTATCCCAATAAATTGGTCACAGTCACAAACATCAATGAATCAATAACATGCAATAGTCATCATTCATCATGATCAAATATCAACAACTACTGGCAGTTAGTTTCAACCCCCCATGAAAATCAACTCGTCAATTGGGTATCATCATGGCATTCCTATGATGGAAGATAAGCAATATTCAATGCCACCAAACACATGGATTCTAGTTCATCAGAGGACATTGTTGTTTCCATAGAAAAAAAAACTCAATGTGTGTTCAATACATGTCCTAAACTCTATACAATTGCTTCATGGCAACCTTCGTGTTGATCTCTTGCTGTATTCTCGGTGGGCAATTCGTTCAAACCTAATACTGTGGTAAACCTAATATTAAGAAACCATCCCTGTCATTATAAAGAGGTTGTGAAAAATCAACGCCAAATGGTGGGTTTATTATTGGATTTTCCGCATTACTTAATATCCCACAAACGAAATCCTGGTAGAACCTCTTGGCTCCGTTCAGCTACTGGGATGCCGGATTGGGGGACCAATTTCTATTGGGAAAAAATCAATGCCATGTGGGTAAAACAATGTGATAAACGCAACATCTATGAAGTCCCTAATAGAAGTCCCTAGAAATGGATATGTGTAATAGAAGTCCCTAATTATCATTAACCATCTATGAGTATTAACCCATCATTTACCCACAGTATACTATATTATGATCCAGGTTGCTGTTCCATGGGTGGCATTCCCCTGGGTTGTAGTGTATACAGCTTGGAACCAGCTCTGCAGCCTACAAAATGGTGCCATAAACCGGGACTTCATGGGGCTACAAAATGCTAGTGCTTGGAAAAACCGTCTTAAGGATCAATTCCACAAGAAGATTACAGTAACATGTTCATTCAAAAATGTACTTTCATGGTCTTATGGAAAGTTTGAAATCTCAACTGATTCCTTTTTTTAAATCACCATCTGAATCGGCACTCAAGGGTAAAAATGTCTGGAAAGCACTGCAAATCTATGTGACATTCCACCAGCTGTGTAGACCAAGATAGGAGCTGACAACACGCTTGAGAACGGGATTTCCCCTCATGGACTGTGACATTCCCAATATCTTGGTTAGCACAATCCCAAACATAGATCAACTACTTGGTGGTTCATCCCAGTTAGTAAGTGGGTGTTAACCCCAATTATAAGTGAATTATTACCAACTGGGATGAGCAACCAACTAGGGTTTTGAACACTGTTCAATTGGCTATGTCTGTTATAACCTCCATTACACAACTATATAACTAGAAATAACTACAGAGATGTCTAGCAAAAATACGAGCAGTGTCAACTATAGAGATATCTAGTATAGATGTCGGGAGTCCACTATATAGTGACTATATAGACTATATATAACCTCAGAACCTCCATTTCTGGTTGGTAATGATCATCTCTTGATGTGTGCCCAGCTTTTTTTTAAAGACTGAGCCCTCCAAGGAGCCGTCATCATTCAACTCTTCAGACATCCGTCCCATGACCTGTTTTTCTGCGCAGGGAACACAAACAATGGGTTTGAAGTGCTTGAACCAAGCAGCATTGGATTAAAAAAAAACATATCAGTTGGATTTACAGCCTAAGTTGTTTTTAGCAACTTAATGCAACTTAGGTTGTTTTTCAGTAGTGAAACACCATGGGATCATTTATCAAATTCTCAGGTTTTTGATTCTTCATGGTTGCAGTGATGAGAAAAAAAAACATTGACATCAACCATTGAGGGCGTCACGTGCCGTGGCTTGGTGGAGCTGTGGTGTTTGTTGCTTCATAACTGCATCAGCTACCCTCTGGTAAACTAACATAGCTATGGAACATCACTATTTTTAATGGATAAATCCACTATTTCTATGGCCATTTTCAATAGCAAACTGTTAGTTTACCAGAGTGTATGTTAATATATGTAGCCTCTAGTCATCAAACATGGCAATGAAAAATCCCTTATGTATGGAGGCTTGAATGGGAAATTCATCTATGCATGGGTGATTTTCCATCTATAGAAAACCCAATCGTTAGCCTCTTGAGGCAATGTCTTGCAGGATTCCTGATTCTCCCAGGAATGTATCCCATTGATCTGAGAATTATCCCAGATATTGTGTCATTTCGTTGAAACAAAGAAGCGCATCAAGCTGCATATATAATATCTCAGCGTCATCCCAGATATGATCTCACAAATCTTGGATGAATAAACACATCATCCTGGGTGATTTATAATAATTCACTAACCTGAAAAGTTCGGATATTTTGGGGATCTTCCCCCAAATCCTAACCATAATATCCATAATTATAGCGAGGGAGAACAGGGTTCGGTCGTGATGAAATTTACCCAGATATTATAGATGTGATGGATTTTTGTGGATATTCCCACTCTTGATCTGGGATATCCATCATTATCCAGCATTATAAAGTATTTGACTGGCCATATTTTTACTAAAATACCTAGTAACTAGGTTATGATCCATAATGGGTCATACAGTTATAATCTAACCATAGGTTATGATCTTGAAACCTCCATAATTCTGGGTAAATGAAATAATATTTCACGTTGACCTGAATAGTGCGGCCATTTGGAGATGATTTCCAATACTAACCATTCTTCCAGTGAGGTCGCAGTGAGGTGGTTATAATTTACCCAGATTTATGGAAAGCACCAAATAAACAGATCGAATCATCGTTGCTTCAGAAAACCCACCAGTCGCCAACATAGAGCTGCGACCTCCGCCCCTTGGAGCTTGAGGTTACTGAAAGTCGCCAGGGCCTCGGTTGCGGAAACGTGGCGTATGGTGATGACAGTCCCCTGGTGTTTGCACCGCGAATCCATGGAGGTTGTACTGGAAAAATGAAGGTTTTATGGAAATGAAGGTTCTATGGAAGATCTTCATTTTGCGCATTTCCATGCTTGAATTGACTACCAAAACAATATCACTTATCTGGAAAATGTCGCAAAACTTATTTGAAACCCTCCCTCACATTTTACTGACTATGCGGCATGAAACTACAGTATCAAACAATGGTTGTAAATGTGTTGCTAGGGCAAAACTGTACTCCAAACGCTGTACTCCTCAATCTTATTGTTGCACTGTGATCCACTGCACCCTTCAGATCGACTGGACATACACCATTATTCAAGGGAAACCTCATGGCATGGGACATTGTTTCCATGAAATTTTGCCCTTAAAAAATCTTTATATAAATATGACGTTTTCAGCATTCTGATGTTGGGCATGCTCCCCCCACTAACCCTCGTGTCTGCTGAGGAATATGACTTTTTATGGCGATCCCCCGGTTATGTTGCGCTATGTTTACCCACTCAACTGTAGATAGGATCACCAGAAAGCCACCAGTTTTGCTAGTTCTGATCCTAGTCCATCCAATTTACACTTATGGCCATTTATTAGTTTTAAATGAAATTATATCAATAGAATTAAATTTATAAATGAAATTAAATAATTTTATTATAAATGAAAGAAATTATACCATTTATTTATGGCCATAAATGGAATTCTACCTTCCATAACTGGTTGGTGGTGTACGTACCCCTCTGAAAAATATGAAAGTTAGTTGGGACTATTATTCCCAATATATGGAGAAATAATAGTTAGGATATATGATGGTATACTCTCTGGTAAACTACAATTGCAGTGATTTAATGCCATTTAATGGTGATTGATGGTGATTTGATGGTGTTTAGTGGTGATTGACCCCCTGGTAAACAAAGAGTTTGGTGTTCCAAACCACCAACCAGATATTATATATCAACCATGGTTTTCCTATGTTTTTTCTTGTAGTTTCCTATGGTTTTTCCTATGTTTTTCTTATAGTTCTCTATGGTTTCCTCCTGGGTTCCACCTTTAAGTGCGGTCACCATTGACACATTCACCGATCGCTGCATGCTGAGAGACCATCTCTTCTGGGGTGGCATGTTTGTCCTGGAACTGTGGCTGACCTTGTTGGGTACTTTGAGGTGAAGGACAAGATCCTTACTTATATAGATATTTATTATGTATATATATATATATATGTATATGTAAATGTATATGAATATATATATATATGTATGTATGTACGTATGTATGCATGCATGCATGTATGTATGTGTATATACATGTATATGTATATGTAAATATTTGTATATATATATATATATTTATGTATATGTATATGTATATGTCTACGTATATATGTAAATATTTGTATAAATAATAAAAAAACATATGTATATGTATATGTGTACGTATAAATGTAAACATGTATATACATATGTATATGTATATGTACATGTACATGTATATGTATATTTAAATATATATATATGTATATTTTTGAATATATATATATATATATTTGTAAATATATACATATATATATATGTATATGTATATGTACATGTACATGTATTTGTAAATGTATATGTATATGTGTACGTATAAATGTAAATATTTGTATATATAGTTATATGTATATGTATTTCTCTATGTATATGTGTACGTAAATATGTATATGTGTATATGTATATGTATATATATATATATTTAAATATACAAATATATATATATATATGTATATATATATATATATATATGTATGTATATGTATATGTAAATGTACATGTACATGTATTTGTATATGTATATGTATATGTATATATATATATATGTATATTTTTGAATATATATATATATATGTAAATATATATATATGTATGTATGTATGTATATGTAAATGTACTTGTACATGTATTTGTAAATGTATATGTATATGTGTACGTATAAATGTAAATATTTGTATATATAGTTATATGTATATGTATCTCTCTATGTATATGTGTACGTAAATATGTATATGTGTATATGTATATGTATATGTATATATATATATATATATTTTAAATATACATATATATATATATGTATATATGTATATATATATATATGTATGTATATGTATATGTAAATGTACATGTACATGTATTTGTATATGTATATGTATATGTGTACGTATATATGTAAATATTTGTAAATATAGTTATATGTATATGTATCTCTCTATGTATATGTGTACGTAAAAATGTATATATGTATATGTATATGTATATATGTATATATGTATATATGTATATGATTGTAGATGTATATGTGTATGTGTATGTGATCGTCCTCCGGAAACTGCCCAATATGGGGCTATGGTGCCCGAGATGAAGGAGGACCATTCTCTTCGCCCCCGAAGCGACCCGGAAGGTCCCAGTACCAAACATCGGTCAATCTTCTGTACCCTAATGTGCCAATTGATACCCTCTGGTTATGTCAAAATAGCTATTGAAAATGACCATAGAATCCATAGAAATAGTGGATTTAACCATCTATAATATGGGTGGATTTTCCATAGTTATGTGAAAGTTTACCAGAGGGTAGAATCCTCCATTTATAAACATTTATACGAGTAGTACGGCCCTCCGGTTATGATTGGCTTATAAACCCCAATTGGAACCATAGTGAAATAACAAGATAAGTGACATAGACATGGATGCCTTTATCTCATGAGTTACAAGTAACATCAACCATAGTGAAATAGGAGCTATTTGCACCAACTTATCAGAGGCCCCACTTTCTACAAAAATCCTCCAGAAGTGAGACCCGATCACAGATTGACCCTGCTTGTGTGTTTTAGATAGTTTGTATGCATATATATATATATATATCTGTGTGTAGTACTACATATATTTTCATCTATAACTATGTAGATACAATTTCACATATAATTATGTAGGTATACTTACAATGAATTACATTTTTTATTTACATCCACATTCATAGCAACACACCGAGCCTAACCGGTGGGCACCAACGGGTGAAACGCCAAGTCACACAAGCGTCGATGATTTTCGTCTTGTAGACAACGCCATGACCAAAGCCGCGCTCATAGGACTGCTTATTGATGATCCTGAGTGGCCCTGAGAGACTGGGATATCATATGTGTATATATATATGTTATATTATATTAAATTGTATTAAATTATATTATATCATATTATATTATATTATATCATTGTATATTATTTTATATGATGTTTTATATATGATACACCATTATACATCCCTTGGCCATCAGAGGGGAACGGATCATCAGTTAACTTGTGATTTATCTGGCCAAAAGTCGGGATCCATCTGGATTCTCTCCTAGAAACGCTGAACTTAGAGGCGCCAGGGCGATGGTTGATGGTTCTCACTGAACTCAGCTAACATAATTCAACGTGGCTACCCTCTGGTAAACGTTTACAGTTTGCTATTGAAAATGGCCCATTTATCGATTGTTTACCTATTAAACATGGTGATTTTCAGAGGGTAAAAATTAACAGTTTGCTATTGAAAATGACCGTAGAAATAGTTGATTTAGCCAGCTATAACATGGTGATTTTCCATAGTTTTATATATGTTTACCAGAGGGTAAACTTAAAGGGTTTTTCACGATCCCTACATGGAATGATGAACATGGATCGATGACCATCCACAATATGCGTAATACAGTTGTGGCCCAACTAACAGCTATGTTCATGGGTCTATTTCATGATATATAACCCTAGTTATAGGAGTTAGTTCATTCCATTGAAACAACTGTTTTTTGGGCCACAACTGTGGTATGTTTAATGGTTAAATCACAATTTTCCTATGGTTTTCCCATGATTTTCCTATAAACATCACGGTTTTTTGGGCCATAACTGGACCCTTACCAAAAGGGATTCGTAACTTTCCCATGGGATGGTTTTATGGAAAATTCATCGATAAATGGGATGTAACCCATTAAGATCATTAAGGCTTCCATGATGTATTCATATGTATTCCATTCATAGATGATTTTGAAAACTGCTGATGATCCATTTATTGGGATGCCTGGAAAGCGTCAAGGGCACGACATCAGTTGGATCATTAGAACGATCGAACCTGCCCAATATATTCTGTTCCAAAGAAAACACGCTGTGGTTGCCTCTCCCCAAATATCAGTCAAATATGCGGTGTCAAAATTTTAACTGTAAAATTCAGGAGATCAACCGATTGGCTACTGGGAGATTCCCACCTTCATCAACCAAGCTTTTGAAACTGACAAAGGCATGGATGAACAGGCCACAATTAAAAAAACAATCTATTCAGAAACGCATTGAGCTGAAGCACTATTCAAATACATTCAAAAACTTGTCAGTACCTCGGCTCTAAACTCTTCTATGTTGGATGCATGTAATTATAGTATATAAATATCCGCGGACCCCGGCCTTCGCCAAGGCAGGGGCGGCGCCTGGGACCACCGGAGGTGTGGACCCTGCTTTGTCACGGCCATGGCCTCCACATTGTCCACCAAGCCCTGTGGCCGTAAGCCCCTTCTGTTCCAGCTTTGCAACCTGCCGTTTGCCTATATATAGCCTCTGTTGTTAGGGCGTTCAAGCCTGCCGTTTGCCAGCGTTCAAAGCCTTACACCTTCCCGGCAGCTTCCACCAAGCCCTGTGGCGGTAGGCCGTTGCTGTTCCAGCGTTGCAGCCTGCCGTTTGCCTGCGCATAGCCTCTGTTGTTGGGGCGTTCAAGCATGCCGTTTGCCAGTCTTCAAACCCTTCAAACCCCTAAAATGCTTCGCCGGCCGTTTGCCTGCATAGCCCTCTGTTGTTAGGGCGTCCGCTTCCACCAAGCCCTGTGGCGGTCAGCCCTTGCTGTTCCAGCATTGCAACCTGCCGTTTGCCTGCACATAGCCTCTGTTGTTAGGGCGTTCAAGCCTGCCGTTTGCCAGCCTTCAAACCCTTCAAACCCTTAAAACCCTTAACATGCTTCGCCAGCCGTTTGCCTGCGTAGGTTTGCCTGGACATAGCCTCTGTTCTTAGGGTGTTCCTGCCGTTTGCCAGCGTTCAAAGCCTTACTCCCGGCAGCTTCCACCAAGCCCTGTGGCGGTAGGCCGTTGCTGTTCCAGCGGTGCAGCCTGCCGTTTGCCTGCACATAGCCTCTGCTGTTAGGGCGTTCAAGCGTGCCGTTTGCCAGCCTTCAAACCCTTAAAACTTCTAAAATGCTTCGCCGGCCATTTGCCTGCATAGCCCTCTTTTGTTAGGGCGTTCATGCCTAGGGCGCCTCGCGGCAGCTTCCTCTCTGCAGCTTCCACCAAGCCCTGTGGCCGTAAGCGATTTCTGTGCTTCGATGGTAACATACGCCGCATCCAAAGACTCCCCCCATCAAAGTTGCGCTGCTTCCTCTCTCATCTTGACACGGTGTATACGGGGAACTTCCTAAGTTGCAGTCTGGGCATTGGGCACAAACGCGCAAGCCGAACAGATGCTCCATGACAAGAAGGACAAGAACCCGGAAGCCATCAACGCTGGCTGGCGGGTCGCGGGCCATGGCTTGGCGCCGTTCAAACACATTCTGTCGTTGGGGGTTCACGAGTGCCGTTTGCCAGCCTTCAGACCTTTATTCAAACCGTTATACACCCTCCGCAGCGGCTCTACACACTGTCTTGTTGACGCTTCAAGACCACCGTTTGCTAGCCTTCAATCCCTAGCCACACTGTCTTGTTGGGGCTTCAAAGGGGGGTCGGCGGCACCCGGGCGTTAGCCCATTCTATTTGCAGTTCCAAAGGCACCAAGGCCAGTCAGCTTCCCAATATCCTCACATTGGCCTATGTAGTAAGAAAATGACAACCAGCTCTCAATGTTAGAAAAACGTTAGGTACAACGAAAACACGATCCCCTACGCTGTGGCCACAAAAAGAAAAAAACAAGTAACCATGCAAATCGCACGCTTGCTTCTCCACGAAAAATCTTTGTTCTTCAACCGGGGGCGCCGCGGGTTGAGAGTGAACAACTTCTCAATGTGCTCCCATTTTTTATCTTTGGTGGTCAACTTGCGAACTTTCATATAATGCCTTCTGACAGGGTTGAAGGCGGTAGTGAAGTGCTTGTGCCAATCCTTCGGCTTCATGCCAAAGACTTTCTGCAACTTTGTTCGCCTAGAGTGGGCAGTCGCTGAAAACACGCGTGAAATCAAAACTCATAGCTTCGAGTGGTCTGTCCTTGTCACTGACTGGCACTACAATTGCCTTGCGCCTGAAGCCTTCAACAGCCCGTGAGATGTACTCAAACTCCACTTTTGAAGTCGGTAAATTGACGGACCTGCACCAACCCCTCGCTGCGCTGGTTGCGGCCAACCAGGACTCCGTGGCTGAAATCTTGATGGATCGTCGCACTCGCGTGAGAGCTACGTACACCCATTTGGCATTAGCCGTGAAAGGTGTAGCCTCGGATCGAGTTGTGGCTAAGATGCCGCAGTCATATTCACCGCCTTGCACTTCCGCAAAAGTAACAATGTCCAGGTGGCATAGATGGCATAGATGTTCAAAGCCTTACTCCCTCCAGGCAGCTTCCACCAAGCCCTGTGGCGGTAGGCCGTTGCTGTATATATACACTATTTTGTTGTGTAAAATTCTGTACTTCAAGCACGTAAAAACTAGCTGCATATTGTTTGCATAAGCTCAAGGATCACGGAGCACTGGCTCAACACTAAGCAAACCCTTTTTGCTGTAAGATTTCCCTGCTTACCCGTGCAACCAGGTAGTGGCTTAATCACAAACTCTCGCACAGAATTGTTAATGTGTAAATCATATAACAAGACAATGCAACCATAAATAGTCACGTACGAATATTCACCAGCATATAATCAACTAAGCAAAATATAAATGAACATTATAATATGTTGCACTAATAATCAAACATTGATCAACCATGGTATTTATACATGTTTAGAGAAACACAATAACAAAATACAATCATTTATAATCAACTGAACATGATTGCCAATCTTTATCAATCATGCATGATCACAAGCAATCAAATATAAACTATATACACATAACTGCGAAAAGCGGACTCACTGTTTTGTGCCACTTCGAATGGTCCACTGGGGCTGCGGAGTACACATGCATGCACTGTGGTGACATGTTTTACCACAAGTCATACAGGCAGCCAAACCTAGCATATGGTGCGTATTTTGCTTGCACCCTCCTTAAAATATGGCGCCTTACAGCGCAACTTCATTTGAATTATTTTCTGTACGTTCTGCATTGCGTATTGGGCTCGGTTACGCATCTTTCGGTCCTAAGACCACATTGAAACACTTTGTACACGGTTTGAATTTCTTCACATCTGTGCTATTACTCAACGTAGGACATTGGTCCGTTGAGTGCACTCTTTCTCCATACCTTGTGAGGTAGTACACCTCGTACTTGGCCTTCTTCTTGCTTTTGCATGGCCACAGTACTATGTCTCTGTACAGACAGCAAAGTGCCGTCCCTCCTACGCAAACACTCACTAGGTTGAAAGTCAAGCTGATGAGAAACAACAGCATTAACGTTTCAATCCCGGTGTTTCCCGGCATGATGGCTTTGCCGCCCCACAACACAGGTGTGTCCCCCAAGGTTTCCATTTCGTTTCACCCCGGAAGCGTGTTGTCGAACGCTAAGCTTTGAGCCGGTTTGCGCTTTCCATCGTTTGTTTTCGTTCTCATTCACAGAACCTATTGTTCTCATGTTTGTTTTCGACACGTGTTTGTCCAGTCCATCCTCAGTCAGGTCCACGAGTCCTATCAACTCGCATCCGTTTCGTACCAGTTCACCTGTCGCAAGGTGTTTTGTGAGGATGTCTGCGGGATTCTTTGTTCCGTCGATTTTACCTATGATCACTTGTTTTGTTTTCACCAACTCTTGTATGTAAAGGTGTCCTACTGCTATGTGTCTCATCTTTCCTACACCTATTTTCTTTCCAGCTTGTATGGCTGCTGACGAGTCACACCAAATCCTCGGTGTGTCCAGTTTCATTCCAAAATCCTTTTCAGCTAAGTTTCGCACAAATACTGCAGTCTGAGCACAGTGCGTCAGGGACCTTATTTCAGCTTCCCCTGAGCTTGTCGCTGGCGTTCCTGGTTGCGTGTGCGATGACGATTCGACGAGTGTTCCTCCTACGAAAATCGCCTCACCGCTTGTGGAACGTCTGCTTTCTTGGTCTCCTGCCCAGTCACTGTCACAGTAGCAGTGCATCGGGATTCCTTCTCGGATGTCGATCCCCTCTGTCAACTTTGTCACATGCCCATAGTTCGTGGTTCCTCGGAGATACCTTCCCAGGACTTTAAGGTTGGCCATGTCGCATTCCCTTGGTTCCCGAATGCGTTTTGCCAATTCCTTGGTACTGAACTTTATGTCTGGTCTGTCCTGAGATAAGTAAATTGCGCTTCCCACACAACTGGCATATATCGCTTTCTGTTTCTCGTCCAACAGTTTGTCCTGTGTCAGGTCAAGTTTCTTTCCTGGCACTGGTCCAGGCTTGGCATTTTCCAAACCCAGTTGTTTCAGTATCACCTCTACATGTTTCGCGTTTGGTTTCGTGATCACGGCTTCTTCGACATTGATCTTGGTCCTTCCAAGAAACTCTGAAGTTGTTTTACTTCCTACAAACGGGTATTCCATCTCTCCCATTTTCAGCTTGCAACCGTTCTTTGGAAATTGAATCATCAGCAAATCATTCAAAACTTTCTCGGGTCCACAAATGTCGAAATCATCTATGTGATGAATCAGCACTGTTCCTGTTTTCTCACATTTGTACACACATCCATCGATTGCTCCTCGCTGAAACTCATATTGTTCTGGTGGTAACTCTTTAGTGATTATTTCTTCTAATCTGTCTCTGTACTGTGCTGCTGCTGACTGACGTCCGTACAAGTTGCCATCCACTTGCCACAGGATATGTTCCTTAGGAACGTCCTTGAGTTCTTCTTGAACTTCCTTGGGCTGCAACAAGTACCAATCGTCGTAGTCTTCCAGCCATTCCTTAGGTGGTTTCATCATCACAGGTTGTCCTGTCTTGTCACCTTGGTCATTGGCAATCAGAAACGCTGATGTGAGATCTGCTTTCACTCGTGGTAGTCCTGTTGCCATACTGTAGACTTCCAACAGTTTTCTGGAACATCCATGTGGTGTCGGACAAAAATTGCTTGGTGCTTCCGACGTATTTCTGTCATTGTCCTGTCCCTTTCGTTTGAAGTCCTGACATGTCAACCTTGACTTTGCAATTCCTTCACTAACTTTGTCTACCCATTTATGACCAAACACTGTTATTTCCTTTGGAATCAATCTTCCGTCTCTCGGTGTAAATGCTCCAAAGTCCTCGTTCAACTTCTTGATCTCCATCTTTCGAGCTTTCTTTTGTTCTTCTTCTGCTGCTCCAATTTGGTCCAGGTAGTCCATGATGTTTGCCACCATTTCACTCTGGAAGTACTCCTTTCTCTCATCTAGCCACTTCTGAAACCATACATGGTCCTTGTTCACTGGCATATGGTATTTCTTCCTCATTTCTTCCGCATCTGGAACTTCACCGTTACTGACTCCAGAAACCATGTCCTGAGACGCTGTGCCCGCTGCACTCATGTTGTCATCTGTTGGTGTGTCTATGCGGTACAGTTCAGGTTGTCCTGGATTCATTCCGGTGTCGCCCGGTACGGCACTAGAGGTTGTACCCTCTGCCAGTCGTGGCTTCTTGGAATCCTTTTCTTCAATCTCGATCCTCTCTCCTTCATCGTCCACCTGCATCTCTGGTGCTTTGTCTTCCTTCTTTGTGCTCTTCTGTGCTTTCCCTCCTTTCGGTGTACTTGGAGCTGATCTTGGTGCATTCCGCAATGGTGGTACAATAGGTTGTGGTATGTGAACCACCTTTGCTTTCGCCATTGCTTCTGGTTTGTCATCAAAGATCGGCTCGTTTTCTTGTTTCGATTTGTCCTCGAAATCATAGGTTTCCTGTCCTTCGATTTCTGGTGCCACAATTGCTTTCACCTCCGATGAGATTGCTTCCGGCTTTGTTTTCTCGATTCCCAACACTGTATTCCATGGGACTCCTCTCGCAACTTCCATCACAGCATCTTGGAACTGTGATCCAACTGGCAATCTTCGGACTGTTCTGAAACTAATAGCTCCGGCACTTGTCAACATCATGTGCTCATCTGAATTTTCTTTCTTTCCTGCATAGATTCCTTTTGTCCATCGAGGTGCAGACTTGTCTTTCACCTTTGGAAATTTTCCCATCACTGTCTCTCCAAATGGTATCAACTCACCCACGTAGTCTCTGCCCTTTATCACACGAAACGCTGTGGTCTTGCTCTTGTTGACATGAAACCTTGCTAAAGTCCATGCGCTGTGACGCACGATCCATGGGAACACGTAGTGCTCGGTTCCAATTTTCGTTGCATAGCTTTCAGACAACTCACACAGCCATGTGCGAATCTTTCCAGCTATCAGTCCATTCACCATTTCTCCATCTGCAAGAGACTGTGAGCTATACCGTGGTGATTTCCGAATCTCTACTCTTTCCGGCATGAGATCCCTCACTCTGTCAAACAACTTGTTCATGGAATTTTCCTGATCTATTTGTATTGTCACTTTGTTCCATCCCAGATCTCTGATCCAAGCTGCCAACGCATCCCTTGAGTAGTACCCTCCTCCTTTTGATGGGACCACCATGGCGAAGGGATACTGACTGTCCTTGCAAATTGCCGTCAGCACTGTGATCAGTCCTTTCTGCTTCTTTCCTTCACTTCTATTCACCATCTCACCATCCACACTGAAGAACATGTAGTCGGAGTAGATGATGTGTTCTTTCTTGTCTTCCTTGCTTCTTCTGTGAGGTGCACCTCGTCCTTGTCCTTTGATGCAAGTTTCACACCAAGGTTCGAAATTTGCATGATGAAGCCTGTGCTCCTCACGCTGTTGTGCACTCGGTGCCTTTGGTACATCTACCTCCTGTGCTTGTTCTTTCACTTCTCCTTCTTCATGAAGCTGTCTTTGCTCTCGAAACACTTCACGTTCGGCTTGGTCTTGATCAATTGGATCTGGTTGTACTCGATCTTCTACGTACACCCAATCCAAAAAGAACTCATCCATGTCTTGGTCTGGGTCACGTACTCCTTCAACTTTCTTTGCTTCTTCAATCTCTGCATCCTTCTTTTCAGGAATTTCAGTCTCTGGCTTCAATCTAAACCACGATTCTCCCAGCCATTCTCTGCCCATGTTCTTGGCAGATGTCTGTTTTCTTGTCCACAAACTCTGGTCTTCCACATGCGATCCATCTTCGGAGAAATAGATCTTGGTAAGTCGACCAGGTAGTAGTCGATTGATTGGAACAGGAAGATCAGCCATTCGCTCTGGGCTGAATAGTTGGAATCGTGCTGTGTTGTGCACACGAACCACGAATTCTCCTTCCTCATTGGTCTCCATTCTCCAGGTATCAGGTTCCTTTTCTTCTTCAAACCTGACTCCTTTGACTGGTGCTATTCTTTGTGTTCTCAAATTTCCGTTTCCTGAACTTGACGAACTTTGTTGATCATGTTTCACTTTCAAATACCATCTCTTTCCATGCAATTCCAATGGAATCCTTTCATTCTGGTTCGTAACCAAATGACAGTTGTTCTTTTCAAAATGCACGGCATGACCCTTTTCCACCATGTTGAAAACTGACAGCAAACTCTCTGCTGAGTCAGTCACAGTCATGTCCATCAGTCCTTTTAAGTTCCCGACTTCAATTTTGGGAGATTGCTTTCCATATATTTTGAGTGGGTTCCCTTGAACACCAAATAAAGGTTTTCCTTTTGTGGAATCAACCGGTCCAACAAAATCCCCATACTTGGCAACGTTTTCACATGCTCCTGAGTCAACCAAAAGATATCTGAATTCATCGCTCTCAGACAATGCACTGACCTGAGCATCCCTGACAGTGAAACAGTATCGGTCATGTTCACCAAAATTGATGTTTGAAACCGATCCAACTCCGTTTCCACTGTTTGGGTTCTGTTTCGTTTGGTTGTTGTTGCCTTCGGTCTTGTTGGCGGTATTCCCCGTGGTGGTTGTGGTTTCATCCACAGATGATACCTTCCACCAACAGTTCTTTGCGACATGTCCGTACTTCTGGCATACGTGACATTTCTTTCCGGCATCAGGATTATTCACCTGACTTCCTTTGCCACCTTGTTTTCCATCACCTTTTCCTTTACCTGTACCCTTGTTTTCGTGTCCTTTTCCTTTTCCTTTGTCTTCTTTACCTTTGCCTTTTGCTCCACCTTTGCTACCTTTGTCGTTGTTCCAAGAACCTTTGTGTTTGCTCTTTCCTTTTCCTTTGTCATCTTTTCCTTTACCTTTGACCGCACCGATGTCCATGGGTGCCGGTCCTCCGTCATCAACCTTGTTTGCCGCCTTAGTGATTCCAAACTGGGATCCTTGCGGTCTCTTCCAAACGTTCTTGTTGATGAGGTACTGCTCGATGTAGTCTCGAATCTTCGCGTAAGTGCCCAACGCGTCGCTGTGCATAAAGATGCTTTGCTGAAGCTCTGGAGGTGCTACATGCGCTAAGATTGAGACCTTTTCCTCTTCTGAGAAAACACTCTTGGAGGTTCGTTCAAACTCCCTTAGTTCTGATTCCCACTGATGGAGTGCAGTACTCCAATTGTTTATGTCTTTTGGGAAATTGGGGTTACTCAAATGTCTTCTCCAAACCCATGCTTTGGTTCTGTACGATGGCTCAGACAGTCTGACCAGTCTGCGACAAACCTCAAATCCATTTGCTGTGTGCAGTCCCTGACCCACTACATTCATCGTAGGCTCCGGACAGTACTGTACGAGAAACGTATACATCGCCTTGGCCAACAAATCCTCTTCAGGGGTTTGCATAGCATCATCCAAGGGATCCTTGCTTTCCCCAAACTTTTCCAACATTTCAGGGTATTTGGGGTGAACAGTGGAACTCCATGCTACGAACACATGTTTAAACTTTTCCCATCCTTCTCTTTTACCATCCCAAACTTGCGGCTTTGGGACGTTGCTAGGGTGAATCAGTTTTGTCATTTCTACCCCAGCTGGTTGTGTGCTGCTTGCCTGTGCTTGCTGAGCCTGGGCAAGTTGTGTTGTTTGCTGTGCCAGCGCCTGTGTCCTTTGCGCTAGCTCCGTTTCAGTCCGGGTCAATTTGTCCGTCTGTTCTTGCAGTCTCGTTTCAGTTTCGTTCAACCGTCTTGCTTGACTTTCAAAACTTTGGTTCGCACGTTGCAAACCTTCCACCAATTGGTTTTGCTGCGCTTGCATTTGCGCGAGCTGTGCTTGCAACTGTTCTACCGTTGCCATCTTTACAGGCTATGGTACACGAGGCTATTTACACTTCTAGTGTACAGATGCCCCTATTGGGCAGGCAAGGGGTACCTACTGGAACCTACCGTTCCAGCGGTATTACCCGCCTCGATGCCAACCTCTGTGCCAGCCTAGGTGGTACCCTTCTGACCACCTACGTCCGGCCCAAGCCCTCGACTGGTCGCTTCCCCAGTTGCTACTCCAGGTACTCCTCGACCAGCTTGTAGAGCTACTGGAAGCTGTCTCGCTCCAGTTGCTTCTACGGTCCTCCAACTCCTCACGCTGGTAGTCCCGCTCTTCACGGTCCTCCAACTCCTCACGCTGGTAGTCCCGTCCTTCTTCTCGACCTTCTGGGTTTCTTTCTTCTGAGGCTTTCTGACTCCTCAGCTCTAGGTCCTGAACAGCTCGGGCGACTTCGGAGACACCCACTGAGCTGCTACTTGCCGCTGAAGACGCTTGCTCGGTCTTCGGCCTTTCCTCTTCTTCGGGCGAGTCGTCGACCTCCTCCTTGAAGTTCCCGAACTCGTCCACAGAGTACCACACGCTCGTTGCCGCGTGTGTTTCTTCTTCCTCTCCTACTGCTTCCTCTCCACGCTGCTCAGGCGGCGGCAGTGTGGTTGGCACGACTTGTGCCCTAGGTGCAACGAGTCCTTGTGCTACTCGTCGACCTCCTTCTTCCTGGGCAAAGGACTTTCTCGCCTTTCCACCCGGTGTAGACTGTACGACTTTGGCGAGGCTCGGGTAGTCCTTCTCGAACTTCCTCCACACGCGCTTGGTCGCTCCTCCTGCTTTGCTGTGTGTTGGCAGACCACCAACCACAGTCCTGTTCACGTCCAGAAACTCTGGTACTTCTTGTTCTGGAACGGCCTGAAGTCTCAAGCCTTCCACGTAGTCCAGCTCGTTGTGGTCCGGCCTGTTGGTCGTACCGCTGGCTGCTTCCACAGTGGTGTTCAGCAAGCCTTCTGCACGCCTTGCTGCCCCACGTAGTATCCGCCGCTCTATGGCTCGGGCGGACCTGGTTCTCTCTTGGGCTTTTCCTTGGCCCTTTGCTTTTCCCTTCCCCGTCTTGCCGGGGATTTGTCCTCTCGTCGGAGAGGTCCAGGTGCTGCTCCACACGCAGCTACCAGTCTTCTTCTCCTCGAACTCAACGAGGCGCAAACGCTGCTACAAGCACAGCTGTTTGCAGTGTTACCCGCCTCTTACGGGCGGTGTAAACCGTCTGCGGATGCCGGCCCTGATCGGTCAGGAACCAGCTCCGCTACCATGCGAAAAGCGGACTCACTGTTTTGTGCCACTTCGAATGGTCCACTGGGGCTGCGGAGTACACATGCATGCACTGTGGTGACATGTTTTACCACAAGTCATACAGGCAGCCAAACCTAGCATATGGTGCGTATTTTGCTTGCAATAACATCAAATTACATAACGATATTGAATCGTATTTAATCATATGTAATCAACCAAACCATATCATCATGGTTCATCAGCCGCTTCCAGGATTCAGAAGGAATTGATTTGGCACAAAAAAAACACCGTTGAACTGCCACATAGCCACTACTGCCAGGTCTGTGTAAGGCCGCCCTTGCAGCCATGTTTTGAATCCCTTGGGTCCCCATTTGATCACTGCGCGGTACGTTGGGCACAGTATATGTTGTTGTTGTTTTTAGAAACTCAATAGATCAAAATGTACACATACATCTATGTACATGTTGCTGAACAAAAGTAAATAACTATAAATAAAGTTTATATAATTGTAATCAAATATAATCTGATCATTCTAATCAATGACAGAATGAATTATGTATATATATATACTGTATGTGTGTGTGTATATATATATATATATATATACAGCTATGGCAAATGACAACATAAAACAAACCCAGGTCATACCACTGACATTTCACCGCTTTCTGTCTTTCGCTGCTTCCCCAAGCGTCATTGCATCCTCCATATCGTAGCCTGGCAGGGCAATTTAATGGTTGGTAATTTATCCCAAGGACAATGAAATTTAATGGGAGTTATAGCTGATTTATAGTTGGCTAAGTTGGTGCAAATAACTCCATCTAGGGTTGATTAGGAACTTATATCAGTTCAAGAAGGGATAAACCAACAAACATCACTGGGGGGACACCACCTTGTATGACTTATGGTAGGTACTTGTAACTATAGGGCCAATGGGGTGTAAAAAAAAACATAACTGGGGCAAGTTGAAGTAGCAATGTTGAGGCCAGGAGGCAAACATGGGAATATGATAGACGACAATCATCCAAAGCTAGGGCAGAGTTCATTGGAACTGCACTCTCACTGTACATGAAATTATTGGACAAACATCCATTCCTTCTAAATGACTTTTCCAGTTGTAAAAAAACAGTAGATGATTTGTACCTGTGGTGCTTGGTTGTGCATCCCAAAGTGGTTGAACAAAACCATGTCTCTTCGCCTAGTTACTAGATGGGATAAACGTATAAGCTGTCAGTCACTCATCAACGATCGTCACAGAAAAGGGGGAGCTACAATCAAGAAATGCATACAATGTGGGGCCCTCCAGTTATGTGAACGTTGGTTTGTAAACCCCATGAATACTAGTTCGTTATATAAGGTTTATCAGTTATATCTGATCTACTATATCCCAACTTCACCTTTCGGTCGCATTGTGGATCCACAACGGGTCATTGTGGCCTCCTGGGTCAGCTCGATGTCTTAAGCTCTACTGCTGAGATTCTCAGGGTCAGCCCAATAGGAACAAACTTAGATGAACCTGGATATTGATAGAGGTTAGTAGAGGGCTAATACAATGTCGGCCCCTCCGAACGATAGTTAAGTTGGTGCAAATAAGTCCTATTTCACTATGATTTATGGTACTTATAACTATAGTTACTGGGGTTTAAAGAGCAACTTATAACTCGGGGGGCACATTGTAACGCCTTATGACTGGGATATACGTATTGGGGTCATAAGCCACAGTGACAAAAAATAGAACTATACAAGCTGCAGGATCAACCAGGAACAGACGCAGGCGAAACTGACCCCTTGGCTATAACTCGTTACTATGTGGTTCTCGCTACACACTCCATCTGGAAATCAAACATAGCAACTGGAAATTCCCACACTAAAAGGAAGTTTATAGATGGTAAAATCACCGATAAATATTGGCTGGTTGGTGGTTTTAACCATCCTGAAATTAATATGAGTTCGTCAATGGGAAGGATTATCCCATATATTATGGAAAATAAAAAATGTAATAAACATGTTCCAAACCACCAACCAGTATTAGGATTTTCCAGCCACCTTTATTGACACCTTTAAGGGATCCCAGGTGTCACGTCGGCTGCCGGCTGCCCACCTGTGTATGTGATCACCGCCACAACGGCATTAGTACCAATGGGATGCTCGTCGCAGTCAACCGTGTCATACCTGTTGAACGTGTTGGAAACCACCTCTACACCGAAAAAGGCACCGAAAAAATACATGTGTCACTCATGTGTATATCTTTTGATATCTTTAAAACGTCCTCTTCCGTAAAACCAATATAGGTATTCACCCAGCTGTTGGGAATTATATATATATATATATATATATGGGATTGTATGGGCTGTTTCTTGAATTGGGACCCGAAAATGATCTAAAACATGTTTCTTTTGTCAACGAGGAAGCCAATGGTTCTGGGCCCCACATTTTGGGAGAATTACATGGACATTCATGCATGACATCATACAAAAAATGACCCAGAAAGAAAATTGTGCCAATTCCAGTTCACTAGATTGTTGGGTAGAAACTGTAAGATGTTGTACGTAGTCTGCTTGGTGCTTCACATCCATTCCAACAATACAAGATGATACACAAGTGGATCCCAATCATCTTCAAGTCGTAAGAGTATCAAACATATAGTGACCAACTTGGACAAGTTTGGCTCAGTTATAAGTTGCTTTAAAAGGCTATCAAACTGTAGATATGATCAATTTGCAAACAAAAAAATGTTTGCCTGGTTATGAAGTAAGTTACCTACCTACCAAGGGTCCGACTTTGTAGGAGGCCGGAACACTGCAATTTAAATTGCACGACAATCCCAGGACCAATGGTTGCTGCGATTTTTTTCTTAACTATTCCCTAGATTTGTGGCCAAATAACCCATCTTTGACCAAATGGTGATGTCGTATGGTTTGCTGAGATGCTTTACAACTAGCAAACTGTTGGGTTCGTGGTCGATGTATCATGAGGTATCTATGGTTTTAGCGGTGAAAAGTCAACCCCTACCGCTTTGTCCTATTGACTCCCACGTGTTTCATCAAATTCCGTATATGCTACTGGTTGGTGGTTTTAACCATCTTGAAATATGAAAGTCAATGGGAAGGATTATCCCATATATTATGGAAAATACAAAATGTTTGAACCACCAACCAGTCATTTATATCATTTATATATGGGAGTCCATGCCCCATTTTCAGACAAACCGAACTCGCTTCCTGCCCTTTGTTTCCTGCTGCGGTCATGGCACATCTCCGTACGCACAAGTGGACTCTGAGGGCACCAGACACGAAAGACTTTGTTGTCCTTGGGCCGCGAAAGCGAACTCGTGACGGAGAATCCATCGAGAATTCATGGATCTATGGGATTCAAATGGAAAAAAACATGGAAAACTTGGGACACATTCGGATTTTTTTGATTTATGATGATTCAAAATGATCTACCTGGGATAATTTTACAGTTTGCTATGGAAATTGCGACGTTCAAAAGCGGCACATCATTGCCAGAGGGTATCTCTCACATCAGCCTGCCTTCTTCGTTCAACCAATATTTCTGAATCCTCAAAATATCTGGTTGGTGGTTGAGCCACCCCTCTTGAAAAATATGAAAGTCACTTGGGATGATTATTCCCAATATATTATGGAAAAATAAAATTCATGTTCCAAACCACCAACCAGTAGTACTATAGTTTTAATGTTATATCATGTTGTATCCATCTATATCCCATATAGTCTAGTCATGTCTAGTAACCATTCACTTTAAAAAACAAATCATGTTATATTATCCCGGTATCTCTCGGTTGTTCCCACGATGGTTCATAGCTTGGAAGATCGCAGTTCCAGTGATCGGCCATGCAAAAAGCATATCGTAAGATTCGTATCGTTATCCTTGACCTTGTGCTCCAACGGAAAATGTCGGCTCCAGAATGATGTACAAACGTACAAACGGTGTATATGTCAGTATATGTATATATATCTATATATTTATACATATTACATATACATACATACATATATATATACATATATATATATATGTAATATGTATGTACATATATATATATATGTAATATGTATATAAATATATATCATAACATATTATAACTATACGTAACATGTGGGGCCCTGAAACGATAGCTAAATTGCTCTAATTATAACCATAACTTTGGTTTATGGATAAAGGGTATGTAGAACTATACTAAGTATAGTATTCAGGGGCTTTATAAAACAACGTTCACATCACTGGGGAACTGCTGTATCCAAAGGTCTGGTCGCCAGTCGTGATTGTGGTAAGGCGTCGCCATGGTCTGCTTCAACATCTGACACCTGACGGCACCAAAATCCAATTGGTCCGAGAACTCATCCTGACTTTCTGTATCTTTGCGTTGACAAAAACACGTTAAACAACAGTTTCGTTTTTGGTGGTTTTTAAATGTTGTACAATTTACCAGTGAACTTTAAACACATTACTGTCACTTGTTTGGTGAAGCTAGTAACTCAGTCTTTTTACACATGTCCGAAGCTGTTGTTGCAAATGATGCCCCTTTCTTGCCTGAGTACCCATCAGATTCTTGCTGGCTTTGTTGACCCCACTCGCCACTCGTCCACTTAGTGGTTAAAACATGTCAAAACCTGCAAAGGTCTTGATTTTTTTCTTTACAAAACCAATCACATCAACAATTACTTAAAATTTCAATCACTGAAATCACTTGAGTTCCTCTTTCTTTCTGTTTTAAATCGCCTATGATTTTGATTTATCATAGTGCTGGATCGCAACCATGCCGGTGACCAAGGCACTGGTACATGTTTCGAGGGCTCCTGAGCTGCTCATGTTTATGACGTCAGTGGCACATTGATATAGTGGGATACTGATAATAATGTATGTTAATGGAACCAGGGATTCTGGTAGATATCTCTAATTTTTTTAAAGTTATTTCTAGTGATATACTATATATAGTTATATCATATATATATATATATGTAGTCTAGTTAATGGATGTTAATAAATGCTAATGGAGGCTATAAACCAACAATATGTTTTCAAACTTTAGATCCACCCCATGGTCTCATATTCACCACCATGGGTTTTCATGGTCTCAAGCATGTGATTTCATCGCCTACACCATGCTTTCGGGGCTGTTGAATACGAACGGGGATTGGGATCACAAATTTACCCCCTGGTGAACTAACATGGCAATGGAAAATCACCATTTTTAATGGGAAAATCCACTACAAATGGCCATTTTCCATTGCTATGTTAGTTCACCAGAGGGTAAACCTTGGAGATGATGGTTGCTGCATGATTCTGACTGTTGAATATCAGCCTATCAGAGTGGATGTTTTTCACATGCACTTGCAAGGGGATTTTACACGAAGAGCCAAAAAAAAACATAATTAACAGATTTAAATATGGGGGAAGATTGGGATTGAAACCGCAAATATGGAGATTGTATTACCAAACATGGGGATGCTGAACGGATTTTACATGGTTTCATCACAAATAATGGGTACATATTGAGATACATATGGGAAAAACATGGACAAGCCAGGTACTAAACCAGGCCCTTGCGGTCCTCTTTTGGTAGACTTGTTAGCACAAACACACACACACACCCAATCCCACTCGCAACATCAGAATAGATGATGTGTAGATCTGCACTTGAAGCCTTTGCGCAGCACAACTTTGATTATATAGCTTAGCCCAAGAAGACCCAACAACAAAAGATCTGCTCTGAGGTTTTCTTAACTGAAAGGACTCGGTTCACTACATGTGCGAAAACTGCTGATGCCATGGTCGTATGCATTATTGGTTGTGGGTCCAACCCCGTGCTGTTGGTATATCCCCCCTGGTGCCATTACAGCAAACAATCCGCACCAGAAATCAGTCAGACAGAACACACCATCGAAACCGAAGCAAACATTATCAAACAAAATGTATGCATTCTCCACCGGTCGCAGCTACCTCCTAAGCTGCGAACTGTCCCTTCAGCAGGACTGGAGGTAGTCAAAGAGTCACTATGTATATGCACAAATTTCAAAAGTAAGCTTTTCAGATGTGAACCCAGCAAACTGACAATAGCTCTGATAATCAGCATTGTTTGTCTGGATCCGGCAATTGTCGGTTCGATCTTGGGAAATTGTCAGTATGAAGTTGCTACATGTGTTGAAGTAGAAATTTGATAGGGGTCAGGGTCTACCCGATTTGGACAAACTTGTGAAAAACAACATAAAACAAAACATGTGTTTTTTTTTTCAAAAACGTCTTAATTCTCATGTCTTTTTGACTGGACCTGATTTTTTTAGGGTCTTTGAAGCTCTTGGTATATATAAATAAATAAATATATATATATATATATATATATTATACGTGTATATATATAGATATTATACATATATATATATATAATACGTATATATATATATTATACATATATATATATATTATACGTATATATATATATATATGTGTGTGCGTCTATGTAGATATATTAACCCCCGCAAAAATAGGCAAGGAAAATGCACCTAAAATAGTGGTGACAACTGAAACTTTTTGGACCCTTTTTCCGGACACCAAGTCTCTGGTTGTGATTCGAGAAAGGCGTCAACGCCGCCAGTGTGGAAAAGAGTTCCTTGGCGTCACTGGCTCCGAAATCCAATGGTAACCATGAACAAAAACCTACGGAATAAATGGAATGATTTGGTAGTTGGAATAATTCAACAATGTCGTCTTATTTTCAATGTTTTGTTCAGGTTTATGTTTGTTGTAAGTAAAGGTTATATATATATATAAATACACGCACATCGCGCGAATCAAGGAACAACAAGTATCTACAACCACTCCCAGCATGGTTTACCCTCTGGTGATCAAACCTGGCTAGGGAAATCTCACAGAATTTGGGAGGCGTTTTCATGGGAAAATCATCTGTAGTCCGTGTTTTTGCCATAAGTTGGTTGGTATCAAACAAATCAATGTCTTGATGCCTGGTACATCCTCCCACAAAAACGGCAAAAGATCAAGTAGTGTAATAAATGACCTTTTGCACATCATCCTCATCATCTGTCAAAATAGCAACAAGGTATAGGCATTTTCACCCACACTTCACCAGACATGGTTTTCTCCAGATCACAGTCAGGATCATCCAACTTGCATGTGGGTCCTAGGTTCATGATCAAGAAAATGGATCTCATCCACTACGGGCATGAGGTCAAGATCAATAATTCTATAATATGGAGTGTCGAGCATAACAAATGATAATCCCATTTGTGGGTCATTTTGCGCCCGAAAACTTGAACCAAATCACTATGTGAGTGCTTCATAACTGCATGACTTTATACAGGGAACTGTTTCCTATCCCGGGTTCTTCTTGTCTGGAATATGCATATAGTTATAATAGGATGGTTAATATCAGTTTACTACTCAGGAGTACAGTTTCAATGAGAAATAATCAAATAGTGTAGAACCTACTTTTTGTATATTAGTATCATAGAACTATTTGTGTTATATCCCAGTTTATTGCACCACCCCCAGTCCCGTAGACGCATCGCATAGCTCCCAGTTTCTGTTGGTTTCAATTCTTCGTGAGTGAAGCCTGGGAGAGCGGTCGCAGACTCCACAGCCCAGACAATGATGTTTGTTGATTCATAAACCCCATGAATACTGTAGATATATCTACAATCAACCATTGAGTTCACCTAGCTAGCAACCAAATTAGCTTGGGGGAGCACCACTTTGAATGACCAGTCACATATGCCGATAAAAAATATGTAAAAAGGTGGATTGGCCGGAATGGGTCGGTTGAATCCCACTGCAGAACTCCCCAGTTAAAGCCGAGAAAATCATTTATAAATCCCGAAATCATATGATATGTTCACATGTGTTCCAATCATAAACCACATTTCAAGTGGTGTTCCTTTACTTTTCCTGTGAAAAAATCGGGATTTCCCCTGGTTTTCAGGACCCGAAAACGCCAAGAAGCGGAGCGGCAGCTGTTCCGGCAGTTCATCAAGGTGTTTTTCACCTGGAGAGGACGGTGCTGCAATGAATATAGGGCGCGTTGCAAACCTAGATAAATGCACATGAAAAAATACATGCGTGTAATCCCTTCCCCCTATTACTAAACCGCCCCCCCAAAAAAAAGGGACCGTCTTCAGATTTGGAAAACTTGAGGTTGGCCAATTTGATGTTTAATTGATGCCCTTTAGAAAACAAATTACATTTAGAAATGAAGCTGCCATTTCAGGGTTTCACCCCCCCCAAAAAAAAAACTAGTCAGCCCCCGGGGTATTTTTTATTAGGCTCCGTCTTTTAAGGTCGATAAAAATATATTCTATATTAAAGTTTCTAATTTAGTTTGTATTAGGGAAAACTTCGAAATCCAATTTTGGCAATATTTTAATTATATTTCAAAAGGAAATCTAAACAATTTTGAAATAAAAAACACTTGTTTTTTTTTATATCCGGGTTTTGAAGTAAATATATATATTACGGAAAGCTTCGGAATCGAAGTTTTGGCAATATTTGAATTCTATTTTCAAAGGAAATCAAATCGATTTTGAAATAAAAAAGAGTTTCTTTTTTTATTCGGGTTGTAATTTATTATTAGGGAAAGCTTCGCGCCCTACTAGTACATACCCCCTAATAATAAAAAACTACCTGAGTAATTTATTATTTGGGGGGTGGGGGGTTTAGTATTAGGGGGAACGGATTAGTACATATATATATATATATATAAAGGAAAAAACAAAAAAACACTGATCATTGCAATCGTACTCTGAAAAGCCCATATATAAGCAAAACAAAGACAAAACAGTTGAACACATGTTAGAAAATAGGCAACACATATACAATATATATATATGTATATATATGTATGTATTTTTTGATGATGCCTCTTGGGCTGGGAACGGAGGAGTCAGCACATGATGATTCTGGACTTACGTTCATCTCCAGTCCAACGGATGGCTGCAGCCCAATCAAAGTTCGGTGCCTGGACCTGACAAGTGCAAAAACACGGGTGCGAACGTCTTGCAAAAAACATGTCTCACACAACAAAAACAGTGATGCCTGCGGCAGCAACGCGATCTTCTCAGTCACTTTCGAGGCCAAGTTTTGCAAGAAATACAATGCCTGAAGCGGCCAGCTGGTGGGAAAAAATGTTGCTCTCAAGTCAACCGCACATCTCTTGGAACTAAGGTTTACATGTCTTGATTCCAATGTCTCCAAAATCTTTCATCTTTCTTGCGCTTTTCTGCTTTCACCTGAAGCACTGACGCAAAAGAAAATGACGCCAGCGTGAAACGTGCA